TCTTGGCTGGAAACCTCCCCGGCCTGCAGGAGCAGTTTCAAACACGTCTGCTGCAGGAGTCCTCCAAGAAGGCGCGCCCGGTTCACCGCGTGGCACCGGGAAAGCGTGGCTTCCCAGGCTGAGACCAGCGTGGGTGCCGGATGCAGGGTCTGTGTGGGGTACTCTGGTTTCCCTTCCTCCAGCATGCAGGGGCTCCTCTGAGAAATCCCTAGAACTCCAGGGAGCTCTGTTTGAGTCATTGGCCTAAAGCTCAAGCCCAAATGCCTGAGCAGAGTGTATAAAGTGACTCGTGGTGCAGCCACCTGTCACCCCACTCAACCTCACCTCCCCACCACCTGTGCCCTGAGCCATTCACAACAGCCCTGTGGCTGTCCTGCCCCCACTGCTCACGCCTCTGACGCACAGACTATTTATTTCCCCCCCTTGAATGCTCCTCCATGTGCTTCAAAACTCACCACCTCCTCCAGGAAGCCTTCCAAGACTGCTGTGGATGATGGCATCGTCCTCCCCGTCCTGACCAAACCTTGCTGAGTGCGTGTACCGCCTGCCTTACACGACCAAGGAATTGGCCAAGGAGGCAGTCCCATTACAGGACCCAGTGCTCCTGCCTTGGCCCCAGAGACAGGTTCAAATGGTAGCTCAGCTCACCTGCTGTGGTTCCCAGGGCACGTTCCAGCCCTGGCTGTGCTCGTTTTCCTCATTTGTAAAGCGGAAGTGCTGACAATGCCCATTCCGAGGACTCACGGGTGAAAGGGCTTGGCTGGATGCCTGCAGCAGGCCCGGGAAATCCAAGGGATGGAGGGGGGAGCAGGGCAATAGGGAGACCCTGCGCATCTGCCCTCAAGGAACTGACAGTCCAGGCAGGGGAGACATGGGGTGCGGGCGTGGACAGAACAGCAAGATAATGCAACACCCGCTAAATGCAGGCAGAGCCGGGAATTCATCTGGCCAAAGATGCTTGCTGACCACTGAAATGGAAGAACGGAACACGGAAGAAAAGAGCCCATGGGCTGCAGAGGTGGAGGGAGGCTTTTGGGGAGCAAGAGCCTGAGCTGGGATCTAGGGGGTGGGGAGGAGGTGGGTGAGCGAGGGGAAGGCGTCACGGCTGATGCTGCTGAAGCCAGAGGACAGGCCCGGCTGGCAGGGCAAAGAGGGAGCACCCCAGTTTCTGAAGAGAGGGCCTCCTATGACTCTAAGTGGCTACAAGCCCCTGGAGGCGGCTTCAGAATCATCTCATTGTCTCTCTCCTCTACTTTTCCTTGTTGTCTGGCTGTTTTCCATAATGAGCTCGTGTTACTTTGAAAATCAGAAAAAAGCAATTAAGTTATTTTCATTGGCAAGGCTTTTTCTTTTTCTTCTTAAATCATGGGCACAAAAGACAGTTAAAATAAAGTTTACAAAGAAAAAATAGAAGAGGCATCACAGCCTGGAGGCCGGGGGCGGCAATTTCCCGGGAACCTGGGAAGACGGAGTTATTTTGACAAAGGGTTCACTTTGACTTTGAGCTTCCAAAGATGAGGCCAAAAGGAAACTGGTAGAGGCGGGAGATGGGGTCATAAAAATAACCCACACCTTGCAGTGTGCAAAGGTGGGGCCGAGGAGGTGGGTGCTGGGCACCTCCTGGAAGCCAGTGGCCCCTTGGAACACCACGCCCCTCGGCTTGCTGAGAAGGGGAACCGGACTCGGGCTTCAAGTGTGCATCAGAGGTCCCGGAGCAGGAAGCGGGGCTTCCAGGCTGGGCTGCAGCCCCCTGAGCTCATGCGTGCCCACCTGTGCCAGCTGCGCCCCGGCACGCCCGCCTCTGGGGAAGCGGCAGGAGGCGGCTGCAGCCTGAGCCAGGCCGAGTGGTCCCCCGGAGCGGGAGGAGCGGGGGTGAGGGCTGGCCGCCCTCGAGACCACTGGCCTGACAGCTGCAAGCTGCCGCCTGGGCCTCCCTAATGGAGTCCTGAGACAGTGCACCGGTGACAGTTGAGCCCAGAGATAGCAGGGTGCGTCGGTGCCTGTGTGACAGAAGGGACAGGCCACCGGCAAACCTGTAATCCTCTGATTTCTGCGAGGTGGTGGCACTTAACCCCTGCCTCTCCAGGCTGGGCAGCGGCCTGCAGCAGGCGGCCAAGGGAGGGAGGGGTCCTGAGGAAGCAGAGCATGGAACGCGGCCCCGGCTCTTTCCATTCCAGGGCACGGGGCACGCTGCCGCCCGGCCAGTGCCCACTCGGGCCGTCGGCAGCAGAGGGAGAGCTCTCTGCTTCTGCTCCCCAACTCCTCCTCCACCTGGAAGCCTGGAGCATTTTTTGAAAAAGAGAAATCTTGTGAGAGTCCTTTGCTGCTCTCATCATTTCCAGGCACCCCCACTGCTCTCGGGGTCATGCCGCGCTCCTCCCTGGGGCCTGCAGCTCCTTATGCAGGCCTCCCGGCTTCTCCAGACTTGCCCTCTCCTCCAATCCAGCCCTGCCTCAGGCTTTTGCGTAAAGCCCCTGGGCCAGCTGTGATGTTGTACCCTCCAGCTCATCCTTCAGGTCTGTTTAACCCTCTCTGTTTCCTGAGACTGGGCCAGGGTCCCCGTGGGGCCCACCAACCTCACCTTTTGGGCTGCGACCTCCTGCAGGGGCGCAGGGCTGCAAGGTCCAGACAGCCACCTGCTCAGGAATTCCCAGCACCCGTGGAGGGAGACACTTCAATCATCTCATTTTCCCCAGGAAGTTAATGCCCAAGAGGAGTAGAGTTGGGATTTGAACCCAGGTCTGTGGGTGCTTCTGGAGCACCACAGCAGGCAGCCTCGGAGCTGGAGGGGAACTTTGAAGCCACAGTTCAAATCGCTCACAGGATGAATGAAGAAAGGGGAGACCTAGAGATGGGCAGAGACCCTCCCTGCACCCCCCACCGGCCCCCGGCCTGGGGTCCATAGCAAGCTGGGGAATTGGGAAAGGATCCTGGCCGAGTGGGGGTCCTCCACCCCCCACCCCCCGGTCTACACTGCCCCTTCCCTCCCGGTGGAACCTCCTGATGGGGAGACAGGCAGGGGGGCAGTGCAGTGCCCCCCCAGGCGCCCTTCCCCCAGGTCTGCTGGCGGTTGCTCAGCACAATTAGCCAACAAGTGGCTGTTTTGTGGAGTTACTGCTGATGTGTTTTAAGTGGCTTTCTGAGTGGGAAATGTTGGGTAGGAGAGGGAGGCAGACAAAGGGGAGCGAGTGCATTAGGTTTTATGGGTCTGTTTTGCACACATCTGACATCACTCTTTGAAGCAAGTTCTGTTCAGCCCTGGGAGAAGGATAAAGAGGCGAGCGGGAGAGCGCAGACAGGCAGGCGTGCTCGCCCGCTGCCCCGCACCGCCCGGCCTCCGAGTGCAGGCATAATGGCTGGAGACACTGGAGCGAACTGTCCGACAGATGGGGCCCGTCCTGCTCCGAAGGGGAGGCTCCCGCTGCGATGAAAGTCTTCAGGTGAAATAGAATAACTGAATTAGCCAACCATTGTGCGGTGAGAGGGTAATGCGTCTGCCTCTGCCTAATGGCCACCCAGCCCCGTGAATGAAACCTCTTCTGGTCTCGCAGACGATCCAAGGACAAAAGTCATGGACAGAGAGAAGGCAGAGGAGCGGGAGGAGGGAGCCCCCACCTGGGCTGTAGCGCGGACAAAGGGCTGTCTCCTTGCCAGCCTCATGCCCGGGGTATTGGCTCCAGTTTTGGTCAAATGAAGCGTGCTGGGAAGTAGCTGTGTAAGGAAGATGCTGGGGTGACGCAGGGGTCCTGGGGGCAGGGATGAGTGTGACCCCAGGCAGTAGAGACTGGGGCAGGTCTAGAGTTAAGGCCTTGCCCTAGTTTCAATTCAGTGCTGTCATCCTCACCAGTCCCCCTTCCTCTCCAGGACTTAGTTTCTGCTTCCATAAAGGGGGGCAGTTTGATTTAACCATTCATCCAGCCATCCATCCATCCCCCTACCCATCCACCCATCCATCTACCCACCCATCCATCCATTCATCCACCTGCCCATCCATCCATCCATCCACCCACCCACCCACCCACCCATCCATCCATCCATCCAGTCATCTATCCATCCATCCATCCATCAATCCATCCATCAATCCGTCAATCCATCCAGTCATCTGCCCATCCATCCATCCATCCATCCATCCATCCATCCATCCATCCCTCCATCCATCCAATCTACCCACTCACCCACCCACCCACCCATCCATTCCATCCATCCATCAGCCCATCCATCTGTCCATCATCCATCCATCCATCTATCCATCCATCTGCCCATCCATCCATCCATCCATCTATCCATCCATCCATCCATCCATCCATCCATCCATCCATCCATCCATCCATCCATCTACCTACCCACCCAATACACTATCCATCCACATGGACAGTCATTTGTTTAATAAGCATTGTTTTTGCAAAAGGAGTGAAATGTTTTACTTCGCCACACATACAGCTTTGAGTTCCAGAAGGTGCCATGTGTCTCCACCCTCCATCCCAGTGTCCACGGTGAACTCTCCTTGGAAACCTCCATTTCTCCATTTTGCTTATTGACATTTGTCTCCTTTCAAAGCCCATTTTGTATGTGTGGCATCTTTCCAGCTTTACTCATCTCTCTATGATTTACATATCATTTAATAAGTATTTTTAAGGCTCTGATTATGGGCCAGGCGTCTGCTAGGGGATGGGAATGCTGAAGTGAATGGGCAGCTCCCAGGCTAGCAGGGGGCAGGTGATACATGCAAAATCCAGGTAGAACCACTGACTATAGTGCTCCTTGGAGAAGCCGCACCAGCCTGTAGTGCACCTTGGCGGAAGGTCTGGAAGCCCAGGGTCTTGGGGAGGGGGTGTCCGGGGGGGCAGGGTGGAGAGGAGTGAGTGGTTCCAGAACTCTGAGCCCTGAAGGAAGCTGAGCCTCAGGTGGGCAGAGAGGGAAGAAAAGGAGTGTGGGTGGCAGAGGAGCAGAGAGAAGGCCCATGGGGGGATGGAGCCCTGAGGAGCGGGTGAGGATGCAGCATGGGCACGTGAGGCTGGGCAAAGGGACGGGACCCGGGGGTCTCAGTTCTCCAAGTCACAGCTGGAAACACCAGCGGTGATGGGGCGGGGAGGATGGGAGAAGTGTGGGATTCTTCTTGTCTGGGAGGAATCACCGGAGGAGGGAGTCAGTCTGGACTGGGAATCCAGTGGATGGTGAAAGTGTCCTCTTTTCATGAAAAGCAAGAATTTCATCAAGTCACCCAAACCTTCCTGCTGCCCCTGGTGCCCTCGGCGAGCAAGACAACAGGGACCCTAGTCCTAGAAGCTCAGGGAGCTGAATTCTGCTCACAACCATGAGGTCCTGGAAGACACTTCTGAGTTCCAGAAAGGAATGCTGTGCACCCAGCGCCCCGAGGGCAGAGGGCCAGTGGGCACCCTGACTCCTGGTCCCCCGGAGCTTTGAGATCATAATTGGCTGTTGTGTCAAGCTGCCGGGCTTGTCACCGCTCTGCAGCAGCAGCAGTGGTCACCCCACACTACTGCAGGGGGCGTGACAGGGAGGGGACACTGGGGGCTCTAGGAGGCCGGAAGTGCTCTAAGTCTGGGTATGGACGATGGTCACGTGGTTGCACGATCCAGTACAAATTCGTCAAGCTGTACCTGGAAGGTTTGTGCAATTCCCGTATGGCCCTTCCTTCTAAATTTAAAACCATTCCCTGGATCACGTGCTGGCTTTTACCCCAGCCTCCCTCCCTGCCCCGCACAGTTCTCTCACCTTTCAGGCATGGGGTGCACCTCCTGGAGCCTCAGGCCCGCCCTCTCCCCTCCCCACCACTAGTCCCTGCTTACATGAAATCTCAGTACCCAGGGGCATTTAGAAAGCAGAGGCCGCGGCGCTTGTCAAGTGAACGTTTTTCCAAAAGACAAATCGGAACACGTTGTCTCCATTCAAAATCCTCCAGGGGCCCAAGATCCTCTGTGACTGGCGAGCCCCCCACCCTCGGGCCACCCAGCTGCCACCCTGGCTCCTCCTGACCCCTGGGATCTATTGTGTTTGTTTTCTTTCAAAGAATTGCCCTTGCTGTTTCGAAGTCATGGGGAAGTTTCTGCACACAGGTGGGTCTCCCCACCTGCTTCTGTAAAGATTGAAAGTTGAACATGCACGCAGGCCCCCACACTGCTCTCCTGCTGTCCTGAGGACCCCCACTTCTCAGACCCTAACATGCATATGAAACCTTGCTTGAACGGAGATCCTGTGGGTAGGTTTGGGGGAATGGGCCCCAAGTCTGTGTTTCTTGCAAGTTCCTAGGGGACCCTCTCGGTCCAGGGACCCTGCCTGTGTAGGGAGTTTGGAGGGGCCTGCTTTTCCATCCCAGGCTGGGGTGCTGACAGGTCACAGGAGGACCAAGGAAAATTTGGACTCAGGGGCCCCCAGCTCTTGGTAAACTTCCTCCTTAAACAAAGGCTGCTGCTCTTCTTGGGGCCTGGGGGTCTGCGCACAGGGCGGCTCAGTGCCTCTGCTTCTGGCCTCCTTGCGATGTTACCCCTGGGCCAGAAGATCTGGTTTCTGCCTTGCATGGAGTCAAGGCAGGGAGACTCACCCTGGGGCAGCTGGGTGCAGCCTGGAGGCTGTGGGAGAGGCCACATGACCGGGTGCCACGAGGACAACCATCCTCGCAGGAAGGGGTGCAGAAACCAAAGACCTGAACAAGGAGGGAGCCCTGTGGGAAATCAGAGGCCTCCTTGAACTTGCTCTATGACCTTGAGGAGCCATCTTGGCCTCAGTTTCCCCATCTGGACTCAGTAACCCAAACTCCTGCAGGCTCATGCCCGGGACATTTTGCTGGGACGGTGGACAACCCCAGGGATGGCCCAGGGTGTGCACACGGACCCCTGCTCCGTGCGGTCAGGCGGGGGCTGGGGGAGGGGTCCTCTGCTGTCCCCATGGCCCACATGGGCTGTTTCCCACAGCACATTGATCCAGTGAAACCAGGGAGATGCATTACACCCGCTCCCGGGGTCAGGGGTTGGGCAGCCCAGCTGGTAAATCACCCCGAGGTGGTGTTTTAAAGCCCTGCCCTGTGTTTTGGCTCCTCGGGGCCTGGCTTGGGAGCAGCGAGGCTGCGGGAGCTGCTGAAGTCTGATCCGGCTCTGGGGGCCTGCGGGGCAAAGGGCTCCAGCCAAGGGAGGGGCAAACGGATCGATGGGAAACCGCCATGACCTCGTGACCTGAGAGGGCTTCAGACCCGTCTTAACATGTCCTAGTAAATCTGGGGTGGGCTTGCCTCCCCGGGGGCAGAGGGGATGGTGGGGACAGGGGCAAGGGGATGGCAAAGAAGGGGAAGCCAGGGACGGAGAGGCCGCTGCCCCAGCAGGTCGGGCCAGCATGTCCTGGTCGGCTGGGGTGCTCCGCTCTCCAATGTGGTCTTTCACCTGGGGTGCCCCAGGCTGGGGTTGGAGCGGACATGGGGTGTCTGCCTGTGCCCACTGTCAGCAGGTGGGCAGACCTGGCCCAGCTGGGGGTGTGGTGTTCAGCCCAGGGCTCTGCCTGTCACTAGCTGGGCTGCTGTAACCAGGTAGGCTCAGCCTTTCTGGACCTCTCCATCTACAAGGCTGGACAGGGTGACAGTGACCAGCTGGGTGGCACCACCCCACGCCCCAGGGGAGGCTGTTGCCACCATCCATCAGCCTTTCTGACGCTTCCCTCCAGCTGGCCCTGGACATGGGCCCCAGATCCTACTTGAAACTCCTCATTAGGAAAGGCCCATCTTCAATGGTTTCATGCCCGCTGTCTGATGCCTCCCAGGACAGAGAAAGGGAGCAGGCGCGGGGGATCTGGTTACAGGCGCCCCGGCCTTACCTGCCTCCTGGCTCCCGCAGGGCAGGGGCTGCACAAAGGGCAGAGTCACTGACCGCTTCGACAGTGACCAGATTGCAGGGGTTGGGAGGGGGCGCGGGCGCCTGTGTAGCCCTCTTGTCTTCCTCTGGGGCGGGTCATGGACAGGCTGCTCCCCCAGGGCACCCTTTTGTCCCAGGTCTCTGTGTCTGCAGCCCCAGGAGCCAGGACTGAGGCTGCTGCCCAGGCCCCCATGCCAGGGCTGGCCCCCGCTTCCCAGCAATCTGGCCCGGGACACAGATAAAGCTGCCTTTCAGAGCAGGGTGCACGTCACTGCAGGGGGCCTGAGGGGGGAGCCGTGGGGTCCTTGGAGTGGTAGACAAAGGTGCCTTGTTGGCAGGGCTCAGCGGGAACAGGGACCCCAATCCCCGGCAAGACCCTTCCCCTCTAGGGCTCTGCAGGGTGCACGAGGTCAGCTGCTCCCAGGAGCGGGGCCACGGGTGTCACTGAGCCCCCGGCACAGGCACAGGAGGGGCAGGAGGGTGGGGCGAGGGGTCTGGATCCTTGACAGCAGGACTCCTGGGTTTGGGGGGTGTCCTGCCTGGCTTTCCTCTCAACCACAAGAGACATCTGTTGCTTCCTGATGCTATTAGCATAAACCCAAGGCCCAGGAACCCCTGGCTCACTTGCCTGCCTCCCCACCCCTCCGTCTCTCTCCTCCCAGCTCACTCACTCCTTTGATTCCTTGAGCCTCAGGCCTTTGAGTGTGCTGTTCCCTCTGCCTGGAATGCCCTTCCCTGTGCTGGTTACATGGCTGCCAGTCACCAGCCTCGGAGACTGCCTGACTCCCCTATCCAAATGCTCCCACGTCCTGCTGACGGAGCTACGGATGGCTGGGTGGGCTCCCTGTGCACGGCTGTCCTCAGGGCTGCCCCTTAAGGCAGGGACTATTATTGAGCCCATTTTACAGATGAGGAAACTGAGACTCAGATGAAGTGACCGGTGCTAGGTCACCAAGCTACGGTTTTAGATCCCGGCTGTCTGAGTTCTGATGAAAACTTGTGAACACTGGGCTCCCCAAGAGTCCCCAGGCAGCCCCCCAACTCTGCCGTCGTCCCCAAGGAGGGTGGCAATATGGCCGCTGTGGGGCGAATCTGCACAGTCCTGGTCACCTGGTCTGCCCCAGGCCCCACAGGAGGGGATGAGGAAGGAACTGAGCCAACCCCAGGTCTCGCCCCCTGAGCATGCGGCCGCCTCCTCTCTCCAGGCCTGTGGCTTCCAAATCTCCACGGGCATCACAGGCATCCAGGCAGCTGGTTAAGCGGGTGTGTTTCTGGGTCCCGGATTGGGGGGGCTTCCTGTTTATCAGGAAACATCCCAGGCCCTGCCCTTGCTCCCAGGTGGCCGACAGAGTCCCACCACTTCACAAGTCCCAAAGGAAATCAGCCAGAGCCCTTTTGCTTGGGCCTGCCTGAGCGCGGCCAACGCGCAGACAAGTGGGCCGGGACCCGCCTAACGTTCTCTGGCTTGGGAGCCCCAGAGTCCCTGCGGAGGCCCCAGGAGGTTTACAAGAACACGGGGGTGTCCTGCTGTCTCGCAAGCCGGGAAAAGGTCATTGCAAAGAAAGGGAACCTGAAGTGGTCAGGTCCGAGCCCGGGTTTGAGGGACTGACCGACTTAGCTACACATGGTTTCCCAGGTATCGCCGAGGCTGGTGCAAGTACCTGCAGGGCGGCTGCAGCCTCCGGTCCTGGTCCCTTGGACGCCACCTGTTGAGCGGCCTCGGAAGGACTGAGCAGGTCAGCGAGTCCTCGTGGATCCTCATCCCAAAACACCCCAGTCCCTGCACCTTCTCCCGGCTTATTCCGGAAGTGATTCTCTGGTCTCCGAAGGCGCCTGAACTGGTCCTTTCCCCTCGAGGCCCTTCCTTTGCGCCTCTGATCAAGTCGGCACACACCCAAGACTTCCCGGGGCGCTGGCTAGAGTCACTCTCGTGGGTGCCATCTCCACCTCTGGTTCCACGCGACTCTCCGGTGTCTGGAAGAGCCGTGAGCGCGGCGGCTGCGTCCGGACCCGCGTGTTCTCTGAGAGAAGAGCGGGAGGCAGGAGCCGGGGCCCGCAGGCCGGAGCTCTGCTGCTTCTGTGGTTCGTTTGCATCATCTGCAAAGAGAACCCAAGCCCTTTGCTTTATATTGGGGAGACCAAGGCCCCAAAAGGCTAAGGGACCAGCTTCAAGTCACACAGCAAGTTAGTGGGAGAGTCAGCCTGGCAACTTCCAATGACGTCAAGACGCTCGGGGTCACAGGTGGTTGGAATTCCACCACAGGAGGCTCAGGACTTCCTGCCGAGTCCTTCCTACTGAGGTGCACGGGAAGCCATTAAAATAAAGGGCCCGTGTTAACGGGGCTGATGAGTCCCCAGGGCCTGGAAGGGAAGCTGGCACAGAGGGGCTGCTCAGTTTTTATTTTTGAAATGCGCACCAAGCATCATCCACAGCAGTGGGCAAGAGAGACAGACTTTGGGGTCATGGGGCTCATAGGCCATCAGAACTCCAGGGCCTGTGAGCCAGAAGGAAAACTGCTCGGGGAACCCCCTTTTCCAGGAGAAGTGGCTATCCTCATTCTCTTCGCTTTGCCTCAGTTTCACTGATCCGGGGTCAGATGGGTGATAGACTAAGTGCAGCTGGGGGCGTGTGAGGCATCAGGGAGTGGGAGGGACTGTGGCCAACATTGATGATGTAATTGTTTTCTTTTTTTCCAAGAACAATTGAGCCAGCCAATAGAAATCTCAGACATACTATGCGGCTGAGTTTGGCCAGTGGCTATGGGTTTGCCACTAGCCGTGTTCTGTACAGTAGTGGCTGGGGAGCCTGGAGATGGCGCGCTTCTGCATGAGTGTGTGACCTTGGACAAATCACTGGCTTCATTCTCCCCATCTGTGCTTAGAACTGGGTCTTGGTCACCCCTGAAGCTTTGTGCCAGGAAGCTGTTAGGAAACCAGGACAGACGCCAGCAGACAGTGGGGCTGCTGTGGCTTTAAAAGTGCCTGGATGGCTCTAGTGGCAGCAGTGAGCGGCGTGGCCACCTGCGGAGCCCTCCACAGCTGGGAAGATTAGTCTCTTCCACTAGACAACACCCATTACCATGTTCCAATAGCCATCACTTCCGCTAGGCAAGCTGCAGATGAGATATCGATTGCACTGACCCCAGGCCAGCCCTATCCCCAGCCTGAGAGGTGTGCAGATCAGCTCTGGACCTGGCCGGAGGCCGCCAGCGCCCGTCAGCCCGGTCCCTACTGCAGCTGGGAGCTTTGGGACCCAGATGAAGCTGACAGCACCCCAGCAGCTGGGCTGTGCAGGGCCTGGGCTCTGAGCACTCGGTTCATGTGTGCTTGGCTTTCAAGGAGGGTTGGGAGGGGGCGTTTCATCTGAGCAAAGGTGAAGGTGTGAGGGTACAAAGGACAGTCGCGTGGAGGTGGTGCAGGGCTGGGCACGGGGAGCGGGAAGAAGTGGGAGTCAAGGCTGCGGGAAGGCCTGAGGCCAGCATGGGGGTGGGCAGTAGGAGTTTAAGGGCCAGGAGGTGATGGAACTCAGCACCCCATTTACTCCTGGAGGCGTGGGCTTCCACCCCAGGCAACCTCCTGCTGACAGCTTCCCAGGGTCTGCGCCTCCTCCCTCTGCTCCAAAAGGAAACATGGTCTCCTCAGACCTGGCCCTGAGGGTGGGCTGTGTGAGGGCAGTGGTGGTGTCTGCCCGCTTGCCCGCTTTGCCCTACCACCCCGTGGCCCCCACAATGCGGGGCCGGGCACACTGCCCCCTGGGAGCAGGACTATCTTAGGGGAAATCAGACCAGGGCAAGGAGCAGAGGCAGGCGCAGCCCCCATTGGTGCACTCACTCACTGGCCCAGGGCAGCCCAGCGCTCTCCTCACACCGGCAGGAGACCCTCGTGGCCCCTGCTGCCAGGGCTGCACAGGGCGGCCCCGCAGGCTTTGAGCTTTGTCCACTTTGCCTGAAGTGTTCCCATCAATGCTGGAAAAGAAGGAAGGCATTCTCCTTTTTGTCTTTTAACCCTATGGTGTCTCTGTACCCCAGCGAACCTTCTGGGGAACTGGAATGTTCCCGAGCCTCACCTGAACAGTGGTTACTGTGTGTGCATGTGAGTGTGTGTATGTGCATATACACCATGTGGGAATGTGTACGTGTGACCCTGCATGTGCACAAATGTGCATGCAGCTATATGTGTGCACGGGTGTGTGTGCATGCTCATGGCTATGCGTGTGCACACAGGCATGTGCACATGTGTGGTGCACACAGGTGTATACTACATTGTGCCTGCCACATCAGCCCCATCTGCTGTCTTGGAACAGGAATGTTTTGCTTCTTCCAAGGAGGCAGGCGGGGCCTGGAAGGTGGGGACATGCTGGCTGGCTGTAGCTCAGACCCCTGCATGTCTCCTCAGTCCTAGAAAGTGAGAGGCCTAGGGTCCCTGCTTGGACTTTCCTGCCGAGGTCCAGGCTCCCAGTGACTGACTTCTTAGGAATTCCAGACAAGAAACCCCGCATCGTCTAGCTATGAGCCCCCACCCCCACCCATGAGGGTGGATTTAGAAATGATAACCTGATGGGGCAGAGACTCCCTCACTCAGCACAGCTGAGACCTCATGTGTCAGAGCACCTGCGCCACGTGGGCAACACAGCAGGGGGTGCCACAACCTGCTCCCTGCTCTCAGGATGCTCGCCATGTGCAAGGCGAACCCATCCTGGGAATTCAGGGGAAGCTGGGGGATGAAGACCTCAACCTCCAAGGCCGAGGGAGTGGCCCTGTCAGGACCCAGGCTCACTGGCTCAGAGGGTGTGCGGCCAGGGGCCCTGAGGTGCGTGGGCTGTGGGCCAAGTGCATGTTGTCCCAGTGGGCGGGGCAGGCTGCACGCTGTCCCAGTGGGCATCGGGACAATAAAGGGTGGGATGTCTAGCTTCGACTTGGTGTCTGGAACAGTGAATCCTGCTGGGCTCAGGGTGAGTAGGTCTCCGGGTGGGAAATGGCAGACAAGAGGCCTGGTCCCCCACCTTGATCCCCCTGCTAGAAGGGAGACAAGTTAGGAAACTGGACTATTTAATGAGGAGGGCTACCCGAGGAGGGGGAGACCTGTGAAGCTTGTGGGTGCTCTGATGCAGCCAGAAGTGGAGAGGGATAAAGAAGGTGTCCAAAGGGCAGCATTTTGCCCTGAAAGGTTATAAGACTTCCAGCCTCTGAAGGTGGATAAGCCTGGACTCACAGAAAGAACCCAGATGTGGATCCAGAGGATCTGAGTTTGAGACCCACACCCTACTCCTGTGCGAACTTAGGCCAGTTGCTTTACCTCTCTGAACTGCCATTCCCCTTTACTAAAAAAAAAAAAATCTTTTTAATTATGGGAAAATTTGTAAAAACAGATTATAATGAACACTAACTTATACACGTACCCCTACCCAACCCCTCTTTTAGGGAGGAGGGACATATTATGATTCCATCTCCAGGTGGAGAACAGGCTCAGGGATGAAGACCTAACCCAAGCTCTCCCAATGACGGAAGCAGCCAGGGTTTGGGACGGGCAATGGACGACTGCCTGGGGGTAATTCCCAGGCTGCAGAATGGAGATAGGAAACCCTGAGTGCAGTGATCTTGCTGAAATGAGAATACAGATGGAATTTGGGGAGGCTAAGGCAGCTGAAATATATGGTACTGATGATCAGAGGGAACTACTAAGAACTCCAGCCATCAGCACAGGTATCCAGTTGAGCCTTTGGTGAAGGTCTCTTCCAGCAGAGAGAAAGCCCATGAGGTTTCATAGTAACAACTTTCATGGAAAGAAAAATTGCCAGGAATTAAAAGCATCCCATCAAGAAAATTCTAGGCCCAGATGTCTTCACGGGTGAATTATATCTAGGAAAAATTACCAATTGCATACAACCTCTATTAAAAAATTGACAAGGTAGGGAAATGCTTATTATGCTGACACAAAAACTGTACAACGATATCAAAACAGATAAAGAAAATTATAGGCCCACATCGCCAATGAATATAGACAAAAAAATCTTTAGCAAAAATTTAGCAATACATTAAAAGGCTAATATAGCATGACCTAATGGTGTTTGTCCTGGGAGTGCAAAATTGCTTTAACATTTAGAAGACCAATTAATTTAATTCATCATATTATGATCATCTCAAAGGATGTCATAAAAGTATTTGCCAAAATTCAACACCCAACCATGATATTAACAAAAAATTCTAGGGCCTCCCTGGTGGCACAAGGATTTAGCACCACGCTATGAAGCAATCCGCAGCCTCTGCAGCACAAGTTCAATCCTGGCTCACATGGCGAAGCAGACCTCTCCTGTCTCACCCGCTGCTCCCCTCAGCAGTGTATTTCAGTCAGTCTCCCTGTTCTGTTCCCCATTCTGTCTTTGGTGAATCCTCTCATTCCCTTCCCCGCATCTCTGGCCTGTACCCCAGCTCTTGTATGCATAAATAAATAAATCTTAAAAAAAAAAAATTCTCAGCAAGCTAGGGATACAAGGGTCAATGTTTTCTACTTCAGATCAGAAATAAAGTAAAATGTCCCTACTCACCACGTTTTTGCCATATTTTATAGGTGATCCTAGACTGTGCGATAAAACAAGAAAAGCAAATATAAAAAAATTGGAAAGGAAGAAGTAAAACTGCCTTATTCATAGATTATATGCTTGTGCATGTAGAAAACCCAAAGAAATCAACAAAAAAACACAAGAACTAATAAGTGAATTCAGCAAGTTTACGAATAAAGATCATCAAATTGAATTTCTATGTACCTGCTATAAACAATTAGAAAATGAAATTTAAAAAAACAATTCCATTTAAGTCAAATAGAAACCATATGCTTTGGAACAAATTTAACATGAGATGTGTGAGATCTATGCTTTGAAAACTATAAAACATTGTAGAGGGAAATCAAATACAACCTAAAGAAATGGTGAGATATATACCATGTTCATGGATTGAAAACTTGATGTTATGATGGGCAATTCTAAAATTAAAGACTTAATGCAATCCCAATCAAACATCCCAGCAGGCTTCTGGGGAAGAAAGTGATGAGGTATTTTAAAAATGTAATGGAAAGGTAAAGGATCCCAAATGACCAAACAATCTTGAGAAAGAATAAGGCTAGAGAATTCATGCTGCCTAATTCAAGACTTTCTCTATAGCTAAACTATAATCAAGTCAGAGAATGTGTGGGCATATAGATCAATGGGGCAGGATAGAGTTCGGAAATAGGCTCATACTCATTTGATCAATTGATTTTCAATGAAGATGCTAAAGTAATTTAATAGGGAAAAGATAGAGGTGTTAACAAATGATGCTGAAACAGCTAGACATCAATATAAAAATGAACTTTAACCCTTAATCACAACCCACACAAAAAACAAACTCAAAAATGGATCAAGGGTCTAATTGTAAGTGCTAATAAAATGATTTCCAAGAAACAAGAAAGCTAAATGAACTGATGCCAAAAGACCTGTGCTACAAGAAGTGAGATGGGGAGAGGCTTTACCACGTGCAAACAGGATGATGAATGCCCCAGATGGCAGCACATGTGTGATCATCAAACACATTTTCTTATTTTAATCTTTTAAAAATAATATTTGATTCCCTAAAGTCAAAGTAACAGCAATGTTTTACGGGGGTTTTGTAGAAGTAATGCGTATGGCAGCCAAAGCACAAAAGGAAATGTTCTAAATTTATGCAGTTGTGAGATTCTTATACATGCAAAATGAACCGAAGGTAGACCGAGGTAAGCTAAAGAGATATATACACCCCAGAGAAACCACTAAAAGCCAAAAAAAAAAAAAAGAAAAAAAAAGTGTCACTACTAAACAGACACTCAAACCCAACAAAAGCCAGGACAATAACTTAGGATGTGGAAAAAGTAACAAACAGGGAAAGTTCAAGTTTAGAGGGTCTTAATGGAATGTTATGTCCTTGTTGAAAGTGAGTTTTTATTGATGTGCGGAACTGCTAAAATTTTTAAAGCAGATGTATAACAGCTACTTTAAAAAGAGTTTAATCTAGATAACGCTGCAAAAATACTTATAAGCATAGAAAAACAAAACTGAGAAGAAATATACTATATATAGGCAGTATTCGTAAGCAGGTGCTTGTTATTTCTAGAGGATTTTTCCTTTATAGTAAGATGCAGCGACCGCCGCAGCCAAAGACATCAACACAAACACCCCTGGGCTGAGTGAAGTCAAGAGTTTGGTTCTGGCTTGTCACTTGAGACCTTTGGCAAATCAATTTCCCTGCATCTCAGGTGCCCACTCTGCAAAATGGAGATAAAAGCGCCCACCTGGTAGTATTACTTAAGTGGTAAGTTGTTATGAGATCACTGGGGTATCACAGAGAATCCAGGTCAATAAGTGTTAGCTCCAAGCGCCTACCTGGAAGGGGCTGGGCTTCTCACCTCTCTCTCACTGCCTTGCTTCCTTCCGCCCATGTCCCCCCAGCATAGGACACCCAGCGAGGCTGGCCAGGTGCTCTTCCTAAGAGTGGCATTCTGATTGGCCCAGGTGAGGCAGTCATGGTCCAATCAGATGTGATCAAGGGGGCGGGGCCAAGGGACAAGCAGGTGGAGGAACTGTAGCTGGAACTTGCAGGCTGGAGGATGCCCCCCTAAATGCCCACTGCATCCTGTATTTCTTGTTTGCTTTGTTCCACTCATGTTTCTCATTCAGTTTCTTCCTCCTTTAAAAATTAGGCTACTTTTGGCTGTTCAAGCTGCTCAGCTGTGGTGGGGACGCCTTCTGAGGTCCTTCATGGCTGTCATTCTCAGGGCTCCCCGTGGCAGGACAAACTCCCAAGTATGTCACCCACACACTCCCTGCCTTCCCTGGCACGAGCCACTGGGCACGCCTGGAGGCAAAATCCCAGGCTGCTGGGCTAGGGTCTGACCCAGGCGGGCACTCTGGATTCCTTTTTTTTTTTTTTTTTGCTTGAGGAGGGAGGAGTGGATGTTTCCAGATAAACAGGTTGTCTGGCAAAAGGTGGCCTTCAGGAGCACTTAAATCAGACAACACAAAGGTTGGTCTAAGAAAAGCATGATTGACCACGCACGCGCGCGCGCACACACACACACACACACACACACTCTCGTCTTACCCTTCTCTGCAGAAATGAAGAAACAAAAAACTAATGTATCTTTTTTTAATTGTCATTTTACAGCTCCCCATTGTAGCTGCCCCCAACCTTCCCTTGGCTGACCGCTTTTGCAGGCTACAGGGGATCAGGGAACAAAGCTGGGGCCTGGCACCCCCACTACGCTGCCAGCCGGGAGAACAAGTCACAATTACAAATGATCACAACAATTAGCGCCGGTACTTGGGAGATGGGCGAAGTGAGGAGGCCCAGCTCCTCCTCATTGTCAGCCGGTCTATTTGGCGGTGACCTTGTTCTGGACGCGATGATATTCCTTCAGCCTGTAAAACAGAGTCAAAACAAAGAAAAATGTAAATTAACAATAACAACATGTACTCAGTTCAATTAATTCAGGCGGAACCGGGGTGGCGAGGGCAGCTGTTTGTTAAGATGTGTGTGAAGTTGTCTTTTTTTCTCCCTCTCTTTCCCTCTGCTACCCCGGCGCCTCCTGCCCTCCCAATCAGGAGAATGTAATTAATTTATCTTAGGAGGAAAGCATTGCTTGTCATTGTTGAAGACAAAGCGCTTAACTGGCAATGGGAGAATGAAGAGGCCATTATGAAAACCCGGTGTGTTCGGAGCCATTTAAAAGGGTTTATAGAGTCATAAAAACAAGCAGAGGCCGGAGGAGGCGGGAGGTGGTGGGGAGCGCGCCTGGGCGGTCAGGCTGGCTCCAGAGGCTCGCCCAGGCCTGGCTGGGGACCCGAGGCCGAGCCTGGGAGAGATGGAGGTTCTGTGTCCAGGGCATGAGGAGTCGGGGATGAGGGGACAGACAGGCCTTCCCAGCTGGGTGATGGCAGGCAAGGTGCTTAACCACTCCGGGCCTCTCTCTGGAGTTGCAAGTTTATGAATGAAGCAAGAGAAAGGAGCAGAGTCCCTGGAAATGGCTCAGGCTGGGGCAGCTGCTGCCAATGCCCGACGCCTTCGCCCCGTGCCCACGCCCAGTCACTTCTCTCCCCGCAGTGGGGGTCTGGGCTGTGTGTACCCTGATTTCCAGAGTCACGTGGAGACGAGCAGGGCCTGGATTTGAGCCCAGGGTGGAGTGATCTCAGATGACACGTGTGACCCCACTGGAGACGCCTGTGGCCAGGGTGGTCTCTAGCTAGACCCGCAGCTCAGGGACAGTAATGGGTGGGCCAGGTGACCCGCCCAGCTCCTTCCTGCCCCTCAGCACCTCCCTTCTAACCTGCGCAGGAAAGGGCTCCTCCCCGCCCTGGGGAGGGTGGGAGTGGGTGTCGGGGCGGGGAGGGAGGGCTGGGGCCTGTCTAGTGCTAGGTAGTGGACAGAGCACGCAGGCCCCGTCTGGGCGCCAGAGCTTCTTACCTGAGGGAGTTGATGTTGATGAAGCCGGTGGCGTCGATTGGCTCGTAGTCGCCCTGTACGTTCATGCTGTGGAGAGAGCACAGAAGCCTGTCAGCGTCTCCCAGCCCTGCCACCTGCATCCCCACCCAAGGTGCCTCGGCAGGAACAGTTCCAGCTCCAGACCCCACACATTGCCCTGGTCCAAACAATCCCTGCACTCTGGCTTTGCATTCTGTTTCTGTCCAATGCGGGCGCCTGGTCTGGGCCAGGCACTGTGCCAGGACGGGGCAGCAGGAAGCCCCATCCCTGCTACACAATGGGCAACCCCCAGGCGGGTCCTGGCTCAGCCAGTGCCAGCCTGGTGAGAGCCTCCCAGGCACCCAGCACCACTCTTTACTGAGTACACGCTGGGAGACTGCTTGGCCGGAAGGCGGTGCCCAGGAGTGTCCAGGAGGAGCTGCTGAGTGCCTGGCCTGAAGGCTCCAGAGCGGAGGGTATACACAAAAGCAAGCCTGCACTCTCCAGCTCTCAGGGCAGAGAGGCCTGGCATTCAGGGCCAGACCATCCTCCTTGTCACTTAAACCTTGAGACAATTAAACCATCCTCAAGTCAGGGTGCTCGCCCCAGCCAGCTGCTCAGGGGAAGTGCCTGCTGGGCCACCACCGACTCGGGCAGGTTCTCCCCGTCCAGCCATGCCTTCCAGAGCCAGCTTCTTTGGGGTTGTTCTCACCCAAGTGCCCTCGAAGCCCTTCCCAGCCCCAGACGGGCAAGTCCAGGCCCGAGTGCGCACCTTGGCTGCCCCCAGCAGAGGGCAGGGGCCAAGATTCCTGCTCTTGGACAGAAGTTGCCCTGCGTGGGGATCTAGGCATTGAGGCTGGTGCCTGGGAGAGCACACAGCTGGCACCTGGCATGCCGTGAACGCTATTTGTAGCGTCATTTCTTATTCAGGTACTTATTAAGCACCTGCTGCATGCCAGATGCTGGGGAGGCAAGAACAGCACTCGAGAGGGGGGCAGACGCAAAGCAGCCGTCACCCTCCACCAATCGTGACTATGCTGAGCCGTTGGAGTTCTGGGCACTGCGGCCTCAGATCTGACTCCACAAGGCCACTCTCGGGGCCTCTGTTTCTCACGGGCCCCTGTCCAGGTCCTGCCCTGAATCAACCCCTTGTCTTGTGTCTGGAGAACTCCAGCCCGGGGACAAGCCGTCTCAAGGTTCAAGTGACAAGGAGGCAGCCTGTCCCCTCAGGAGCCTCCTCCAGAGAGGTGAGGCTGGAGAGGGGAGGGCAGAGCCCCCGAGGCTGTGCCTCTGACTGGCTCTTTGTGGCCTGAAAAGACTTTTTAGAACAACCAATGGGGTGTCTGGGCCCCACCCCGCGACTTGGTCAGGACTCTGCCCCCCTGTCCATGCCCTCCCTGTGACCTTCGTGGCGCGGGAAGCTGGGGCTCCCACGCTCCCACCCTCCCTCTGCTCCACTCTGCTGGGCCTCCGAGGCAGGCGGCTGAAGCCACCAGAAGCCGGGCAGCGGGGGTCAGAAGGCCCCGCAGAGCTGCCCGCGGCTCCACGTGGGGTGGTGGGTGGACCCAACAGGCTTAACATGACGCCCTCCACATACCACCTGAACCTCAGACGAGGCTCGACCGTCCGGCTGACCCCTGTCCCAAGGCCCGGCCCGGGGGAGGGCCCGTGCTCAGCCCTCCCCATGCGCTCGGGCCCTCCCTGCAGCCCGCACACTCCAAACCAGCCCCCACGGCCCTCCCGGAGCCCCAGCAGCCCCTGCAAAGGGAGGCCCACGTGCAGGGCCACGCTGTCCCACGAGGCTGCCGAGGAGGCCCCGGAGGTGTTTCGCCGGGACCCAAAAACCTCTTTTGAAACCGTGGCCGGGGTGGGGGGAGGAGGTGGAAAAGAGTTTACAATGATTTTTTTTTACCTCCCCTGACGGTCTACAGAAAACCTCTGTGCTTTTATTTTTGTTCATTCGAGTGGCTCTGACCTGCTCTATAATTACGTTACTTTCTACCTACTGTGCCGCGGCATTTCCAGTTCTGCTACCTCTCGCGGCTTCCTCGCTGGGCCCTGTGAGGCTGTCACTCACGGGCTTTCAAGCCAGCGATGTAGAAATCAAAAAGAAAAGGGAAATGGTCGGAGACACAGTGAGAATAAATGCTCCTGCTTTTCTCTCTTTTTTTCTCCTTTCCCTTTTTACTTTATTCATTTAATCTCCCCGAGTGAGGCTGTAAGGCTTAATGAAGGGTTGGACAGATTATTAGAGGCTGCTGATTTGGAGGGGGAGGGAAGAAAGAGCCAGAAAGAGAAAGAGAGAAGATAATTTGACATTTACCCCGACTGATCTAAACTGATTCGGTTATATTTATGGCTTATAAAGTGTTTAGAAAGATTGAAGGAGGGTGGGGGGGGGAGCTCAACGTGGCGGGGAGAAGGGAAAGAGGAAAATAATATTGACTGCCAAACAGAGCTCGCACTTTAATTCCAACCGGCCTGTGGGAGGGAAGCGCCGGCCTCATCCCGGCTCCGCCAGGCCTGACTCTGGACTTGGTGGGGCTGTCTGTGCCCCGGGGGGCTGCCCCCACCTCTCGGTTGGCCAGGGGACCTCCAAAAAGGGGTGTCATCCTCCGTGAAGGCCACTTTCTCCTTCAGGAGGCCAAGGCCTGTGGAGCACTGTGGGGCACCTGCTGGGTTTGACCTTTGACCCAGCCCCCCAGGGCGCTCCTGCCTCTCCCAGCAGGAGGCCTGCTCAGCACCCTCGCCTGACCTTTCTCTCCTCCAGGGCAGCTCTCTGCCATGTCTTCCACACCCCCTTCCCCTCCCTGCTAGCCCCAGATGGCCAGCAGCGACCAGACAGTGCCGTCCACCTCAGAAAACTCATCCTCAGGAAGCCCAAGTCCCCACGCTAGATCCTTCCTGGCGCACACTCCCTCGCCTCAGTGACGGCCCCGCTGCTCATGCCAGAACAAATCAAGCAAAACCCGGTGATCTGGACTCTTCTGTCTCCCTGCACATCCAAGCCCCTTCGAGTCCCTCCCCAAATGTTTGTCAAATCCGTCTGCTTCTCTCCAGGCCCAGAACCCAGAGACCTGGTCCAGGCGCCAGCATGTCCCAGGGTCTGCGTTTCCACCCTCACCAGCCCCCTCCAAAGCACCCTCCGGGGCAGCCAGAGGAACACGGATCGGATCCTTTGCTGCCCTTTCAGGTCTGGCTCCAGGACTCGCCCCTGCTATTCTTGACACGCCTGGAATGTTCCGGGCTCTTCGAAAGCTCAGAAGCCGTGTGCATGGCACAAGCCTCTGGAAATGCTCCCGGGCCCATCCCACTGGGCACCTCCTTTCAGGCTTCCCTGCACCCGCGACTGCGCCCCGCAGCGTCCCGTCTTGCCCAGCAGCCGGGCCGCCTTTCCCGATTCGACATCCAGGCGACGGTGGCGCCAGCGTGTCTTTACGGAGAGGCCAGTCCGAAGGGACAGCGGACGTGAGGGCCCGTGCCTGGCCGGGGCAGGCTGGGGGCACCTACCTCACCAGCTCCTCGTTGTAGAGGGACAGCGGGGACTCCCGGCCGAGGATGTACACCTGGCCCTTGAAGACGGACACCTGCACTTTCCCTTCCACGCGCTCCTGGGACTTGGCGATGCACTGGCGGACAAATTCGCACTCAGGGCTGTGCCAGAAGCCTGCGGGAGGAGAGGAGCGCGCGGATGAGGACCCCCGAGCCCCAGGCCAGGCGTGGCAGGCGGAGGTGCAGGCAGACGTGCAGGGGCTGGCCTGCTGCCCGCGGGGAGCTCAGGCTGTGAGGAGCCGACACCGGGCGGGAGGCGGCCCCCACTCCGGGCTCGCACGGTCCAGGGCCCAGCACGGGCCGCCTGGTGCTGGCTTGCGGGTCGGGAAGACCAAATGTGTGGCCTTCTCTCTGGGCCTCGGTTTCCCCATCTGTTGAGTGGGGATGACCTGGGGTTCCCCTCGGGGCCTGGGCTCAGGGTGTCTGGCTGAGAGGACCCCCCCCTCCGGGTCCCCTTGGAAACCAGGGCACCATCCTTGACGTGCTGCTCGTATTTTACACATTAACCTCAGGCCCTGTGCTGAGTTTTCACCCTGATGAGCTCTTTGACCCTAAAGCGCCCTGGGAGAAAAGCCCCAGCCTCTCCGCCTCTGGGTGGGGCAGTGAGGGGCAGGGAGGTGGTCATCCCACGGCCTCGCTGGCCACAGCTGGTAGGGTTCTGCTTCCTTGTACAATCTGGGCGCTTTCCTGCCAGGGCTGGGTCACCCCCTCGCCCAGGCCAGCCCAGGCCCCGAGGCAGGAAAGGCTTGTACTGGCCGGCCGGCCCCTCGCAAGGCGCTCAGACCTGTAGTCTCTGCTGAGGGGCCAGCAGGTGGGCGCTGGCCAGGCTGGGGGAGGGGCAGCGCGGGGGTAGGGTTTCTCTGAAACGGAGCTGGGAAGGTGAGCCCACCTGGGCAGCTGGGGGGCCAGATGGTGCGTGATCTCCTGCCCCGATAAAGGGCCGGGTCAGCCCTGGGTCTTCGCCTATTGTTAGAGACCCAGGCCCCCAGGGGCACCTGCGGAGGCCCTCCGTGGGAAAGGGGAGCGGGCCTGCCCGGAGGGGTCCCGTGGCTGGCGGAGGCGGGGGAGGACTGGCCAGGTTGGTCCTCGCTCCGGCAGCCGCTACTGCACGTGGCAGCTGGGGCCTCTGTGTGCCTTAGCTTCCTCGTCTGCACAGCTGTCCAGAGGGGACCCAGAGCGGGTGAGGAAAGGGGGTGAGTAAGGTGACCCCCACGAGCACTTGCTGTCCCAGAGCCTGCTGAGCCTGAGCGCCCCTGCTTCAGCGGATCCCCAGCGAGGGGGCAGATGCCCCGCCCCACCCCGCGTCCAGGGCCAGGCCGCTTCCTGACTAAGTTGGGGTAATTACACCATTAGGTCCCCAGGCTGCAAGACAGGCAGGCGATGGAGCCAGAGATAGGGGCACAGAGACCCCGCAGGAGCACCTGGCCTGGCTGTATCTCTGGATCTCCTGCATCCACCGTGGGGGGGATCTTCGGCTCAGATTTCTTTCCCAGCAGACCTAACCTGGGGCAGGGGACAGTGAACCTGGCCTGATGCTTGGGGGAGACCCCGCACATCCTAGCCTGTGGATGCACTGGGGCTGGGGCCTGGGGCCGGCCCAGGGTCAACTCTGCACAGCCACCCTCTTCACATTATACCCTTTTTACTGCTGAAGAAACTGAGGGCACAGGCAAGGAGGTGAGCCACGCCTGTAAATGAGCTGCTTCCCTGGGCCCCTTCGTGCCACGCCTGTCCTTGACAAATACTCTCGCACTAGGAAACAGGAGTTACTATCTTCACGCTTCAGATGAGAAACCAAGGCTCAGGAGCTCAAGAACTGGCTCAACTCCTGGGTTGTGGCATTTGTGTCTCCCTATGGAGAGAAAAGGCATCAGTAGCCCCTCCGAGCTGTTGGGGGCACAGGCTGGCCCCGAGGCTGACCTTGACATCTCTGGGGCCTGGGCATTAGGGGCTGGGGAAGGTAGCTCCATGGGAGAAGCCCCCACGCCCCTGCTTCTTCCCCTTCTCACCCCGAGGTTCTGCTCCTCGTAAACCTGCAGACCACTAACTCTTGGGGCTCCAAGAACTCTGGTTATTGGCTGATGTCGCGTCTTCCCCCATTGTTCCCAGCAGCCACATGCCCTTCCCAGGGACAGACAGGTGTTCAAATACCACTGTCTTCTGCCAGTGCTCTTGCTCGGTGGGCTCATGGCTGAAGCGTGGTGTGGGTTAGAGTAGGAGCGCCCAGATGTGGGGGCTGTGGGGAGGGTGAGCACCTGCCCCAGGCAGACCCTCCCCCAGGGGGTCCCTAGCAGCTCCCCATTGAACAGCTGCGGCTCACCCTGCCCTCCGCAGCCAGGTGCTGAGCTGGGCACTGGTGGGTACTACCTGATCTGAACTGCCAAAGGGGCGGAAACCAAGGCCCAGGCAGGCGAGACTCTTGTCCTCCGTTTTAGGACTGATGAGCGAGGCTTTAAGCCCAGGAAGCCAGCGCCAGAAGTCAAGTTCTTGGCCTCTCCAGCAGATCCCAGGTGCTGGAGGGGTGGCGGGGAAAGAGGGTGATCCAGGGCAGGACGGCACCCGCAGGGGAGTCTGCGGGCCTAGAGTCTCCACACCAGAGTCCCTGGGCTCAGCCCTGCTTAGCCGCCCGCCCAGCCCTCCGGATGCCAAGACGGGTCACAGGGGCAGCAGGTTCACAAGGAAATGAAACCTCAGCGAGGAGGAGGGGACAAGGCGAGGGGCGTGGGGGCTTCTCCCAGGTCGCTGCTATTGTTATTATTAACTTTCTCCATGCCCCTGATCACCAGGCCCCAGAGGCCAGCCTCAGGGGCAGCCTGCACCCCAGCAGCCCAGAGGGGCTATCTGACGTCTCTCACGCTGGGGAGAAGTGCTGTGATCGGACAGTCCAGTCCCTTCACTCTGCCGCGGCCGCAGAGTTGCTGTGCCCAAGACCAGGGCACCAAAGCTTGATTTCCTATCATTTTCATGTTACAAGATGGTACTGTTGAAAAAAAAAAAAATCCCCCAACCACTTAAAAATGTGAAAGCTGCTCTTAGGTCCTGGACTGAAAGAAGAGATGAGGGGCCAGATGTGGGGGTCCTCTGTTTACAACATGAGGGATGGATTTGGAGTTGGGGCCTGGGTTCCGATGCTGCGGCCACAGGTAAGCTCACCTGTGAAACGGGCCCCACCCACGCCAGGTGCTAATGTCTCCTCCCGTCACACCTTGCGCGCTGGGCCTGCAGCCGCCGCTGGTGTCCGTGGAGGACCAGCCCATGCAGCACCCAGCCTGGGCCCAGGGTCTAGGTCAAGGGCCTCTTTCCCCTTTTTGGGGCCATTCATTGATAGCTCCAGGTTCTGCCTGGGGACAAACCCACTTCTGGTTGTGAGACTCTCCAAGCTCCCTCTGCTCTGAGCCTCAGTTTCCTCATCTGTCAGAGTTGCTGAGGGCAGGAAAGTTGGGCGGATGCCTTGGGGTGGTGCATGTCCCCCTGCAGGGCCTGGAGTCACACAGACTATGGGTGGGGGAGGCTGCCAACACCGGTGCGGGGGGAGCAGGCTGTGTCTCCCTATACACCCCATAAACTGGGGGATCCCAGCATCCCCTCCCCTCTCCCTCGTCTGTTCTTTCTGGGCTCCCTCCAACCTGCACCCCTCAGCACCCGAGGAGGATGGCGGTGGCTGGGGTGGCCGTGGGGGGGCAGCTTTGGGGTCTACGCACCCGTGTACACCAGCTCGGCGAATTTCAGACCCAGGCCCTGTTTGATTTTGCGCACTTCCCGATCCATGGTGAAGGCCTCGATGTCTAAATGAGCGTGGTAAAGGATCGTCCCTGCTGGGGTCTCGTAGATACCTAGCCATTTTTCCAGGCAGGGGGAAAAGGAGAAAAAAGAGAGAAACGCATGAAACCCAAACTGTCAGCAAATGACAAAAAAAAAAAAAATAATGACTCGTCTGACAGGAGACAAGCCGGTCGGACCCATTCACTCCCAGCTTGCTGCAAAATGCATCTGTCATTATGTTCATGCTGGGGCCACGACAGTCCACTCTGCGGCTTGTGGAGAAAATGTCTCGATGCCCCCCTTTGAAGAGGCCCTCAGACGTTGGAAAATGACAGGGTTTCGGAGCCGCTCCCCCTCCTTCCCAATGCATGCCCACCGGCCCGCGGCTGAAAACCTGTAATTAAACCGACGACGACGACGGTGGAGCCCAGGCCCCCAAATATCCCTTCCTCCTTCCACCAGGAGCCGGGAGGGGTGGCTGTGCACACACACGCACACGTGTACATGCGAGCACACGCGCGCCTGTGGCGCCGAGAGCTGCGGGCACCTGTGCCGACCCTACCGTACAGATGGGGAAACTGAGCCCCAAGGACTCGGGGCTCGCCAGACACGGAGCTTGGAAGTGGCCCCGAGCCCCTGGACACTCAGCAGAGCTCTCTGGCGCTGGGGGTCAGCCGGCCACACGGCCCCCACTTAGTGGGGTACGATGGTCTTGAGACATCCCCTCGCCGCCCCTCAAGCCCAGTTCCTCCATTTGCAATGTGATGCTTGGAACAGACATGCCGAAGTCGCTGGGGGATGCCTGGTCCCAAGCTCAGCCTGGTCCTAGGAGGAAGGGAGCACCGTGTAGACTTGGGGCTACCCAGGCACCACCAGGCAGGACCACCCTGTGCACAGGGCCTGATCCCCTCCCCCCAGCAGTGCGGCTCGAGAATCAGTCCAGGTGAGCACTGAGCTGACCCTGTCGTGATGGAGGGGTCCCCCCCTGAGATTGCCCCCCAGTCTGCCCTCACCCCCAGGCTCCTTTCTTCCCACCACATAGACCTCGGGTGAGGTCTGGAAATCCCGGCCCCTCCAGGCACGGGGATCAGAAATGTGCGAACTCACTATCCAAACCCGTGGCAGCCTTGGGCCGTAGCCCAGCACACAGAACAGACAGCCAAGCCCATCGTGGGGCCTGGCGGCCCCTCGCGAGCCCCCCGCCCCACCAAGTGGCTTTTCAAGGCCTGTCTGGTCCTCACACAAGCAGACAGGAGACTGAGGTACCAGGAGGGATGTGACGCCCAAGGCCAGCGCCACCAGCAGCCGGGCCTCTGCTCCAGGCAGTCTCTCAGGGCTTCTGGCAAAGGGACAAATTCTCCTCAGAGCAGGAAGGGAACATGCAAGTGGGAAGAAGAGTGGGGCTTTCGCTGTGACTCCCAGGGGTTCCCCACAACCCCATCCCCCGCAAAGCCCTGATATCCTGGTCTGGGGGATGGGGGCATTCACTTCAAAGCCCCACCCAGACACCAGGCACTGCCAAAATGCTTACAGGGCACTGAGCCAGAGCCTGTAGGCTGCCGGCGGGGGCCCGACTCTCCTGTTCTGCATTCAGCCGTGACTCTTTGGGGCAGGGATGGCCCCTCAAGCAGGAAAATACCAAGATCCCCAAGTTTAGGCAGGAGGCCCTAACCTTAACTCTCTGGGGAGTCCTCAGACCCTGCCCCCCGTCACCCCTCTAAACCAGTCCAAACGGGAGCCCTCATGCTTTCCTAAAGGGGTCTCAGAACCAGCAGGAGGAAGGGGATGATGGCGGGGAGATGGCTGGCTGGGGGGGAGCCAGGGCTGCCAGGAAAGGGAGGTGACGGGGAAAGCCCATGACAGGGGCCAGAACTCAGCACCAGGGACACCGGGGGGCACAGACAAGGGGCTCCAGATGACCCCGGGGTCACGGAGAAAGACAGCTCCGCAGTCTGTTTACAAAGACGTGCACGGAACATTCAGACAGATCTGCCCCCAGAATGGCAGCAGCAATGGCAGCGATAAAGAGGCAACTTTTCCACTCCCCTGAAACGTGCTCACCCAGGTTAGTTTCCCACCAGCCACTTAGAGCAACACACTGGCCAGGCCGAGCCACAGGCCGGCCCAGCAGGCAGCACTGCACTGGAACTTATCCGGTGGGAATCAGCCCTGCCCATAACTCGTTCTGCCACATTTTGGGAAAACTCAGAAACATACAAAACCAGTTCTTGTATTAAGAGACATTCACAGGGGGCCTCCCCTGTGGTACAGCGGTTGAGCGCTGGGTTGCGAAGCTGCCTGCAGCCTCTGCAGCGCCGGTTCAATCCCCGGCTGCTCCCCGGCCACCGGAGGAGGGTCCCACATGGCACGCAGACCTCTCCTGCCGCCCGCTGCTCCCCTCAGCAGTGTACTTTGGTCCTTCTGCCTGCTCTGCTCTCCCCTCTGGCTCTGGTGAATTCTCTCACCCTCCCGCGCTTCTGACTGTACCCAGTGCTTGTATAAATAAATAAATAAAATCTTTTTTTTTTTTTTTTTAAAAAAAAGAGAGACATTCAGAGGGCCTCCCTGGTGGCATGAGGGGTTAAGCACAGCACTATGAAGCTGTCCGCAGCCTCTGCAGCATGAGTTCGATCCCCGGCCAGGGAACTGACCCACGTGGCACAGCAGACCTCTCCTGTCCACCCGCTGCTCCCCTCAGCAGTGTATTTCGTCAGTCTGCCTGTTCTGCTTCCCACTTTGTCTCTGGTGAATCCTCTTACCCGCCTCCCTGCCCCTCTGGCCTGTACCCCAGTTCTTGTACTCATAAATAAATCTTAAAAGAAAAAAAAGAGAGACATTCACAGCAGCGCCATGCTGGTGGGTCAGCACCAGGAGCCCAGTTTCAGTTCATGGAGACCTGGAACATTTTGATTTCCTGTTCTCAGCTGGGCCAGCAGCAGGGCACAAGCTGAAGGGCCATGCCTAGGGACCAGCGATCCCATGTGACTTACACCTTTACAGAGAGTGCCCAGCTCAGCTTTGCTGTGTGGCCTTGGCCCATCTCTGCACCCTCTCTGAGCCCCAGGGACAGAAAAGAGGAAGGTTGCAGGCTTTGGCTACTTTTCCTTCTAACTTCCACTGAGACATGCCTGAAAGGGAAATCCTCGCCCCCCCGCCCCCAGAGACCTTACCGATGGTTTTATTTTGAGAACACTATAACCACCTCCAAAGCACGGCTGCCACCAGAGCCGGAGCTCGGGACGCGAGCAGAATGTGACCGGCCGCCTCTTCCTGAGCCTCAGAACCAGCCTCTCGGCTGCAAGGCAGCTGCAGGGAGAGTCGCATGAGGCTGGGAGAAAACATCGCAGCCATAAACACAAGGAACAATTAATATTCCTGCTCCTTTTCTTGGAAGGTGTTAAAGTTAATTGTGACTGATCAAAAAGCCTGTTTTCAGGTTGCTGTTGTGTTTGTGCGAGTGTGCGAGTGTGTGTGTGTGCACGTGCGCATTGCAAAAAGCCCCCCTCTCCTCTCCACGGGGGTCAGGGTAGGGGGTACAGATGAGTTCTGTGTGTTTCTTCTGCAAAAAAAAACCCGACTTTAAAAAAACTGGTGACAGAAACCTGATGCTAAAAGACTGGATTTGGGGCTTTTGACAGTCGGCATACAAACCACTGCGCAAAAAAGGAGGAAGTGACAGCTGAGGCTCCGAGTCGCCGGGGATGAGACAACAGACACCTTCAGAGTGACACGCACAGCGGCTCCAAGTGTCTATTTTCATCTCCCCGTGTTTACAGGGAAAAGACAGAGGTGTCAGCAGTTCTCCCCGGAGCAGCTTCAATCACACCATAATTACTGCCAAGCGGGGTGGGGGAGCAGGGCGAGGAACTGGGGGTGGCCGCATGGGGCGAGTGGACGGAGGAGGAAGAGGTGGGCACCAAAACAGCTGTGGCCGCTTAAATTCCTCCTCCTCTGTTCCAGGGCTGCCTGTAGTCGCTCCGAGTGACCCGGCAGAACTGTTCGATCCGCCCAGCAGCCGGGGTCCGGCGTGGGCTGGGGGTCAGGACTCCCGAGCCTTGGGGAAAGCAGTATCCAGAGGGCAGGTGTGGTTGGGCCAGAGAATGGAGGTGGGCTGGAGCCCCAGGACTCCCCTCGTGGGTACCAGGGCCAAGGGTGGAGGCGGTTGCCATGGTGACAGGAAGGCGCATCCGGGTGGGGCTTCAGCCATCCTCTATGCTTCGGGGGCCTTGTAGGCCCCACCCTGTGGATCACCCCTGGGCTCTGGGGTGCAATCCGCCCTTGCTTCACCGGCCTCCCTCCACTCTGTCTGGAATGTTCCCTCTGAGCAGCAGCTCTGAAAGGCCCAGACAGTGATGGGGAGGGGGGTGAGTCCTGTGCCTTCTCAGGCAGGAAGTGGAGGCACAGGAGGGGACGGGAAGATGGCCAGGGTGGAGGGCAGGGCAGGGCGGAAGAGTCGACTAAGACGGAAGTGGAGTGAGGAGGAGGTGGAGGGAGGCGAGAGGGAAGGAAGCAGGGAGTCAGCCAGAGAAGGGGCAAGTGGAGGAGGAGGAGGGGTAGAGACGCGGCAGCAGAGGTGAGACCCGGGGGCAGGGCTGGGAGGAGAGGAGCAGGCCGGCTGGAGGAGGAGGGAGGCCGAGGAGGACCCTCGTGCTGGCTCTTTCCCTGCTTCCCTCCTGCCTGCCTCACCGCCCCCCCTCTCCTCCCCACTGATTTCATTTACTTCACTTAATTAGCCCCCCTCCGGAGTTAAAAAGATAATGTGATAATGACGATGTCAACAGCCACAATACAGCGAAAGCTACTCCATCTGCAGCTTCCCCAGCCCCTGCCCCCTGACCCACGGCCCCTGGAGCTGCTGCCAGGCCGCCCCGGGCCCAGGGCACCAGCACTGCCCAACTCCCTGCCCCGCCCCCCCTGCCCCCGAAAAAAATAAAAACAAACGCTTAACGAATTCCACTTACGAGCTTTGTAAAATCAATATAAATGACATTTTCCCCGACACGACACGGAGTTCGGACAATAGCTCTTCCCTCAATATAAATGACAATTAACAGCTTCTCCCATTACCATGACTTAATCAAAACCTTGTCAAAGGGGGACTTTACAACGCCCTGATTCACTGCTCCCGCTCTCTCTCAAAATGAATTATTTGGACTGGGGGAAATAAAACAACATATCACCCTACAACGACAAAGAAACTTTCTTCTCTCCTCTTGCCCCAACCCAAGTAAGAAAATCATCTCCAATGGGACATGACAAGTTCACCTAGTCTGGCGCCACCTGGGACAACTGGAGTCTCAGAAAGGGAGGGCAGCTTGCCCAAGGCCACACAGCAAATTCTTGGAGTCAGAATCCTGATCGTCTTTCCCCAAGACCAAACACTCTCAGGACTAAATTCTAACTCTGGGGGTACGCGCAGGGCCTGGGCAGAGTGTAGTCTGCCCCAGGACACTCTGCCTGGGCAGGTGACACGTCAAGGGAGTCAGAACTGATTGTTTAGCTCGTGGCTCTGACCTTCAATGGCGTGACCCCCGGGTCTGGGAAGGAGCGGCAGGTCTACCACCCAGCACAGCACCCCTGCCTGGGTCAACAGCTCTCTGCTGCACCTGCCAACACATCCCAGAGATGAAGTCAAGCCTCAGGGAGGCTAAGTTGCTTTCTCAAAGGAAATAGTCCCAGGATGGCGGTCCAAGTCTGCGCCAAAGTCTTTTTTGACCGTTGACCCAGCTCTTCAGTGTGCCTCTCCCAGGTCTCCAGGGGCTCAGTGCTCATCACACCCAACCTACCACCTGGGGCGCCTCCTACCTTCTTTACCACTTCCCAGGCAATGTCTCTCCACATTCTACCAAGTTGAAGCCTGTTCTCTTGCTGCCTCCTCCAAGCTGTCTTCCCAGATAGCCCCGTTCAGGACGAGTTTGCTTGGCTCTCCCCACTAGCCATCGCCATTTCACAGAGTGACCCCAGGCCAGTCCTTATCTTTCCAATAAGGGAAGGCAATTCATTAGCACCAAGTGCCAATCCTGATTCATTGCTAGTGACTGTCTGCAGCCCTGAGACATACCCGTGATCAATTAGTGATGCCTGCACAGAGTTCAGGCTCTCAGCGTCTCTGGGTCAGTTCTGGTCCTGCCACTGATCCCCCCCTACCCCCCCTGTGACTTCCAGCCTTGGTTTCCCCTCCTATGGAAGGAGGGTGCAGGCCTCCGGGTCCCCAAGGTCCTTCCCAGGTCTGCCTTGGAGGATTTACATTGTGCTGCCTCCAAGGGCAGACAGACAAAGGGACATTTAATCAACGTTAATAAAGGTAAGAGACAAAAATAAGTGAGGATAAAAGGGAGCAGCTAATTAGCAATATTGTTCTCACAAGGCCTTCCTGAGAGAGTTTCAATTAGCTTGTTTCTCTTGGATAATGGCTTCGCAAAGAGGAAAGAACCGGAGGAAAGAAGCCGCTACCCCCCACACCTTTCAAGATAGATCCAAACAGGTCAGAGCAGGAACGACGCCACCCTTCCCCCACACATCACACTTGGGGAAACCGAGGCACAGAGCGGCTACATTCCAGGTCATCGGGACAGAACCCAGCGTCCTGCCTCTTGCCGGCATCCTCTCAAACGACTGACCCCTGGCCGTCCGCTCTCTGGGCATTAGCACCGTAGCCCCCAAGTCCCGAAGGACAAGGCTACAGCTGCTCCCCGGCCTGCTTTGATTCGACTGTGCCATCTTTAGGTTGACCCGGAAAGCGACCGGAATGCCTTCTAAAATGGGGAACCCCGACACCACCACAAGGACTAAAATCTTCAGGTGCCCGATTCAGGGGCGCTACCTGCTCTGTCTCGGAGCTCCTGAAGAGCACAGCCTCCTGGTCACAGGGCGGCCGCACGAAGGGGACATGGGGGAGGGCGTGGTCAGGGTGATGAGGAACCGACACAGGGAACCCAGGCTCTTGTCACCACCAGGAGACAGAGGCACCTGCTCAGGGACCAGCCTCTCCTCTCGTACCCATGCGGCCCAGCCTAGGCCCCACAGCCACGCCATGCCAAGACCGTGTCCCGTGCCACACCTGACCTGAGGGCAGGCACACAGCGCCCACGCCAGGCAGGATGCCCGCCCAGCCCACCGGCCCTCCTCCTCAATGCAGGCTTAATGACCACGAAATCAGGCCTGCATGGTCTGCCTCCAGACCCGGCCGACCCGCCCAGGGTGCAGGGGCCCTGACCTCCAGGTCTGGCCCTGCCCTCTCCTCTCCCCCGAGCGCCTCCTGGACCCCCACGCCTCCCGTTCTCAGGACCACTGCTCCATAGTGCCCTTGGGAGTCGGTGGCAAAGGGTCCCTTATCCTCCTGAGCAGGAGGGGCACTGTATCCGGCAGGATGCAAGGACTAGCCGAGAGTCACCCACGAAGCAGCAACACTGGAGTGGGGGGGCACGCCCCCAAGGCTGGGGAGCAGACTCACCTCGGGACTTCATCCCAATGAAGCGGTTCTCCACGATGTCGATGCGACCCACGCCATGCTTGCCCCTGTAGGGAGGACGGTCACTTAGAGTGAGGGTGACCACGGGCTTGAAGCCGAATCTGCCCCCACTGGGCTCTCAGCGGCAGGCCGTGCCCACCCGGAGCCACGCACAGGGATCGAGACACAGAGGACATCCGAGCCAGGTCAGCTGGTTCCGTGTCTCAGCAGGGAAACTGAGGCCCAGAGAGGGAAGGGATGGCCTGGGTCATGGTGACTTCAACTTGCCACTTTCGCCGGCCTGGCCCTGGGCCTGGCGGGGCGCTGGCCCTCCCCACTGCTCATCTTCCCTGCCATGCTGGTCTCAGACCCCTCCAAGGCCTTGCAAGCCCGACTCGACAGTCCCCAGGGCAGTAGCCCCTGGAGCTGTGACCTGCCAGGGCCGAGGGCCACCAGCCTCTCCCCAAATTCAGGGGCTGAGCCAATATTGCCTGTGGGACCCAGGCCAGAGCCTGCCCTGGAGGGTGACCCCCTTAGGGGCAGAAGTGGGGGGGTGCGGACACTCACGCGACTTCATTCAGGTACATGAAGAGCTCCAGGGACGTGCGGTGGGTGGTGCCATCCTTGTTGGTCACCTTCACGGGGACCCCTAGGGCGGGAGGAGAGGGCGGTGGGCCCGAGCCGAGCGAGACGCCTGCGCCGGCCTCCCCCTCCCCGTCCCTCCCGCAGCAACGCCTTAAATGGATGTGACAGATATGGAGTCCAAGTGACTCCGTGAAAGGTTGAGGCCTGCTCAGGGGAGAGAAGGGGCGAGGAAGCCCCCCAGAATGAAAGGGAAAATGCAATAAAAACGCTCTCCCCCACCCTCCCCATTCTCTTTGCCCCTTTTGCATTTAGGGGCTGTGAAATTGGAACCAGGCCCTGAACTAATTGAATTTCACGCTCCACCATTGTCTTATGCCCGGAGCGCCTTCTGTCCCACCAGCTACCCAGGGGCCGCCTGGCCGAGGTGCGGCTGAGCTCACACACACGCATGCACACACACACACACACACACTCACACACGCACGCACGCAGGCACGCACACAGCCCCGCCACGGCTGTCAGGCCGGCCCCGAGTCCTGGCCCCGCACCCGGGCCCGCACGCCGCCGTCGGGCTGATGGGCGTGAAACGGGGCCGGGAGTGGCCGGCGAGGCGGCGGAGGCACCCGTGAATCCTGAGCGGCGGGGTCTGGGGTGGCAGGAGGGCAGGAGGGAGGAGACGTGGCTGCTGGGGCCGGGAAGGGCCGAGTCCAGGGGGGTGGCGGGAGGGGGGCGGTGGGTGGGTTCGGGGTTGACTCTGAATAGCAAGGGGCACTTTCTCGAGCGGTGTGAAATGAGCAATAAATGTATTAGGGGCTAACAAGAGAGCTGTAACAGTGACAAAGAAAAGCTGTTCAAAGTTGGCGACTAATCCCCCACCCATCTGCCCGGCTCATTACCATGTAGCCGGCGATCGGGTGCCAATCAGGCCTCAATAGCGGCTTTATTAGCCAGGCGCCGCTCGGAGGGCTGCGCTCACGGCGCTGTCAGCCTGGCCATTCTTAACCCCCATTTCCAGGGGGTTTATAACTTGGTTGTAAATTGCTATTAAATGTAAGTCTGTCCAATAATGAACCTTAAGCCCCCCTCGCCACCCCCCGCCTGTCCCCACTCCCTTTCTCTCCCTCCCGGTCCTATTATGGCCGTGCTGGGGCCGTGGGGGGGCCTGGCCCAGAGAGGGCTGACATTGTTGGTGCTGCTGCTGGAGAAAGCCGTAGCCTTTAAAATAGTTAATAATTAGATTAAAACTTCAAATAAATTAACTAGTGGGTGAATGGGAGTGGATGGGACAGTTCCTCCCGTCTGTTTTTTTCCAGACAGCCCCGGATCATTAAAATGGATCAGTTCCCTCGCCGGCTCAGCCCATGCCAGGGGCTGCGCTGTCCCTGGAGCCCGTGTCCAGGACCCTCCGCTGCCTCAGACCGGCACCGCTCCCCGGGAGCTGCTGGGGCGGGGGTTGGGTCTGCGCCCCCCATCTTTTGAGAGATGTGCCCAGGACCAGGCACTTAGTGCTGAGCTAGCTTTAGGAGCCTCAGATCAAGGGCCCTTTAAAGGTCGCCAAGTGGTGTGAAACTCAAGGGTTTCAACAGATGAGGGGCGCAGTGGAGAGGCCCAGGCTGTTGGGGCAGACCCGGGAGAGCTGGCCCAAGAGCTCTGCACGAGTGCCCGCACCAACGCCATCCTGCCTGCGGCCCCTGTTGGCGGCTGGTGGACCTGAGGGACCCCGGGGGCTGGAGTGGACGCCAAGGTCCTTGCCTGCTCTCGGTCCCCTCTCAGCCCCTCAGCACCCCACCCTCCAGGAAACTCCGATTTCTGCAGCCTCATGGAAAGGTTCCCTCTTGGGTACCTTGGGCCCTCACGCTGAGCCTGCCCTCCTGGTACAGATATGCCTGGCCTTGCCCTCCACCCTCCAGGGCAGGCTGGCGGCTGGGCACTCAGGCCAGGCCAGCAAACACTTGATAGTAGCAAAGACGAGGCGGTCAGGGCACCCACCCGCCGCCACACCACCCGCAAGAGAGGCAGCAGCCCTGACCCGGGTGGAGATGGGGGTGGAATACTGAGCAGCCGACTGAGGACCCAGTGAGGTGTGGGCCTGTGGGGTCCCGGCCCTCTGAGGCCAGCTCTCTCTCGGGCTGCTGGTGCCAGAGCCCAGTGCCAGGTGGCTGCTTCCCACGCAGACCTCCTGTGCTCCAAAATGCCGCCCGTGGGTGCTCTCTGATGCCGTTTATAGATGAGGAAACTGAGACTCAGGAAGTCCCCAAAGTCCCAAAGCTGTGGGCAAGCCCAGGGCCGGGAGGCTCTCCCTCAGAACCTGGTGTTTATGAACTGGGGGCTGGGCGGCCCGGGTGCCACCCAAGCCCAGGGGCTTCCATGGACGGCGCCATGGGCCAGGGCGACTGGGAACCCCAGAAGCTACTGCCTACAGGCTGGCCGTCAGAAATGCAGCTGGAAGCGGCTGCCCAGGCTCCTAGGTGGGGTCCCGAGAGTTCCCCCAGGTCCCAACAGGTGGGCACCTACCTTTCTTGAACTCAATCTCCAGGATGTCAGGGCTGTTGGGGGCTTTGGCTGGGTCCTGGGTCTTTGTGTAGAGACCTGGAGGAGCTTGGTTCTGACAAGAAAGAGGAAGAGTTTGGAGGATGGGGTGCTAGGCCAGCCCCTAGTCCCCTGTACCCCACCCCCTGCAGAGGTCTGCCCCCTCTCTCTGGGACCAGGGGGATGCAGGCCCTTGGCGCCAGCTGGCACCGTCCAGCGGGCCTCCCCGCCCCCAGCCCGGCACCAGCCCTGCTTGCCAGGGGCCTGGGAAACAAAAGACTCAAGAAAATCAGACAATTTTTCCCCTCAACTTGATCTCATCTTTTTCTTCGACGCCCCCACAGCTGGAGGTAGAATAGCAGGAGAGGAGCAAGTCAGGCAGGAAAAGTGCGACTTCGGAGGAGCGAGGCGGCGCCTTCCGCGGGCTTCCCCGGCGCGGGCGCACCGCTCTCGCAGGCGCCGGGAATTGGGGTTTATTCTGCACTGACCGCAAAGCTAATGACTACGCGTGACCCCAGCAGGTGCTCCTGCGAGCCAAGCCGTCCCCGGGGTCCCCGAGGTTAATACTCAGCCGGAGGAAAGAGAAGAGCAAAGCAAAAACCCATTTGAAAACGCACCCACCTTTATGTATATTTTTTCTGGGGCGTGTTGGAAAATGGGCCTCGCGTCTGGATGCGGCGGTGGTGGAGGCCCCCCGGCGGCTCTCCAAACCCCTCCCGCCTCCTGGGCCGAGGCTCCCTGGGCTGCCTGGGGGCCCGGCCATGCCAGGTCCTGGGCCTCTTAGGCCTCGCTCTTCCAGCCCTTCCTGTGGGCACCCCGGCCCCACCGTTGGGGTCCTCCTGCTGACAATCCCATGCCATGCAGTCCCTTAGATCCTCACCTTCAAAACCCTGCCAGCATTCACCTGTCACGCTGCCTTCTCCGCAGCCCCGTCTGGACAGAAGGTCAAGCACGGTTACCCCATTGAGGACATGAGGAAAGAGGCTGAGGGGGAGGGCTGGGTTCTGCATGGCCTGGACCGCCTGGCACAGGGTGGGGGACCCATGGGCCCATCCACAACTCTATGTTGGGTTTAGAGGTGAAAAGTACCGTCGAAGCCAGGACCCACAGACCTGTGGGGCCTTGGGGCAAGCGGTTTTGCCTTCTGGAGCCTCAGTTTCCTCATCTGTAAAATGGGGTCAGTGGTACATGCCCTTGACCGTTGTACAATTTAAGGGTCTGGAGGTTTTTACGTATCTCATGGGGCATGAGGCAGGTGCAAGCTGCCACCTGCTCTTCCCTGGGGACAGACCTCTGCTGGCCCCCAGGGAAGCCCCTCCAGAGCCATGCGGGCATCACCTGCGGTCACTTTGCCTGTCGTCTCTACTTTAGGGGGAGCAGCAGCCCTGAAAACCTGCACCCCGAGAAATCCCTCAGTGCTGGCTCTTCCTAGTCATGCTTCTGGGTGCAGAAGGGGCCCGTGATGCCCTTGCACCCTGCAGTGCGGCCAGCTGCAGCCCCTCTCCATTTCCACTTGTGGGGCAGGAACAAAGACACTGACCGGGGGATGTGGTGGGCCTGGCAGGCCCCAGCCTGATGCCTCCAGGGACCAGGTGGAAGACCGAGAGGCAGAAGAAGCAGATTGTTCAAATCATACTGCCCATCCCCACCAGGGTGGCAGCCGGCCCAGGGGCGCTGGACTCCCTGTCTAGTGCTCTTTCCATCACCCCGTGCTGCTTCCCAGCTGCCTCAGTAGCCTGAGGGATGAGCAACTGCATGAGGGAGTGGCCAGAGGCGGCCACTGGGCTGGGCTGGGGGTGGGGGGTCACCACAGGGGCTGGCTTCAGAGAAACACCTGGCTGCCCGTACCCCATAGGCCCTGGCAACACGGAACCTCCTGGGCAGAGGCTCCAGGGCCATCCCCAGCCAAAGGCAAAGTGTGCCCGGACTTGGGAACTCTGCTGGGCTCCTGGGTCTCTTTTTACCGCCCAGGTAAGAAGCACTAGGCCTGCCCTCCACCTGAGCCTCCTCCCAGCTCCACCTGCCCGGCGCCCCACGCTGGCCACTCTCCCGACACCGCTCAAGAGCTCCGCACGCGGGGTGGACACAGTCGGGAGGAGAGCGAAGGTGGGAGACCCGCGGGCCAGGGTCCCACACGCCACCCCACCCACCCCACCGTGGCCGTCAGAGGCAGCTGGAGACGCTTCCGACACCCTGACAGCACCGATTAAATAAAATAACTAAATAGAAATAAAATGACATTTGCTTTGCATTCCGAGGTGGCTGGGCGCCTGCCTCCTCTTTACTCTCCCTCCTAAAAGCCCAGTTCAAATGACAAATAGTTTGTTGCCGAGTATCAATACCGCCTATTTATCCATCCCAGCGGGAGGGCTCACTTCCAATGTCACGCGGGGAGGGGGCGCGGGGGAGGGAGGGGAGAGAGGGACGAAAAGGAGGGCGGGGTGGGGGTGGCGGGAGAGTTGGAAAGAAAGCACGAAACAGGGCCAAGAAGGAGAAATTGGAAGCAAATGGCCCATGAACTAAACCATGATGTAGAGGCATGATCGATGCCGCAAATGGTTTATTCATCCATCAGATATGGCGGCCGGGACTGAATGAACTCTTTCACCGGGGGCCGTATGAAGTTAAAGCAAGTAAATTTCTATCTTTCTTCGCATTAGCTGCCTCATTGCCCTTCAATCAGCCCTCACGGAGGCAGAAAATGGCTCCGCCATCTGCCTGCAAACCCTCCTTTCGGCAGGTCTCGGGGCTTTTTTTGGAGAGGGGGAGGGGGCACGGGGTCCCTTAAGCTGTCTCCCCAGTTCCCCTAGGGGCCCGCGCTGCGGGGTGGTGTCCCCAGCATAGCGGTGGCACCCTGGGCCTCCCTGGGCCGCGCTGGCGCTGCAGCCTCAGAGGACAACTTCCCCCTGGGCGGGCCAGAGATGCAAGGGAGGGTCCCGGAGTGCAGCCTAGGCCCCCTCAGCGGGCAGGCTGGGAAAGCAGGGCCAGAGTGGCCAGACCTGGAGTCCCTCTGCCTGGCCCCACACTTACTGAGAATGATGTCTCCCTGGACTCACGCAGCCTGGCGTTTCCTGTTTGATGTCAGGGGCCCTCCCTTCCTCCCCAGGAATCTTATGTGACCTGAGGGACCCCCTCAGGTCCCCTTATGTGACCCTCCCGCAACCCCTGCCAGGACACGGGCCAAACCCTTCTGACGCCCCAGGAGGTGCTATGGTTTCCCACTGTTTGCGTGAAGCACTGGAGGCTCAGAGAGGTTAGGTAACTTGCCCCAGGTTGCACAGCAATAGGAAAGAGAGTCACGATTTAGAACCAGGTTTCCCCTCTCTGGGGCTAGCTGTCTGGCCTTGACAGGGTGCCACAACCCTGCCACAGACACTCCTTGCATAGCCAAGGAGCCCAAGAGGGCAGGGGGCCTGCCCTGTCACACGGTGGTCTGCACGCCTTCCCACAGAGGGGCGATTTCCCCTCTGCCCCCCAGTCCTGTGTACACGCCAGCTGCTGGAGAAGGGGAGAGGGTGGTTTCCCAGGAGGTGGGGTCTAGAGGCTGGGAGGACACCCCACCTGGAAGCCACTCTGCAGGGCTCAGAGTCCCCGCCCCCCAGGCGCTGAGTGACTGGCTAATTAGGGGTGGTTGGCCTGAGTGCCAGGGGCCAGCGGAGCATGAACTGGAAGAACCTGTGGGCAGCAGGCAGCAGCCCCGCGGGGCCATCAGCCCCCAGGGGGCCAGGGAGCCATGCTCTTGAGCGATGCGGTTGGGGAGGGGGCAGTGGGAGATCCACAGAGGCCAGAGGGTCGGCTCCTGAGATGGGGCGGCCCAGGCACCAGCCCTGCTCTCCCGCTGAGCAGCTGGCACCCTGGGATGACTCAGTTCTCAGGGCCTTGGTTTCCTCACCCGAAAATTAAGATGTGCACAGCTAGAGACCAAGGAAAGTCGGCCGGGAAGAGGCTGATCAGTCTGGCCCCCCAAACTAGCACAAGTCATTGTCTTCCACCAAGAGGCCCGGGTCCTTTGGGGCGCCATCCCTGGGCTCCCGACGGGCCTCCAGCTCTTCCCACTGTCCCCCAAACCACCCGGGCATCCTCTCCTCCATCTGGATCCCCCAGGCCCAGCTGTCTGAGTGCCCCCACCCCAGCACACTTCTTCCCAAATGTCAGACAGCAGCCCACCCCACCCCCAAACCAGCCGCTGGGGTATGGGCTGAGCCAGGGAATGAGACACATTCCCTCAGGGACAAAGAGATTTTTCTCTTCCCAGGATAGAGTTCGCCCTGCCTCCCCCACTCCACGGTGGGCAGCGGGACAGACAAAGGGAAACCCCCCGGGGACAGAAACCCTAAACTTGGAGCAGGACAGAGGGCCAACCTGCGAGGCTGCAAACCGGGGATGAGGGCGCTGCCTTGGGCGTGGAGCGTGAACCCAGACAAATGGGTCCTGGGCTCCGGCCTGGGCCACCACCCCCTTGTCGGAGGCCTGGGAGCCGGTGGGCACAGGCGGGTCCTCCCACAAGTGTCTCATCTGCCTAATTGCTTCTTTATTGTCAGCACCCACACTCCCCCGCCCCGAAACATCTCCGTCCCCTATTCATCCCGACAGCAATTAGAAAAAGAGGGCCAGGGAAGGGGGGAGGGGGGTGGCTCTCAAAAAGCAGCGCAGTGGCAGGCAGAGGGGCCCGTGGGGCGGGTGGGGAGCACAGGCGGGGCTGGCCCCAGCCCCGGGCCGGCCCCCCGTGAAATCTCAAATTAGTCTACAAACACCCCGGCGGGTCCTGGTGCGGAGCAGCAGCGGCCGCCCAGGCGGGTGGAGGAAGTGGGGCTTACCTTGGGGTTCTCCAGGATCCCCGCCTCGTAGCTGCAGGGAGGAGGGCAAACAGGGGTCAGTAGGGGGGACCCAGATTCGCCCTGCACCTCCCACCCCCCAACACGGGTCCAGTCTGCCCTTTCCTCTCTGCAAGGCAACTGCGGCCAACCCCCCCCCCCCCCGGAACATTCTGGATCCACCAGAGTCGGCTGTGGGAGCTGCAGGTTGCAAGAGAGAGCTGGGGCCAACCCCCAGTCTGCCAGGGCACAGCCCGGGGCTCCACGGCCGGCCGGGGCCCCTCCGTCCACGCCGTTCCCTCCGCTTTGCAGCCCCCCACGCCCTGGGCCCTGCCTGGCTCCTCCTCATCCTCAAGGTGTTCCTCTCAAATGTGACCTCCACAGAGAAGCCCTCTCCGATACCCCAGCCGAGACTGGGTGCCCGCCATGGCCCCCACCCCTGGCACCCAGCAGCTCTTGAACGAGACTGAAGTCACTGGGTGGGAGGTGGCCTGGCCCCTCGGCTCGGGGCGGGGACCATGGCGTCAGCCCCCACGCAGCCGGGGGTCGGCAGGCGGCGGCCTCTTACCTGATGTGCATCAGGTTCTCATCCATGCTCCACGGGCTCTTGGGGGTGACCGGGATGGGGATTCCGTGTTGCTGCAGGTGAAGGTGACACGGGCAGGTGTGAGGCAGCTGAGACAGAGCTGGGCCACCTGCAGACAGCCCCAAGCTCCACCCTGCCTGGGGGGGGACCTGGACCACCCTGGCCTCCTCCCCTCTCCTGGGCCACCTGGGGAGGGAGGGGGGCCCCACTACCGGGACCTTGTGTCCCAGTGACTGAAGTTGGCCTTGGAGTTTCCTTCCAGAAGACTCTCTGAGCCCACACTTTGAGTGTGCCTGGCACTGGGCTAAGGGTCCCCCAGCACCACTGGCTGGCCCCACCTCAACCTGATGAGCTGGGCTGCAGCAGACTCAACCAAGACACCCCACCCACGTGGGTGCCCGGTGTTGGCCTGGGCAGGAGAGACACCCACGAGCAGGTCCAGCTCACAGCCTGGCTGACCAGCCATGGGGGCACGGTCTGGGAGCCGCCTTTCTCCCGCTGCTGGGCACAGCTGCCACACACATCACTCTGTAACCCCCAAAGGGCAGAGCCCAGGCTGACTCCGTCTTCCTCGGTGGTTCTGGTTGGAGTCTGCTTTGGAATGACCCGCTCCATTGCTCAGGGCGGGTATCTGCCCACACACAGAGCCAGCGCCCGAGGGACTGTGGGTGCCCCTTTGGGGGCCCACCTTACCAGCTGCCTCCGCAGCCTCTCGGCTGACCCAGGGACGGGACCCTCCAGCACTACATTCTGCCTCTCCCTCCCGCACTCACTGCACGAAGGCAGCCTGGCCTGGCTCCTGGTAAGCCGGGAGGCCCCCACTCTGCCTCCCAGGCCCTTGGTGCCCCAGAACCTCACTGGGCCAGCCCCACTGCCTCATCCAGCCTCTGGTGATGGGGTTCCCGGCTCAGCTCTCATCCTAGAAACTTCCTCCAGGGAGCCCGTGTGTCCTTCATCAGCACTTTAAAATTTCAAAACAAATGAGGCTAAAACCCTCTGGGATTTTCTTTTTTCAAATTTTACCAGGAGACTCTTTATAAGGAACAGCCCGTGGCGTACTCTAGACTCTGTCTGCTCTGCAATTTAAACCACATGGGCGAAGGGCAGCCCCTATGTAGAGGCTGCTCAACACTAGGGGAGCAATTTATCCCCTCAAAGTTGCCCAGAGTCAAATCCACACGCTGGCCCCGTGTTCTCTCCAGGTGGTGAGCCAGGTGTGACCCTAACAGGGTCAGAGAGGGGCGCTGACACCCCCCCATTGCTCCGTGGCGGAGGGCCAGGAAAACCAGCAGGCCTTGGAGCCTTTGTTTTGGGGCTGGTTTGGAAACTTCTGCTTCCACTGGAGCCAGGAGAGGAGAAAGCAGGGCCGGGGAGGGGCCCGGGTGGCAGCCTCTCCACCAGACATTTCTGTTGCCCCACCCCTCTCCGTTCAAGGGTCCCCCAACCGCACCAGCACAGATCAGGGCAACTGAGGACAGGCCATAACACCAGCCCCGGGGTGTAGGGGGCCCTGAATTGCTTCCCAGCACCCTGCCTTGTCACACGGCCCTAAAAAATTAATTACAGTGACAATAGGATGGGGTGAGGCCAAGGTTTTCCCTTGGATGATCGACTTGGCGGGGGGTGGGGGGGGCGCAGTGGAAAGTAAAGCAAATGCACAATTTTTTCGACTCTCCCGGCGCCTCCTGGCCTTGGCGACTCACCGGTCTTGAAAGCAGGGGTTTTCAAAGCCCCATTGATTTTTGTCTCAGCTGAATCAGATCCTGCCTGGCTCTGATTTTTGGACAAAGCCTTGCTGCTGCTCAGTTATTCTGGTCATTTCCTGGGTGCAGAAACACTGCCTCCCGCCTCCAACGCGCTCCGTTTCCCGGGGCTCGACTCTGAGGCCAGACTCCCAGGGAGGGTAGGCGCCCAGGGGTGTGGCGGGGGGGACCCAGACTCTTGTTCTCAGCCCAGATTTCCTGTTCTTGAGCTTATTCGACATAGATGCACCCCCCAAAACTGGGAAGGAGAGACAATTGCTGGGGAAACCGCTTTTGTTGGGGGTTGACGGAAACGCCACTAACAGAGGGGTCACCCCGGTCCCGGCCCCCTCTCCAAGCAGGGCTGCTGGAGGAGAATGTAGGCGGGGCGGGGGCTCCAATTCATTATTCTTAAAGATGAAATGTGCTTCATTTTCTGTATCATCAAGGAGATGAAGGGGGGGCACCTTGCCAACCCAGCTCTCTTAATCGCTCTGCTATTTGACAATTTGTTTGGCAACATATGGGCTTGCTCTTGTAAACTCCCCTCTTAATAATAAAACAACAGATGGTGGTGCGGGCCTTTCCTCCCAGCTCTCCAGGTCTTAATGGGATGCTGGCGGCAGGGGCAGGGCCGTGTCCCCCCGCGTCCCCCCGCGTCCCCTACCACGCGGCACCTCGGCTGCAGGGCGCGCTCACAGCCAGCCCTGGCGACAGCTATTTAAAAACCTGAGCAATTTTCTGCTGTGTGCACCGGCTTGCTTTTCCCTGTCTGATTGATTGAGGCTGTTTGTCAAGGGCTGCCATCGAGTCGCTAAAAAGAAAGGTACCCTGGGGAGCCGCTAAGGATCTTGATGCAAAACTTCTAATATGTTTTATTGCAACTTGTACTTCAAAAGGGCTGGCGGGACAAAAAAAAAGCCTTTGTCTGGTGCTGCTGCCGACCTTCTACCTGTTCCTGGGGGAGCTCTCGGGGGATGAGGAGCGGCCAGGTAACTGGGGGAGGGGCGGGGAAGGTCGCTCACACCCCTGGCAGTCTCCGGTGAGGCCTGCGCTGAGGTGGCAGGAGAGCAGGATAATGGAGGCACAGGGAGCCCGGTGCCCTCGGGCTCTGGGCTGGGGACCCCGGAGATGCTCTGCCCACGCAGGCAGCACGCACAGCTCCGCGGCCGGACGCCACCAGGGGCAGCCGGGCCAAGGCTCAGGCCCTCGTGGCCTGGGGGATCAGGCCCAGCCTGGTGCCACTGAGCCACAGCCGTTGTGGGGGTGTGGCGGGAGGGCAGCAGGAGGGGTGGGGTCCTACCTTGGCATACTCCATTAGGTCGTTGCGGCCCTGGAAGCGGTTGTAGAATTCGGGCATCCTCCAGGGAGCGATGACCTGGACGCGGGACAAGGAGTCAAAGGAGGAGCCCAGTTGCAGAGCTAGGTGCTCTGTTGAGGGGCCCAAGGCCCTGATGACCCCTTGGGGGTCTCCTGCTGTGTTCCTGGAGAGGATGCAGGTCGCGAATGGCAGGGAGCCCCACCGGGCAGGAGACGGCTGTGGAAGGCCCAGGCTCCACGGGGGAATGGCCACGTGGCTCCAGCTGGGTCCCCCTCTGGGCCTCTGTCTCTGCCACTGAGACCTGAGGCTTTGAACTAGTCAGGCCTCAGGTTCTCACAAGCGCCACCAGCCAAAGCCCACCAGGGGCTGAGGGAAGGTCCGTGCTATGCTCCAGACGGTGGGGCAGAGAGCAGCATGTGTGCCCAAACCACTCCCTGGCTCCCTCCCTCATGTCCAGAACAGCTCTGCACAGGGAGGGGGTTCACGGGTCCAAGCCTGAGCGAGGGGATGGAGTTTACCCCACTGGGGCCCCACCAGCTCCAGAGGGTCAGAGACCAGGCCGCAAGAAAATGAGCCCCTGCTCAGCCCTGGAGCCCACCGTGCCAGGCCCTGCCTCTGCCACCAGGACCCCCAGTGCACGGGATGGGGTCAGCTGGGGCAGAAGGCCTCTGGCCTCATCCCGGCTCCTGGAGACCCAGCTTGGGCCCCGGCCCTGGCCCATCCTTCCACCCAAGATTTGGCCTCCACAGACAGAGACCAGAAGTGGGACCCCCGTGTGGCCGCAGGCTTGACCGGCCTGGGGCCCAGGGCCCGGCATGGGCGTTCAGGCAGCGAGGACAAGCGTGCCCGTGGCTTTATGTGGATGGATGTTGGCGGATACCATTTGGGTGCTCAGGGGTCAATAAAGTATGTTATTAAAACTATGTCACCTGCTGCTGTTGATCTTATTTCTTTTACATGGTCCCTAGAAATCATGCATTTACCCCTGGGGCTCGCACTTGGTGTGCCCTACACGGCCCCGCTCAGCCCATGCACCTGCCAGCCAGGCTGGAGGTGAGGGCCATGCCGTGAGGGCAGGGAGGGGCCTCGAGGGGCCTGTGGGGGGTAGAGGTGGGTGGTGGCTGGGAGGGGGTGGTGGGGGGTGATGGGGGGGTGGGGGGTGGTGGGTGGGTGGAGGGTAGTACATGGGTGGGCAGGTGGATGGACACGGGCCCAGGCTCAGGCCCACCACAGGCAGCAGGGGCAGCAGCTGCAGGTGGCTGGCCCTGGCATGTGCTCTCTGGGCAGGATGCCAGGCAGGGGCGTTGCTTCCCCAAGACCCTGGAGATCCCCATTCCGAAAGGAGATGCTGGGGCCAGGACTTTGTCAGTTGGGGGTAGGGTGAGGACCTAGCTGCGGGGGAACCTCTGCTGACACCAAGTGGGGCTGGAAGGGCCGTGATCAGCTTAGAAACTGGCAGCCACATCCCCGGAGAAGGCGGGCATGGCTGAAGGGCGGCACTGCTTGTCGGGCCGAGGAAGCAGAAATGGCCGGCAGGTGGCGACGCGCCCCTGCGGCGGGTGGGAGCGAAGGGAAGGAAGGCACCACCCACCACGAGAAGACTGAGGAGTGGCGTCCCAGTCCATAGAACCTTCCAGAACCCCATGCCCCACCCAACAGGGGACTCAGCACCCAGTGCTCATACCCAGAGATGGGCAGCAACGTCTTACCTTAATCTGAGGGGCCAGAGAGTAGCAGGTGAGCTCAAACCGAATCTGGTCGTTGCCCTGGAACACAGAGCGGGAGCTGGTCAGGAGCTGGTCAGGGCAGGCCGGGGCTGGCCAGGGGCTGTGCGGCCATGGCCAGCACACAGAGGGAGCTCAGGCAGGCCCCGATATGGTCCAGCAGCCCCCCCAAGGACTGGGACCTCTGCTGATCCCAGATGAAAACTGTGGTGAGGAAACAGCTCTGCCCACAGGGGCGGTCAGAACCAGGCCCAGGACAGGTCCAAGCACTGAACTGGGCAGTGTGGGCCCCCAGGTGTGTGTCCACCTGTAAGGTCTCACCAAGCCTCAGTTTCCCCAGCTGTACAAAGGCTGGTTGCGGGGAATGGGAAGAGCCAGCTGACCCCTGGGGCCTGGGTGCCTCGCTGTCCCCTGCAGAGAAGGGCCCCGTCCTGGGTATAGAGCCTGGCCTGGGCAGCCCTGCCCCACCGCCATCTGCGGTGCCTCCGCCGTAGTAGGGACGGCCGTCACCCCACCGGCCGTCACCCCAGGCCCGGGTGCGGGGAGGAGGCCCCGGACAGCGCAGCCCGGCCCAGAGACAATGGCCGGATCGGCCGCCACCAGCAAGCAGGCCCGGAGGCTTAAGCGCCGCGGAAATAACAGAGGGGCCTCTCGCCTACTGTGAGCACTGCAGGCGCAGCCGGGCGCCGTGGGAATGACATGTTATTTTCCAGAGTCTTGTCAGGCGAGGTGGAAATACAGGTTTCAGCCCGGCTATGTGGAGCCGGTGGTGGAGGGCGGGGGTCGAGACTGCTCCTCACCACCGGGTCTCCTGGGGCCTGGGCCGTGCCCGGCCAGCACCCACCCCTTGCACTCTGCCCTTCCGTGGGCACCTACTGGGCACTGCGCCTACTGGGCGCTGGCTGTCTGGGGAGAGCGGGCAGGCGACACCCCCATCTCAGAGCTCACACCTGGAGGCTCCCTGATTCTCTGCGGCAGCCCCCGAGAGAGAGGTTCTATGAGTGTCCCCAGTGAATGGGTGGGAAGTGAAGTACGTGGTCTAGTGGGGCTGTCCTCGCTGCTTCTCCCCATGGCTTCAAGGTCCCTCAACACAAAGGGGCTGTGCCTCCTTGGCGGGGGGCAGGCTGGGCTGGTGCCGCCCACCCTCACCTGCCACGGGGATGCCCATTTGCTCCCAAGTCAGAGGCCCTCGTTCACACCCTGCCCCAGACCAGAGCCGAGGCCCGGCCGGTCCTCAGCCCTTCTCAGCGCCTGGCAGCTCCCCGGGGTGGGGGTGTCATGTCCACACCCACATGCGTGCCACGTGCAGATGTGTGTGAGTGCGGGCGCAGCGCCCACCAGGACTAGAGGGGCTGGGGTCTCCCATCTGCTCCGGGTTAGTCTATACAGATGGCACCACTTACAAAACTCCCCACGCCCCTGCCAGAGTCTCAGGCTCATATTTCCAGGCCCTTCTTCCAAAACTGGGGGGAGGAGGTCCTGGAAGGCTCACCCCAGCTTCTTTGCAGCTCTCTGCCTGTTGCGGCAGGGCTTTGGGGCGACCCCAGCGCCAACTCAGCCCCAGCTGCTGCCCGGCTGGGCCCTGGGAGGAGCCTGCAGGCCTTTGCACCGTCTGTTCCTGCATCCTGAGTGCCTGACCCCTTCTGTCCCCCCACCCCATGTCTCAGTGTCCCCATTTCTGCCCCCTGCTGGAGGCCGCCGAGCCCCTGTACCTGTCAGGCTGGTGACTCAGCAAACTCACAAGGCCTTACCTGTGCCGGGGCCCACAGAGGCCCTGGTTCCCCCGACTCAGGAGAGGGAAACTTCCCAAGGCCAGAGCCTCAGGACTGGCCACGCTGGGGCCTCCCCCTCCTCAGTGAGGAACACCCCCCCAAGATCTGCTCACACCCCAGGCCTTTCTCTTGGTGTGAACGGCCCTACCAGCCCTGCCTCTGAGGTTGCCAGCAGCCCTGGTCCTGCCTCCATCCACCTCCTGCGTGTGCCCTGACCCCCCGCCACCCAGACTCCAGGCCCCGCTTCCAACTCCACTGATCAGGACCCCACCCCAGCTCCTGGTTCTCCTCGCTCACAGGCTCAGTGCTAGGAACGTGTCTCTGGAGGTCGCTGGGCGATTCCCCAGGTTCTGCAAGTCAAGGTAACTACCCCTCAAACCCCCCGACCCCCTGACTGGGAAGCCCCAGGTTTTGGGTCTGGCCATGTCTCCTTTAGACACTCGTGTGAGCGATAGGGGCACCCCCAGTCCCAGCAGCCGCACACCCTAGCCCAGGAGGAGCAGGCAGGGGACACAGGACCTCGGGGCCTCCTTCCCTGCACTTCCTCTGCAAGCAGCCCTGAGACCGCAAGCCCAAGCCTTTGCTGCCCTCTCGCGGCCAACCCGGCAGCACACGCAGCGGCTACCAGCTCTTTCCAGCTCCAAGTGGACTGCTGGGGAGTGGGGTCCAGAGGGTTGAGGTCGTCTCCTTATGAACCCCAAGAACTAGCCAAGCCATAGCCACCATACGCCCACTCACTCCAGCGGCTGTGAATGTGACCCACCCTGTCCCGAGAGTGCCACCAGAGGGAGCTTCTTGGGGGACGAGCTCTTCTAGAACACCCATCTCCAGACCTGGGCTGGAATCGCTACGGGAGTGGGGAGCTCACCGCTCCCCTCGCACATCATGGACCAGCCCTTTACACCTGCTACCAGCCACTGAGCGGGAGCCCAAGTGGATGAGTGAGTGAATGGACGTGGAACTGGGGTGGGGTCCCCTCTTCGCCATCGTGAGTGGGGCCTAGTCCCTGCCAGCGCCCTGGCCAGCAGGAGTGAGCGCCCCTGCTCCAGAGGTGCAGGGCCTGCGGATGGGGGCTGGCGAGCTGCGGGCTAGGCCATCCTGTGTGGTGGCCATGCACCCAAGAGCCCTGGACTGGCCAGTCCCTCTGTTGACTGACTGTCCGCAGCATCGGCAGGAGCCTCGCTCCCTGACCACAGCCTCGCGCAGGCCTCGTGCCTCCTGCCCACAGGGCCTCCCAGTCTGCACTATACACAAACCTGCAAGTGGAGGGTGTTATGAGGTGAAGCATGTCCCCCCAAAAGTTCACTTGAAGCTCTAGCTCTCAGTATCTCTGAATGGCACCTTATTTGGAAATGGAGTCTTTACAGAGGTACTCAAGTGAAAGAGGGTGGCAGGGGGGCCTGATCCAGCAGGCTGATGGCCTTGTGAAGAGGAGAAATTGGACCCTGAGACAGAGGAAGGGGTGGGGGCCGCAGAGAGAAGACATGGTGCATGTGCGGAGCAATGCACGTACAGCCAAGGAGGCCTGAGCTGCCTGGATCGGCTCTTCCCTGGGGCCTTCAGAGGAATGCAGCCCCGCCCACACCTTGGCCTTGGCTTTCTGGCTTCCAGCCCTGGAAACTAACACAGGGTGTTACCCCATTTTGCACTTGAAGTGAGGCTGGGGGAGGGAAGGGATTTGCTCAAAGGCATGCTCAGGGCAACTGCTGGGGTTCACCTCCTCTGCTAACTTGGCCCCCCCCCCCCAGCCCTCCGCTCGAGGCATGGTGACTCACACTGTGACCTTGGCCAGTGGCGATGTCCCTGAGTCCAAAACTCACATCCACCTTTGGGGTGACTGTTCCCATCACAGCAGTACAGACATCCAGAGCTCACCGCACCAGGGCTCCCTATCCCTGACGCTCACCACTCCCACTGCCCCTCTTATCCACACCCAACCGGTGGCCCAGCCACTGAGCAGTTCTGGGCTCAGCCTCCTGGTGCTCAATGACATCCAGCACCTGGCTGCTGCACGCCCTTCACCTGCCGGCTCCTCCCTCTGTCCAGCCCACTGGGCCCATCTGTCTCCTCACCTTTCCTGTGGCTCCATGAGACACATACTTGGCTCCCTCCCGCTTGGCAATCTCCACTTGTTTGCGGGCAATGCAGGGCCTGGCAAGAGAGGTGCCCAGGAGGTAGCGGTCTTCGTACAGCGCGCTGGACTGGACAGCGGGCCAGATGAACTCCTCCACAAACTCCTTGCTGACATCCTCGATGAACACCTACGGGGAGAGGAGCCCATGGGAGAGGGCCTCAGCCAGGGGGGCTGTATTCTGATAGAGCCGCAGGGGCCTCAAATGACCTGCTTCTAAGGCAGACATGGCTAATGGATCCCAGCAAGCTGTGCCTCCACAGTTCTTGCCACACCTGCGGTAGACATCACTAATCCATCCTAGCACATACCATTATGTGCACCCATGGCAGACACTGAGAATCAATCCAGCACATACCACTGTTCTCCCTCCTGTGCTACGGCAGACATTGCGAGTCAGTCCCAGTACTCCATCCAGCTGAAACTGGATGTGTCCTTAAATCCCTCCCAGAACAGTGTGCTGGACCCAACTCATGTGCTGGCTGAAGCACATTCTCATCTTCAACACTCAAGTGTCCCGACACTTCTGGGCTCCTGCTCAGATAACTCCTCCTCACCTGACCAGTTTATATGATGGCCCCTGTGGTGGGGCGGACTTGGGCCTTTACTCCCTCACATGTTCATCTGAACCTGCTGACTGAGCCCTTTCTCAGTGTTGGGTGTGTTTTTAGGTCTGGAAACCCAGAGGAGTCCTGCAGAGGGAACCAGTTCGACTAGACGTGCAGGCTGGTGACCTCTCTCACCATCCCTGTTCCCCCAGGTGTCCCTGTAGGAGCAGCTCACACTTCACACCCCAGTGGCCCCACACAGCACAGGGCCTGCCTGCCACATGATCAGATGCTCAGTGGGGGCACTGCACTCAGACTTTTTATTCGGTTGAATGGCTGGAAGGATGGGGTGGATGACAGAAATAAGAGGGATGAACTGGATGGTGATAAATACATGGATGGATGGATGGATGCATGCATGACAGTTGGGTGGAGTCTGGATGGATGGATGGATGGATGGATGGGTGGATGGATGGATGGATGGATATGGGTGAGAGGGTGGTTGGTTGAATGGATGATGGTCGGATGGATGAGGGAGTGGAAGGGCAGATGGACAGAGATAAAACTGGGCGGGTGGACAAGTGGGTGGGATGGATGGATGGATGGATGGAGAGGTGATCAGTGACTGGGTGGAAGAGCAGTTAGGGGAGGCAGGAAGACAATGGCATTCACACACCCCAAAACGGGGGGAGTTGGTCTATAGTCTAGAAAGCAAGAGAACTTATTGGAAGAAATGCAAGGGATAAGGAAGAGGGAACCCCTCCCTGTGTCAAAACCCCACTTTCAGCCCCAAGCCCTGCCTCCCACTTGGTACCTTTTTGGCCCCAAGCTTCAGCGCCTTCTTCCTGGCTTCCTCAAAATCTTCCTTCTGGCCGATGTTGGCCTGGGAAGCAGAAGCAGAGAGGCCCAGTCAGCACAGAGGCAGGAAGAAGAGGGCGAGAAGCCCCCAGGGGGAGCCCTGGGCAAGCCCCATTCACACACACACACACACACACACACACACACACACACACACACACACAGATGCCCACAGGCGGCTGGGCTTGTGGTCAGGAGAACGCGCAGTGGGTCTGGGGATACTGGACTTCTCCCTGGGCTCACGCTTGAGCCCGGGCTGGTCGGAATCTCTGTGGCCTGGAGGGCTGGCGGTGCCAGCTGTGCTCACTGAGTCTGGATGCAACATTTCTTGGCATTGCCTTGAAGGTCTGTTTTCCCCTGAATCCCTTGAGCTCTTCCCACCAACACCCCCAAAGTCAGGACAAAGGTTGGCTTGTCAGGAACTGCCTGACCCCCTCCCCCACCTCCATAGCCAAGGGCAGCGACTTGACTTTCCCCAGGAATCCCAGCCACTGAGACCAGGGCTGGGCCGGCACTGCCCAGGTCCTCACTACTGGAGCCCTGACCTCTGGCCCCCCAGCCCCCCGACTTGTCAGGGGCGAGTTTCTGCTGCTGCACTCTGGCCTGCTGCCCAGACGGGGGCCCTGCCTTCTGGCAGCAGACCCGCTCAGCTCAGCAGACTCGGGAACCCGCCCGGGGCCCAGCCGCAGGTGCTTCTCTGCAGTCAGCAGCTTTTTTATCTGCCCAGGGGTGGCTGAGGCCCAGGCAGCCAGATGTGTGATCTGGGGCATGGCAGGCCTGAGGGAGGGCTGGATCGTCACTTCCAGATGGGGAGACAGGGCAAGGAAAGAAGTCTCCCTGAAGATGGGCTTGGAGAGGGTGTGGCTGGCGTGCAGGGGGACCGCGGGCGGGATGGCAGCAGGACTGGCAGGTAGGAAGGCAGGCAGGCCGGTGCCTCCTCACCAGATAGGCGATGACGTCATAGCCTTGCTCCTTCAGCCACACCAGGATGCAGGAGGTGTCCAGGCCGCCACTGTAGGCCAGGACCACGGAGCCTTTGCTGGACATCTCGTCTGGGCGGAGGTGAGGGAGAATGTGAGTGCCCTGAGCCAGCCCATCCCCACCAGGGCAGTGGACAGCGTAAGCCCTGGGATGGGTCTGTGGGGAACTGGATCGGAGCTTCCTGCAGCCACACGCTGGGGCACCGGGAATGCTGACAAGGGTTTGGGCTGGGTGGAGGAAGGGCTGTCTTGGAGGGAGCCCCCACCCACTAGGAATGCCTGGGCTGAGCTGCTGGCCCCCAGGCCAGCACACCTGCCCTTGCAGAGCTCACAAGGGCCAGACATGGCCCTGTGGCCTCGCGCACAGTCCTGCCTGCCCGCTGTGGCCCTGTGGGGCCTGCATTGCTGAGCCTGCTGGGGACGGACACGGGGCTTAGTGGGGTCAGTGGCTGGCTGGAGTACCAGAGCGGCGCCCCCCTGGAGCCCCATCCAAACCCCACACATTGGGATTTTCACATGGAAGCCCCTGTGAGGAGACCCTGAGCACCCACTGAAATCAACTGAAAATGCTCCACTGAGAGGCGCTCGGGGACAAGCGGTGGGTGGGGAAACTGAGGCCCAGAGAGGGAAGGAAAGAGGCAAAGGTAGATCCTTCCCCGGGGACATGGACCGGGGTCCGTCACTGTGCAGCTGGGACAGATGTGTCCTGCCCTTCCCTCTCTCAACTACAGTGAAGCTTCTAGAAGCACCAGGGCCTCCATCAGCTTGCCCTGCAGCTCCCCGTGTGCAATGTCTTCCCCTGAACACGCAGCTCCCTGACGCTGCCTGGACACGCGTGGTCTGAGGGCAGATCCTGCTACAGGGCCCACTCTGCCGAAGAGGAAACCGAGGGTTGGAGGTGAGGTCACTTGGAAGGGGAGAACGCTTCCTGCAGCAGTGAGGGGGGATTCTGATGGGCACCCGCAGCTATCCCCTCCACCGGGCCACCTGCCAGATTCTGCCCCTCCCCACCCGGCCAGCTGGGCTCTGGTGACTCAGCAGGACTTGGCCCTGGAGCCCCCAGAAGGGTCTGTGGGAACCGCGGCCAGGCAACAGGGCCCCCAGGACACAGGGAGGGAGGGGGAGCTGGAGGACTGAGGCAGGGAGCGGTACCTGGGATGGGAGGTGGGGTCCTTGCTTCTGGAAGCTGCCTTGGCGGCTCAGCAAACAACTCTGCAAAAACAAAGGCTGCTCAGTGGCCTGCAGGGCGGCTGGGGTGCAGCCAGTGACCTGGACCAGCCTTCCAGGCCCCCCACCACCTGAGCAGCTCTCCGGCTTGCGTGGCAAGCTGGCCTCCTGGCCTCCGGTCCTGCATGTTGGGGGACAAGAGGGCTGGTGGCACACGCAGGGGGGGTGGGCTGTGCATGCTGTCGCAAAGGTTAACGACGGCCCAGATGAGGGGTCACGGACAGTGAACGACGCCTACTTCAATGCCCAGGTTCATAGGTGTCAGCGTGTGTCTACACCCCAAGCCCACCCCAACCCCATGTGAGCCCTCGCCTGGCAAGGCTACTCCAGAGACCAGGAGCGTACTTGGGTTCAGGAGCCCTCTGGACCCTGCCTGGCTGCTGGGATTCAGACTCACGGGGTGAGGGACCAGGCTCTGGACCCCGCAGGCACCTCAGACACCCGGGGTGGAGGCGGGCTAGAGACGGGGCAGGTGACGTGGCCCAAGGTTTGCCCAGTTCTTACAGTCACCCACTCTGCCGCCTCCCTAAGGGACCTGGAGCCGAGGGAGGGTCCCAGACTGTGGGAGGGGAAGTTCCATGGAGGCAACCCCGCTGCGCCTGCTCTGCTCCGGGGATCCCCCACACTGGTCCCCCACACTGTCTGAGGTTGTCCCATCACCACACATGACCCTCCTGTGCCCCTGTCCATGGGACAGGGACAACCTCACACAGTGCCCAGAATGTGGCTGGCGCTCAGAACAGCAGGCTGAGTCCACCGTCTGGAGATCAGCCCTCACTTGTGCGAAGAGAGAATTTAAATCCTTTCCAAGCCCGGGATTCCAGGCATGCTCTCAGCCGGAGCCAGCCAGCCACCAGCCTGCAGGGCTGCACGCACGGGTGCCACTGAGACCTCAGCCTCTGGGCCCGGGGAAGGAATGTGGGCCCCTGGGAGTGCGTGCCTGAGTACACAAGGGTGCCTGCATGCACTTGCACACATGCAGTGCCTGCCTGTGCACACACATGTGCCTGCAAGCACACAAGTGAGTGTGCGTGTCTGGCCTTCTGCTGCCCAGGGTTGAGGAAGGAGGCCATCGGACTCTGCTCAGCTCCTGTGCCCCCAGCACTTTTTCCTCAGCCCCCAAGGTCCCTGGGTGCCATGACGAGGCTGAAGTCTGGGCAGAATCAAAATGAAACGGAGGCCTCAGTTTGAGGGAGGTAGAGAGGGAAGAGCAGCTACACAGTGTGGGAGCACTGGACTCGGGCAAACTCAGCTGTCCATTTGCAAAATGGGGAGAGAACAGGCCCCACAGTGACCCTGGGAGAGAGGCGCCAAGTCCCCTCACCACCGCCACTGCTGACCCGGGCAAGTCTCGATGTCACCATCCACACAACGGTCCCAAAGCTCTCGCGGTTCTGACACTCAGGACACTGGGCTTCCTGCCCAAGGAGGCATCTAGCAGGACTCAGCTGCCCCCTGCCCTAGACTTGTCCCATCACACCCTCCAGACTGCACCCTGGCACGTGCCCAACCAGACTTCACCAGAAAAGGGACACCTGGGAGAAGGTGGCCCCATGCCAGGATGCATGCCAGCCTTAGTTGGCAAGGCAGTCAGAGCCGGCCAGCAGCTTCCAGGAACATGCCAGGCCAGCCTGGGTGCTCACTTAATGCTAAGGAAACCCAAGGTGGCTCTGAAAATCTTAGCTGGAACAATGATAAAAGCAGAGATTCCATTCAGGGCCACATGAGCATTTCAAGGCGGGGACTGTTATTACCCCTTTACGGACCTACAGGTGAACCTGAGGCTCAGGGAAGTTCCCAACTTGCCCATCACAAGCTTGCAGGTGGCAGTGCCAGGCTGGAACCTGGGCTGACTGTAGACCATAGGCTCTCTCCTCTCTAGGCCTGTACCCTCTCCTCCAGGAGATGCCAGAGCCTCTCCTCCTGGCTTTAAGCATCTTCCAGAAATCAAAATCCCCAGTGAATCACCACCAATCACTATTCCATTTCTCTATCTATCAGGGCTACCCCCATGTGGATGCTTCTCTGCACCCTCCCCGAGATTCTAACTCAGTTGAAAAAATCCACTTAGACCACAAAATTTCTTTCCCCTTTGGATTTCCTCATCCTAGAATTGGCCACCTATCTCGTCTGTGTCTGATAGAGCAAGGTTGCAATTTTGCACTTTGACCAGGAGATGTTGCTCTGCATTCATCTGACCTCTTGCTTCACAGACTCAGCTCTTTCCAGGTGCACATCTCCCAGGGTGACACAGGCAGGGGAGGGATTTTCTTCCCAAGTGACAGGTGAGGAAGCTGCCTAGGGGGCTGCCTAGGCTACACTCACTGAACGGCTGTGGGATTCCTGAGGTCTGAGAATCTCATCAGGAACACTGGGCTCTCTTGGGGACACAGACGCTCCAGCAAACGTTTTCCACCCAGGGTTGGGGGTCATTTGGGAGTCTGCGTGGCTAAGGAAGGTTGAGTCTCCAGTTTTGACAAAAGGCCCTGAGGTAGGGAGGGAAAGGGAATCTCGCTAGGCTTCCTGAGAAATTTGCTTATGGAGTTTGAGCATTCTCCTCAAAACTCTGAAACATCTCTGCGAGCTGGGTCTAGCCCAGCCTGGGGAGGGTGCCTGCCCCACAGGCGGCAAGTGCAGCAACCAGCGCTTTAGCCCCTGAGTTCCCCAGTTATCTCTTTTCATGAGCCCAGAGGCAAGGCGTGAGCCTCGGGCTGTGTGCCGTCAAGCGAAGGCATCTGGCTGTTCTGGCCGGGAGCCCAGAACCCATGGGGCAAAGATGAGATGGGGCAGGACAAAGCGCTTGCACAGCAGATGAGTCTGGGCCTCCCCTGCCTTCTCCAATCAGGCAAAGGGCCTGATCCCCCACTTTGAATCTAGCCCCTGGGCCCTGAGTCTGGGGATATGGTTACTATCAGAACCAACTGGTCCCACAAGCTCAGAGAAGGCAGGCAGCCGATGGGGGCACGGCTGAGTACCCAGAGGAGCTGTGCAGAGCGTGGGGGCCTCCCTCCTGCACCCTACCCCTCGCCCGGGCCCAGCTGCAGGTGGGAGCAGGATCATCACTCAGCCACCTGCGGGGAGCAGAGCTGGAATTGCTTTTTCAACAGAGGGTACAGGTGGCTCCACCTGGCACAGGACCCCCATCCCGCCGCCACCCCGTGGCTCCCCTGACCTGGCTGGAGCGGGGTAGGGACCCTGGTGAGCTGGAGGTGGGGTTCAGAGTGGAGACCTCTGCAGTTCCAAGCCATCGCCAAAGACCCCGTCCACTTATGGCATCTCCTGCCTTGTCTCCTTCCCCCACCCCTAGCTAGGGAGGGTGGGCAGGAGTCCCAGTGCGGCCAGGTGGGGCACTCCCAGTTGATGACCCAGGCTTGGCTCTCAAGAGTCTACAGGCCCTTCTAGAATCTTTCTTGAGCCCTGAGCCACCGCCTGCTCTGACAGACGGAGCAACTGAGGCTGGGGGCTGGTGACCGCTCTGTAGCTTAGGTGGGCTGAGCCCAGCACCTGCCGCCTCCTGTCAGCAGCACCTGGCTGGGGTGGGAGGGGTCAGAGCCAGTTCCTATTTGAGCCATCTTTGGGGGGAAGAACAGGTTTGGTCCTGCCTGAGATGCGAATCCAGATCCCGCTCCGGGGAGACACCCCACTCCGCAGACGGGGAACACCGAACAGGCACCTCCCCTGCAAGACCCTGGGCGGGATGGGCGGATTTTCCTCCATTTCACAATGACCCTCCGGCCCGAGGGCGCCGCACTGGAGGGGCCAAAGGCAGCAGCAGCCCAGCCCTCGGCCATTTCCTGCGGCCCCGCCCAGGGCGCAGGGAGCCGGGCAGCCGGGAAGGGAGCGCGGGAGGGCCCGGGGCCAGTTCCCTGGGGGCGGGGAGGGCCTGGGGGGGTGTTTGGGGGGGAAGGGGCAGAGCCGGACTGCTGACGCCCCTGCAGGTGGGGGAGACCAGTCGCCCCAAGCCGGGGTCCCCAGCCCACATGCCCGGGTAAACTGAGGCTGGGCCCGGCGCACCCAACCCGGGGCGAGCGCGGAGGCGGGGCTGGAGCTCCCGGCCCCGCGGAGGGGAGGGGGGGCTGGGGGGCCAGGGAGGGGCGGGGGACACCGGGCCCGGCGCTGTCACCCCGGGGAGGGGCTCGCGCCCGGGCGGGCTGGATCCCGGGGAACCCCGAGGGGACCTCGGCCCGACCCGCCCGGCCCCCAGCAGTAGGAGCCCCGAGGGGGCCCCCTGCCCTCGCGCCCAGGCCCCATCTGGGGCGCGGCCCCCCGGGGCCACCCCCGCCCCTCCCCACCTGCCACGCGGAGGCCGCCGCGCCCCGCGCTCGGGGAGGCCGGGAGGGCACGAGGCGGAGCGGGCGCGGCCTGGGCCTCGGCGGCCGGGGGGCGGGGGGGGCCTTACCGGTCTCTGGGCGCGGCGGCGGGCAGCGGAGCAGGGCCGGTTGCCGCGCGCAGCCCGGGTTATAATCGCAGCGCCGGGGGGGGCCGGCACCCCGACACGTGGGGTGGGGAAGGCGCGTGACAGGCCCCGCCCCGGCCCGGCCCCCTCGCTGAGCCGCTCAGCGCCCGGGGCTACCTGCGGGGGGCGGGCCTGGGGGGCCCCTCCTCGCCCCGCCCCTCCCGCCCCGCCCCCGCCGGACCCGCGCCCCCCCAGACTCCCCAGGGCGCTAGGCGGGGCGGGGCGGAGCGCGGGGCGGGACTCCCGCCCTGGCCGCGGGCGGCGGCTCTTCAGAGGAGCCCGGGCTGAGGGCGGGCCGCGGCCACTGGCCGGCGACCAGCGGGTCCTCCGCAGACTCGGCCTGGCCGGGGAGCCGGAGCCCCCTGCGCACCTCGCGGCCCTTCCCCAAGCGGCCCCTGCGCTGGCCGCGGAGCCCGGGCCCAGGGTGGGGCGAGAGATCCCAGCCGGGGGCCACGCTGGAAAGTCCAGTCTCGCCCCTGTGTCCAGGGCCGGCCTCCGGCTGACTCACCAGAGCCTGGCGCCTCGCCAGCCCCTTGGGCTCCCCGCGACAGTGAACAGCAGACCCGCTGCCTGCGCGCCCCTCGGTCTTCCGGCAAGGTTGGGGTGCACAGGGGGAGCTTTGCTTGCAGAACAGGAGCTGTGACCCCACTCTGGCCTTTAGAAGCTTCCTTCCAGCTGCCTTTACGGGCCCCAAGTCACCACTCACTACAACCACAGCCGGTAAAGCAGCAGGTCCCGTGGGGTTCGCAGCGGCCATGGTGAGGGCGGCCGTCCAGATCCTCCCAGCCCCGAAGCCAGGACGTGGTGTAACGCTTGGGCTGCCCCTCTCCCTGTCCTATAACAGTGGGAGCCTTGAGTTGTCACTGCTGGAGAAAATTTGGGGGGTGCCAAGGGGGAGTCGTGTGGCAGGCCCCTTCCTGTACTGGGAGCCACCTGAGAAAGGGACCCAAGGGGAGGGGCCAGGTTGCTGGCTGAGCGACCCCCAGCCCCCTGACAGCCAGTGGGGCTCACACTCCCGTCTGCCCACTCGAGCTCATGGGTGTCAGTCAGAAGCTGCGAGTCCTTTAGGGAGAGAAAAGGCTCTGACCAGTTTCAAGCTAAGTCATATTTTAAAGTCCCTGGAAGCCCTTAGTCTCTGGCCCCCAAACCCCAGCAGTGGGCGTTGATGGCAGGGGCTCCTGTGACCCGTGAGGTGACTGTGGGTGACTTGAGGGGTGGAAGGGATGGCAGCTGTCTCAGCCCCATCACGGGGCCACCTCCCGGCCTCTCTGCCTTCCTCCCCAGCGGGGAGTGAGGAACAGCTGCAAAATAAGACACAGCAGCAGACCTGCAGCCTCAGTTTCCCCAGCTGTTGAACTACCCCTGGCTGAGTCCTCATTTGCTGGGTCCTCATTTCTTCCTTCTCACTGCCTCCGGAGGAAATTGGGGAGCAGACGGCTCAGTGGCTTGGGACCACTTCCTTGGAGTTACTACAAAGGAAGTGGAGAGGGAAGCAGAGGCAGTAAGACCTGATGATTCCCCCAGAATCTCTCCAGTTAGTAGTGGCTCCAGTACCATTAGAAAGACGCCCCATTACCCAGACCTTAGAAAGGGGGTGAGGTGAGGGATGAGCCCCTGCCAGTCTAGGAGGGGGCTTGGGATGGAAGAGGATGTAGGGTCAGCACCCCCTAAGCATCTGGGGGTGCCTGGGCCCTGTTCATAGCCCTTCTGATTCCCACCGAGTCACCTTTATTCTCCTTACATTCATGGAAGCCCCCAGGCCCACCCTGTGCTACTTCCATCCCCACTGTGCAGACAGGAGCTGGCAGCGAGGGCTCCTCCCCAGGCCTGCGCCGCAGGTCAGTGGCCGAGGGGACTAGGGAGCCATCTCTGAAGCTCTGGCCAGACCCTCGGCTGCAGCTGAGTTGAGTTGGTGGAGGAGACAGCGCCTCAGTCCCAGGGCCTCAGGCTGTGGCCGTGTGACTCCCTGCTGTAGAAATGGCTCCAGCCCAGGGGATTGTCTCTTCCTGACACACAGACACTGGTGACATGAGGGACAGTGAGGTCACAGCTCTTTTGAGAAGAAAACAGGGGCCTGACTGCCAGCAGGGCCCTCCCACTGAGCAGCAAGGAGATGACTGCCAGAGGCAGAGATCAAGGTGAGGGTGGCCTGGCTGACTCCAGGGTGAGCCGCCTCCTGCTTGCACCCCTTCCTCTGCTAGGTGTACATCTCCCTCGTGTTCCCGCCCTTATCCTGCAGAGTGCCCTGGGGCCCAGGCCTGGGACACAGTGAGAGGGGATCCCCCACCTGGGGCCGAGCGAACTTGGTCTTTGTCTCTCACCCACACCTCAAGAGGCCTGCGTACCTGCCAAGTGAACGACCACTTCTAAAAGCACAGCAGCACCCAAGCCTGGCTGGAGGGAGAAACTGAGGCACTGGAGTTTGAGGTGTTCCAACTGATATCCAGAGTCGGCCCCTTTCTCCCACCTCCCCCACCTCCCGGCCCCCACACTGATCTACCACCTTCTGCTGCAGAGAATGTAGCCTCCTCCATGGTTTCTCTACTTCCCCAGGCCTGCTGCCCGTCCTCTCTCCATCCGACAGCTTGGATCAGAACACATCACTCCCTTCTTCCAACCTGGCAATGGCTATTCCCCTGCCCTACGCATTTCCAGTTGTTCTAGCAAGTTCAGTTGCAGACTTTACTTTCTTTCTCCACTGAATTACGTTGGCACCTCGGTTGGTAATTAGTCGACCATGGAAGTGTGGCTCTGTTTCAGGTGTCCCTGTGTGTTGCACTGATCTGGTTATTTACCGTAACGCTCACGCCACACCATTGCTTATTATGGTTTTATGCTAAGTCTTGGAGTCAGATAGTGTATATCTTCCAAGCTTGTTGTTTCAAAATTGCTTCAGCCAATCCAGAGCCTTTGCATTTCCATATACAGAGTAGAAACAAAGGGTCAGTTCATAGGAAAAAGGCTGCCAGGAACTTGGTTGGGGTTGCATTGCATCCCCTTAGTCTAGAATCCTGATCCATACACCATCTAACAATACTGAGCATTTCTGCCCTTGCTCATGGCATGCCACTCCATTTATTCATATCTTCTGAAATTTCCAGCATTTATTAAAACCTAAAACTGTGTATTCAAAAGAATTCATTGCTGCTTACATGAACCACGAGAAAGAAAACCAAGTAGGTCTGTCTGCAGGAGTTGCCTCTTGAAATGACCTTCATTTGTCATAAATGTGACTTTTGTTTTAAGACTTTTAGAGAGAATTCTATCTCTAAGACAGTGTTGAAACATATGCTCTTGTGGGTCACAACACAGCTCCTTTGATTGATGTGAAATCCCAGGTAAGACTCTTAGAAGGACAGAGACTTGCAGGACCTAGAGCTAGAAGAGCTGGCCTGTTCCCAGGTCCCCGCAGGTGATAAGGTGCTCCAAATGGACCAGGTGGGGTTGGGGAAGGATGTGTAGTTACTGTGGCACAGGCCTGGGGTCTGTAGCATCAGGGTGAACAAAGTCACTTCTCATTCTAGAAGAGATGGGATTTCTTGAGGTCACAGGTGTGGCTGCTCCAGTGCCTGGCTTTGAGATAGATACTTTGTTGCTTACCTAGGATGACCTGTTGGGTAGAGGTCTATTCAGGCAAAAGCCCAAGTCTTATTTTAGAGAAAATCTGGCAGGTGGGAGGTATGAAGGTCCTCAGTGTCAATATGAATGCCAGAAGATCTGTCTTGACCCGGATGCCTGAGTAATCAATGTGTTACAGTTGAAGGACATGGCTGTCTTTCATTTAATGTATTTCCAAGTAATTTTTTTTAAGACTTATTTATTTATATAAGAATCAGGGTATAGGCCAGATGTGTGGGAGTGTGAGAGGATTTACCAGAGACAGAGCGGGGAGCAGAACAGGCAGACTAACTGAAATACACTGCGAGGGGAGCAGCAGGCGAGACAGGAGAGGTCTGCCGCACCATGTGGGTATCTCCCCAGCCGGCAGGGATCGAACCTGTGCTGCAGAGGCTGCAGCGGACAGCTTCACAGCACGGCACTCAACTGCCTGTGCCACCAGGGAGGCTCTCTAAGTAGTTTTTTAAAATTCAATACTATTGTAAATAATATTTTAAATTTCATTTTCCAATGCGTTGTTTCTATGTGGACATTAACACTCTCTGTGAATAAACAGTTACACTTTTCCCTTTGTTATCTTCGTGCCTTTTTTTTTCTTGCCTGATTGCAATGGCCCAGGTCCTGGGACCGTGGAATAACTGTCATTGCTGTGTTCGCCATCTTAGGGAAAAGTCTCCCCCACATCAATCCCTTGTCATTTGCTCGTTCTCATGTTGACATCCAGTAGGTGCTCAAAGGTTCCAGCAACAAAACAGAGGCATGTGCGGCTGGGGTCTCCTGCTCCCTACTGCTGGCTGAGCTGAGTCCACTGTTGCCTGTCACCTGTGCCTTGCAGGGCACCCGTCAGCTGTCAGCTGTCTTCCTGCGGTGTGACCGCTCCCCTCCCCCACCCTCCACCTGCGGCAGGGCTCAGTTGGCTTTGACTGTGATGGGCTCTTGTCTGAACTGCTGAAGGGCAGCTTGATGGACGTGATCTCATTCAACCCCCAGCTCCCGTGCACCTGACCTGGAGGAGACCCCTCCTGAGCTCCATGTCTCTGCGCCAGTCAAGGGCTCTATACCCACTGCTCGTGGAGGGGCCTGGGTCTGTAGAGACCCTGACGCCTTGCCCTGCAACCGCCTCATGGCACTGCCCTGGGCTGGACGCCATCCCCAGGAACAGAGAGTGTCCTCCAGGCTGGGCCCCAGGTTGCGAGTCCCAGCCCAGAGAGAACACAGAGTCCAGTTGCTGGATTCTTGGAAAAAGCCGCATCAGGGAGTTTAATGAGTGACCCCACAGGGCTGTTTTCCACCCCTGATGTTTCAGAACACCCCAGAGGTCAGGTGCCACCAGGGGCTGGGCGGCTGGATGGGGCCCTGGCCAATGACAGCGGCAGCTGGAAAAGCCAGAGTGAAAAACACCCTCCGGAGCTGGTCTGGGCCACGGCTGCCTTGAGAGGCAGCTCTGCTCCCAGGGCCTCCTGTGCATGTGTGCAGGGGCGGGGAGCGCTGCCAGGAGGCCAGGCTGGAGCCCAGGTGCTGCAGGACTCTGGGCCAGCGCTGCTTTCACCCAGCTCCATTTCATGCCTCAACCAGGAAAAGGAAGGGAAAGCAGGAGGGGAAAGAGGTCGGACTGAATGTCACGGCCCCCCTAGACGGCCTCTTCTTCCCCCCTGACCCCCGCCCCCCGCCCGCCTCCTCCCCTCTTCTCTGTCCTGGGAGAGTGGAGGCAGGTGGGCCTGGAGGCTTGGGCCTCTGATCCCTGTAGTCAGCAGACGAGGGGGGAGTCTTTCTCCTTCCCGCAAGCCGTGTGAGCTCGGACAAGTGGCTCCCCTCCTGGGGTCCCGCTCCCTCCTCTGCGCGGTGGGCACACCTCGCGCGCCTCTGGAGCTCCCGGGAGAATTAAATAAACTCAGGTCCATCAAGCACCAGACTTTTAGGGAATGAGAAGGTTTTACAAGCAGGAAGGGCCGGGGGAGGCTGGGGAGGGTGGGCAGGACTGAACAGGCATGAAAAGTTGCCCAGCTTCCCCTCTGCAGGTCTCGCCTCTGCAGCAGCCCCGGGGGCTGAGCCGCAACTGGGCTGCGGAGTCTCCGGCTCCATAAAAAATTAACAGGACTCAAGGCTCAAGTTGCGGCCCATGTCCCTGGGGTTGCACAAAAAGGTGAGGCGTGCTCAGCCCGAGGAAGGGCCTCCCAGGCGGGTGTGGACAGATGAGGTCTGGAGGGGGGTGAGGAGGACCTGGGGAGCGCTTCCCCCCACTTCCCCAGCCAGCCTGAAACCCAGCATCAGAGACAAGCAGGGCTGTAAGTGGCTTTGCCAGGGCGAATAACAGCTCCCACCTGTTTCCTTAAAGCCTGCAGGCTAAGGATGGTTTTTGCATTTGTAATGGTGGGGGAAAAAAAGAATATTTCATGGCAAGGGAAAATCACATGAACTGTAGGTGTCCGGGAATCCAGTTTCTGGGCCGTGCTCATGGCCCTGTGCTTGGCTGTGGCCGCTCGCGCTCTGCCAAGGCCAGGGACGTGGCTCCGCGGGACTAGGTCTTTGCAAAGCCTGAAACCCTCCCTCTCTGGTCCGTCACAAGTGCAGGCCCCTGACTCGAAAGAAATCAGCTTTAAAAGTGGACGTATCCTGGGGGGAAACGAATTGGAGCTTCAGGTGGGAGTCACCATTCAGGCCATGACTGGGGGGGTCCCTTCTTTGAGTCTCCTTTTCCCACCTGTAAAATGGGCACAGTGATTTCCCTCCGTTACCCCAGTGTTGCCAGGAGGCCCCCCTCGCATTGGCACCCACCCTGCAATGGGCAACTGCTCAGCGTCTCCCGTGCGCAGGAGAGAAGGAGGTTGCTGAGGGAAGGTGGTGAGGGTCACCCTCCTCCCAAAGCCACGTGCAAAAGAGACAGCCTCTTCCTGCCCGGGCCGTGTCCCCGCAGCAGGTGACAGGACAGTGGCCGAGGCAGGGGCCAGTCTGGGGGGGAGGGCAGGGACCGGAGGCGGGGAGGGGACGTGCGCTGCGCTTCTGCTGAGCTTTGCTGCGCCTGCTGCCCCGAGGCTCGGCCCAGCCCAGCACATGGACACACGCGCGTGCTCACGCGGGTGCTCTGATGGTGTCCCTCACCGGCTCACTCCGTCAAAGCCAAAGTCCCTCCGGTGACCCAAGGGCTCCCCCTGGCCCACCCCTCTTACTTTCTGATGGCACCCCCGTCTCCCGCTAGACCTCCGCCAGCGAGCGCTGTCCTGCCCGAGGTCTCTGGCATTTGCTGTTCCCTCTGCCAGGACCGGCCTCCCTGCAGATGTCTGCCCAGCTTTCTCCCTCGCCTCCTCTGTCCCCCTCACCAGCCCCTAACCCCGCCCCCACCACCCAACTTGGTGCTTCCCCCAACGCCTCACTAGCTCTGGGTGCACACTTGACTCCCCATTCCCCTGCTGGTTAAGCCCTTGGCCACTAGAATGTGAGCTCTCCAGCGCGAGGGTGAGGCCCTCTGCCCGCCACGGGACTGCTGAACTCAAGGAATTCGTGAGAAATAACAGGAACTACCTTGGCCTTCGCGTATGGCTGCCAGGTTGGACCTGTCAGGCTCTTTATTTCCCTCACAATCCTGGGGAGGAGCCTATTGGCATATTCATATTTTTGGATGAGGAAACTGAACCCAGAGAGGTGACCGGGTTCCCCTGATCCTAAGGAGCTGTGGCCCCTACCCGCAGCCCCCTGATCCTAAGGAGCTGTGGCCCCTACCTGCAGCCCCCTGATCCTAAGGAGCTGTGGCCCCTACCCGCAGCCCCCTGATCCTAAGGAGCTGTGGCCCCTACCCGCAGGCCCCTCCTGACTACAGCCCTGTGAGCAAAGCAGAAGAACTGGATGAAGAAATCAGGTTGGGTAAAAACAAATGTTTTTATAGTGGACACGTGCACACATGGGCTTCAGGATGAGGGCGCCAGCGTGGGCGGGTGACCACTTCTGCTGTGGCACAGGGCAGCGGCTGCCGCGCCCCTGGGGCAGGGGGCAACCTCGGAGCAGCTGCTGGGCGGACCTGCAGGCTTCCCTCCAGCCCTGCCGCTGACTCTGTCGCTTTGGGTCAACTTCTGACCCCAGCCTGAAGCTCTGCGGCCTGGGGTGGGGGTGGGTTGAGGGAGAGCACCGTCCTGGTTGTCCTGAGGTCAAGGCTGCCTGCGTGCGCACAGGGTCCTGTTTGCCGAAGGTCTCAGTGACGCACGGGAGCGGGAGATGACCTCGCTTGCCACAGCTAGTAGTGTGGACCAGGGCAGGGCCACCCGGTCCTGCTCCGTCCCTCCAGCCTGGGTGGTGGGGCCTGGGTGGGCTCCTCCCTGCGCCCCATCCATAGAGGTAGCAACCCCACAACTCCTGCACACGACGCCCCCCTCAGTAGGGGTAGGGGGACACGGCGATGAGCAGGACGTGGACGCTCTGGTGGCGCGGCGCCACGGCGCGCACGGTCATCCGGTAGAGGCCTGCGCGGGTGAGCGCGCGGCGGGTGTAGACGGCGCCCAGGCCGGCGCGCAGAGGGCGCAGCCCAAAGGGGCTGCGCGGGTCGGACTCCAGCACGCTGAGCTCCGTGCGGTTGGCAGGGACGCCAGCCTCGGAGAAGGCGGCCAGGCGGGCCACGTCGTGGTGGGCGCGCACGCCCAGCGGCAGCGGCAGCAGCTTGTACTGCAGCGTGGACGGGCCGCCGGCGCGGCAGTCCTGCGAGCAGCGGCGGAAGCATGTCCTGCGGGGGGACAAGCGCCCACCGGGTTACCCCAGCGAGGACCGGCCGCAAAAGCCCATCTCAACTCCCCTGGGCACCCCCGCGCTGCCAGACCCCACCCCGGTCCCTACACGCTTGTCTGCCAGCGCCACCGTGAGCCCACTTCAGAGAGGCACAAACTGAGGCCAGATTCGTGCCCCTTCCCGTGGGAGTGGGGCCCTCAGCAGGCTCTCCCCGCTCCTGCCCCGGGGCAGAGGGCACAGGGCTGACAAAACTTGGAGGGGGATTTGCAAGGGGTTGGGGTGTAAAGGGTACTCGCTCCCTGACCCCAGCCCGCACAGGCAAGTCCCCCGCTCCCCGCCAGCAGACGCTCTCCCTAGGAGCCGCTCAGCTGGCGCCGGGGTGGGCAGGGCCGCCTCTGTTCTTCTGTGTATCTGGGCCTGGGCCCTGGTCTTGGGTTCTGAGAGGCGTTTGTGTCTCTGCGGGTTCCTGTCCCGGGTTCATGCCTGTGCTATGTATCCGGCTCCCAGCCCCCACCCCGCCCCCCGGTTCTCTTCCCATCCCTGCCTCGCCCGGCCCAGGGCTCAGGAGATGAGTGTCTGGCGAGCTCACACCCGCACTGGCTGAAGGAAGCGCTGGTCTTGCGGGCACGTGGCCCTGCGGCACGGAGGCCTGTCCGGCTCTGGCGGGGCGGCCCCACCCGTCCACGAGGGCTCTGCCGAGCCATGGCCGTCCTGGACTGGGGGTCTGGCTACACGAGGGCCAGAGCATCCGCCGCCCAGCCCCGGGGTAGCACGGCCACCCTGCCCCAGGCCTGCCCCGCAGGGCCCCTCACCCTGGGCTGGAGCCTTGCCGGTAGGTGGCAGGACACGGGGTGTCCACACACTGGTAGCTGCCGCGGGTGTTGAAGCACATCTGGCCGGGCTCGCACTGGATGCCGTCCTCCTCGCACTCGTTGATGTCTGGGGCCGGGGAGAAGGGGTGAAAAGATGGAGCCCAGGGAGGGGCCGCAGGCAGAGGGAATGCGTGTTGGGGGGTAAGTGGGCAGGAAATGCCTTCAGAGCCCCAGCGAGGTGGGCAGTCCTTCCTTTATCCTCAGCAACCCTGACCCCTGAAGCCCCAGCCAGGGGCCCCTAGCACCCCCGTGTCTCCCCCAGGCATGGCGGTGGGCGCCCCAGGGGCCTCTTGAGCCCAGAGCTGGGTTGGAGCGCCTGGGAGAGAGGAGGGCTGCCCCGGGCCCAGGGGACCCACTGCCCCTGGACAGAGCTTCTGACCACTGTCCGCCCCGACAGAAGCCACATTATCCCGAGGACAGTCGTGGAGCCCTGTGGCAGCAGCGGGGATGGAGACGGGACGGCAGCTCGTTTCGCACTTTGGGGGGTGGGAGCATGGCGACCCCCGCCCCTGAGCACGGGGCAGCAGTGCACTCAACCTGGGACTGAGGTGGGTGGACATGACCACTACCCCCGCAGCAGCTGTGAGCCTGCTCCTTGTCCACCTCCACGTGCCTCCTCCAGCCACGGGAGGCCCAGAGAGGTGATGGGCCCAGCGGGGATGGGCCTGCCCGTGCCATCTCTGAGCTCCCGCTACAGTACTGGGGTGGTCACTTAGCCCCTCTCAGCTCCTATGTGGCCCTGCCTCCCCAGGGGTGTCGAGGGGGCTGGGGAGAGCAGAGGGTGCAGGATGCACTCGCTCACCCTGGCAGTTCTTTCCGCTGGGGAGCAGGCGGTAGCCGGCAGGGCACAGGCACCGGTAGCTGCCCTCGGTGTTCCGGCAGGCGTGCTGGCACAGGCGCCTCGCCCGGCACTCGTCCAGGTCTGGCCGGCACGGGGTGGAGGGACCGGCAGATACTTGCTGAGTCACAGGCGCCCAGGTAGCCACACACCTGCCCTCGGGGCTCGGGGCAGGCCAGGGACGTTCCCTGCTGGGCAGCCCACACCTTCCCCCACCCTGCCCCACCCCACCTTGGAGTCAGGGAGCTGGGGGGAGCCCGGGCTTATTGAGAATGGGGGTCCTGCCCCGCTCACCTCATGTCCCCCAAGGCATGCAGGGGGAACGCACAGGCCCCTCTGCCCAGGCAGGAGTGCTGAAGCCGGCCTGCCCCAGGCTACTGCCCCTCACCCCACCAGGAACCCAGCACCACCCTCCGCAGGGCCAGGGGCCGCCCCAGCTCCCCACCCGTCTCCACCAGTCACTTTCTCCTGGAACATTCTCCCTCACTTCTGAAATCTCCCTCCCTCCCTGACTGTTCACCAATGAGCGCCAAGGAGGGCTCCTTTAAGTTGGTTTTGGGGGACTTTTGCCCAGGGACCCCCTCCGACCAAGTGCCCGAAGTCAAAGGGTTTGGGAAAAACTCCACGCCATCTCGGAAGCCCTTTTGCCCGTTAGCACAGCCGGATCCCTGTAGCCCGCCTGTGGGCTCGGGGGTTCTGCACCTGACGTGGTGCCAAACCCTGGCCCGGGAGCCCGAACTGACACAACGGGCGTGTCCCCCGGGGGGGTGGCTGGGGCACGGCCTTACCTGTGCACACGCCGTTCTGCCGGATGAAGCCCGAGGGGCACCAGGCCCGTCCCGCACCGCCCAGGGCTCTGGAGCTTGGCCGGAGGGAGACCCAGGCACGGTAGGAGCCTCCCGGGACAGGGCCTCGGGGCCGCAGCCAGGGCAGCAAGGGGCCCCGGTAGCTGACAGTGGTCACATTCTCTCCGTTTGCCTCCAGCGGGATGCAGGTCTTGCCATCGGGGAGGAGGGTCTGGCCCGGGGGGCACAGGCAGCGGTAGGTGCCCTGGAGGTTGTGGCACTGGTGGGTGCAGGGCCGGGGCAGCTGCAGGCACTCATTGATATCTGAAAAGGGCAGGGGGGAGGCGCTGAGGGAGGCGGGGGAGCCGCCTCTGCGCCTGCTCTGGCCTTCTCTCCCACTCTCTGGTCTCCCCAGGATGCAGCAGCCTCCGCTTCAAACCTGCCCTCTCTTGGACCAGCCCAGACTCAGCATTTGCTCAGCCCCTCCCTCAGCCTTTGCGGCAGATCCATTCTACCCAAGCCTCTCGGGGGCCCCCCCAAGCCTCCCCCTGCACCCAGGAGCACAGGGAGGGTGACCTTGCAGGGTGGCAGGGAGGTTGGGCACCGTTAGGCAGGGGCCCGGCGGGTGGAGGTGCACCCTCAGCGTCGCCTGCTGTTCAGGTCAATCACGAAATCAACGTTATCCTTGGCACAACCGCTCGCTAACGGCGGGGGTCCCGGCCAGGGAGTGGGGCGCCTACCCAGGCAGGGCAGCCCGGGGCCCTGGGCCCGGTAGCCCCTGAGGCAGCGGCAGCGGTGTCCGCCTGGGGTGTTCTCGCACTGCTGGTTGTGGTGACACTCGTCCGACTGCTCCAGACACTCGTCCACATCTGGGGACAAGGCAGGAGAAGCCCCAGTCATGAAGTCACAGAATGACAGAGCGGGAAGGACGCGGGAGGCCACCGTCCGGAGTGGCACCAGGCCTCACCGCAGCCAGAGGCGGCTGCTTGAGAGCGGCGGGTGGAGAAGCGGCAGGGGCCGCCTCCAGGCTGGGCCATGAGCTGACACGGGCAGCCTGCCACCCCTGACCTGGTCCTCCTCCACGGAACAGGCGAGGCTCCCGAGGCCCCCCAAAGAGAAGACCCCGTCCCATGGGCATCCAAGTGGCTGGTGGCAAACCGGGCCTCAGAACCCCGGGCCAGCTATGGCTCGCTGTGCTCTGCTGAGAGACTCCTGTCCCTTCGTAGGCCCGGGGTCCGTGACGCTGCACCCCTCCCTTGACAAAAAGCCGCCCCTGGGCCCCCGCAGTAGGATAGTCCCACAGGGTGCCGGTCACCTTCACAGCTGGCCCCGTCGGCGGCCACCCGGAAGCCGGGCCTGCAGCCAGGGAGGCAGCGGTAGGTGCCCCGCAGGTTCACGCAGCGCTGTCCTTCTCGGCAAAGGTGGGCGCCCCACAAGCACTCGTCCACATCTGGGGGCACATGGGCGGGGGCGATGTGAGCACACGTGTCCTGTGTCACCCTGACTCTGGGCCCAGGCTTCCCCTGGGGCTCGGCGGGTCCCCGCCTGCCTGCTGGGTCTCTCTTCCCTTGACCCTGCCCCACAGCCCAGAGCCTGAGGGAGCCTTGGCCCGCAGTGGCTGACTTGAGGTGCAGGTGGTGTCCCTGGGGCTCCACTGGAGGGAGTGGAAGGGCAGAAAGGGGGGGATCAGTGTCCCAACAGTGTCCCAGGGCCAGATTTGTGGCCCAGCAGCTTTGCTGAGAGGACCAGGGGGCAGGAGGGCAGGGGGTGTCAGCTCGTCTCCATCCCCGTGGTTGGCGATGGCGTCCGAGTGGGGAGAGGCTTCTGGGCTGTGTCCAGGCTCAGCAGGGAGGAGGCCAGGAGCACGTGAGAGCCACGTCTGTCTGGGGAGCCCACCACCCCAGTATTCGAGCCTCCCCATCTGCCACCCTCAAAACAAGCTGTTCCCAGTGGGAAGGGGCGTCGGAGCCCTGGGGCCAGTGTCCAGTGTCCTTAGGCACCCACGAGGTGTGTGCCCGCGGCCAGGGTGCTGGTCCAGAAGCTCCCGGCACACTCCTGGGCCACGGCCAGCCTCTACCGGGGCTGCTCACCCCTGCAGCTCCTGTCGTCCTTGGCCAGCGTGAAGCCGGCCGGGCAGGCGCAGGAGAATGGCCGGGCGTGTTGTGGCAGGAGTGGGAGCAGGGGCTCGGGTCGTCTGAACACTCATCCCTGTCTGGGGGCGGGGAGTGCTGGTGCTCTGCCCGCACGGGCCCCGGCCAGTTGGCCAGAACCCACCATCCATCACTAAACGGAGAGGCCTCCCTCCTCCATGCCAGGGCGCGAAGAGGGCGCTCACCCACACAAAACACCCCCTCGGCGTCCAGTTCAAAGCCCTCGGGACAACCGGCTTCGTTCTCTTCTGCAAGGCAAAGGGGACCAGCCATCAGGACGTGGCACCGGGGCCAGCGCCGAGACTCGGAGCTCCCTCTGCCAGCTTGGCCAGGCTGCGCCCCCCGTCCCAGCTGGGTGCCCAGGCCCAGCCCTGAGCAGGCCAGTGCCCAGTGGACCACTGCCAGTCCAGGCCGCCAGGGCATCAGCTGTGTGATGTGCCTCCTGGTGTAAGTGCCCCCGGGGTTGGGGTGGGCTGGAGGCAGGAGAAATCATTAGCGAGCACAGAGCCGGAGGGGGCACCTGTTGAAACGTGCTCCTGAAACCCAGGGGCGACCCGGGGGAGGACATGGGCCGGCAGTAGCACTGAGAGGACATGTAGGATGGCTGGATATGGGCGGGGACTGGGCAGTGGCACGGGTGGGGTGGGGGGTGGGCAGGCTGCATTCTGGAGGTGCAAAGGAGACCAGACGTGCTAATGGTGAGGACAGCACCCTTGATACCGCAGCCGTGGGCACCGGGGGAGGGCTTTGGTGGCAGGCAATGCCCTGCCCATTTGGCTGATGGGCACACTGAGGCTCAGAGAAGGCCCCACGGCTGGGAGGTGGTAGGCTGGCCTGACCTTAAGCTGCCCTCTGCCTGCCTTCCCGTGTTCGAGGCTAAAAGCCCGTGGGGACCTCCGATAACAGTATCGGGTGCCCGGCCCGCAGCTCGGGAGAGAATATCTGGCATGTCCTCGTGAGCATGTCCAGCACTGGCTCCCGGCCCCCTGGAGGGGTGTGGCTGGACCACCCCTTCGGGGCTCTGGTGGGTTTGAACAGGAACCGTGAGTTTGAACTGGAGCTGCGTTCCTGCCGGGCGGAGGGTTGGAGCAAGGACGGGCCGCAGTGGGGGGATGGGAGGTGAGCTGTCTCTGTCCCCATCTGAGGCTCACGGTGAGGGGACAGGGTCACCTGGCTTTGAGTCAGGTGCTTCTGGGCCTCGTCAGGTGGGGCAGCGGGGTGGCCTGGGCTGGATAAAGGTGGGGGGGGCTCACCGGCTTGCAGGGCTGTGGTGAGCTGGAAGTGCAGGGCCTCGGCCTCGGGGTCGAAGTCGCTGTGGACGGCGGAGGCCCGCAGGTGCTGCACCAGCTGGGGCTGGGGCCCCCGGGCCGCGTCGTACCGGATGCTGTGGTTGCAGCGCAGGATTGCTGGGAGGCCGTCCTGCAGGAAGCCCTGAGTGGAGCCCACGAAGAGCTGGCCAGGCCCCGTCTGCACGTAGTGTTCCTGGAAGTCCTGAAGGAGCAGGGAGTCAGTGGGAGGGCATTTGGGTTTCGACTCCCAAGGACCTCCCAGAGCCCCCCTCGAGGGGTGTGTGGATGCTGGGGGAGGAGAGCCGGGGGGCTTTCCTGATCTTCCTCCACCAGCTGGGTGCCCTGCAGCGGGTCACTCCTCAGTGTCCCTGTGGGTAGGGTAGAGAACACCCATCCTAGAGAGGCTGGGCCCACAGCGTCCCTGCACTGCGCTGTGAGTCCTTCCCGAGTCCAAGGTCGGGCCACGCACGCCCCGGCCCCAGCAGCAGGGTCAGGAAGGACAGGGGACCCGGCTGCTCAGGCACAGTCGGGCAGGACATCTCAGTCTCTCCCACCCACCGCGCACTCCTCAGCTCCCGCCCCTCCCACCTGCACTTGGAGGTCTGCATCAGCCAGGCTCTCGGGGACGACGCCATTGACCTCCACGTCGAGGAGCAGGAAGCCGTCAGGATCCAGGCCCCGGGCCACCTGGGTCATGGTGAGTAGCTCTCCTGCAATTCATCCCCACCCGGCCCGGAGTCACCGCGGGGAGAGGCCCTGGGCGCAGGCCTCCGCCCCACCTGGCCCACCTGCGGGGAGACCCACTCACCTGTAGCAAACTCCACGTGCGACTCTTGCCGGAAGTTGCCACCCGTCAGGGAGTGGCCATTCAGGGTGTCCCCACTCTCTCCAGTCAGGGCCCAGTAGACGGGAGCGATGGTGGCCACAAGCACCCGCATCAGAGGCCCTGGCAGGGTGGGGTGTGGAGACGGCTGAGGGCTGGCTCCCGAGGGCAGCCACTGTCCTGCTCAAGGCCCCTCTGCGGCTCCCTAGTGCCCTGGGGAGAGCTCAGCCCCGTCCCTCCTGCCCCTCCCAGTCCAGGGATACCTGGGCCGGTTATTAGATCAGAGCCTGGGGAGTGGCGAAGGCAAATATCCACTTGATGGAATCGTGACAATAACAAAATACATTCACACGAAGACCTGCATGTAGCTTCTTGATATTCAGCCAGTTCAACAAACACCGAGGCTGTCGGGCGACCTCAGAGCCCAGGGCTGCACGCACCTATCACGGCTTATTTGCTGGACTCAGTTGATAATCAACCAAGTCTCCTTCCAGAAGAGCCGCAGAGGAAGGGCCGTTTGTAACCACTGACTGACAAAGAGCCAGAATTGCTCCAGGGCCTTCGGGTGATGCCAGACCCTCCTCTCAGGGCCAGGGGGCTTCGAGCTGGGGTCAGAGTGGCCTGGCTCCCCGGCTCCACTGCCAGCTGGTGGGGGCGGGGGGCGGATCCAGGCTCCGGGAACAAGGGGCCCATGGGGGCAGAGCCTCTGGACCTCGGTGCGGGTTTTGACCAGACAGAGCGGGGCCCGCCGGGCTCAGGGCCAGGCTCCCCTGAGCCTGGCAGCACATCTGGGCAGAGTCTCCGGTCACCTCCCTGCTGCCTGCGCTCCCAGCGGCGCCCATACCCGGGCTGTGCACACAACGGCAGCCAGTCCAGACTGTCAGTGCCACCCTCACCTGCGGGGCATGCAGGGACCCCTGCGGCCAGGTCTGCGACATCTCTCCAGAACGTTCCATTTGCTCAGGACACACCATGCTATGAACTTGTTTGCAAGTGGCCACGCCTCCTAGCCCATTTTATTCTCCACATATCTCCCTCTCTGTGCCTCCAGTAACCCCTTCATTTTTCGAGCTGCTCTAAACTGGGCAAAGCCTCACAGCGATCAGTGGTTTCAGGTAGCATTGTCTGACTGTCTGGCTCCCAACGCAGCTATGTTGTGCGGGGGAGTGGGGGGGTTGGGAAGGGGGAGGAAGGGTGAGCACCTAAACTTCTCGGACTGGAGTTCAGCTGTTGGAGATGCTGGGTTTCCTCTGGGGTAAGGTCCCAGGGGAGCCTCGAACATGGGCTTTGCTCCTCCCGGGTCCAGCCCTGGTTGGAGGCCCCCAGGCTAAGACCACGCTCTGGCCCCACTTACCCACGTTGGCAGGGATGTGGCTGATGCTGCTCCGGACGGTGGTGCGCCCAGAACGCGCCTCCTGCTGCACGCTGGTGTTGAGGGCGGCCACGCCAAGTTCCTGGCCGTTAATCACCCCTATCATGCTGCCCCAGCTCCCCCGGGGCTCCCCTGTGAGGAAGGAAAAGAACAAGAGTGACACGGGTCGCCTCAGTATACATAGGGACCTTACCTTCCCGGTTGCCAAGGGTTAAACAGACTCAGAGGAGTGAGTGAGTTGCCCAAGGGCACACCACTAATGGTGATGGACTCAAGGCCAGGGGACCCTGGTGCAGAGCAGATGGGAGGCTTTCGAGAAGAGCCTGCCCTGGGATGAGGGCACCAGCCTCTAATTTTACTTCTGCCATCACCTCCCCTGGAATCGCGGCAAGTCAGGCCCCAGGCCACACCTGAGTTGCTTTATCTGTCAAGTAAGGAGGTGGGACCCCAGAGGGTCAAGGACCTGCTGGGTTCTGAAATGCCAGGAGCCCATGATGGCAGGGGCTGGCATGTGGGCAGAGCCAGGGCACCACGCCAGGTTTGGGATGCTGCTGCCCGAAGCCCCCCATTCCATCAGTGTCCTGGCTCCAGCTGCTCTGCAGCTGGCCAGCTGGGGGAGGGGCGGGTGGCTGGATTTCCAGCAGCCACAGGCTGTCTGCAGGCAGACGCTGTCCAGGCACAGTCAGACGGACGCGTGCCCAGGGGTTGCTTCCTCTGGCTAATGGACCAGCTGTCTCCTCTGGACAGATGGCATTCCAGTGGGCAAGAGACAGATGCTAGCCTGGCTCTCTCTGCTCACCAGCGCTCGGGGGAAATTAACAACAAATTGCCCATGATCTGTCAAAAAAAATAACATAAAACATACAACTGCCAGGATCCTAAGTGGGTAAATCAGGGGGCAGGCTAGCTTTGGGTTCCAGGAAGCATGCCATTTCCTGCAGCCTGTGGCTGGGTTTGATGAGATTTTATACCCATCTGGGTTGTCTCTTGTCAATATCTGCTACTCTGGGGAGGACTAACAACTATGGGTTTATGGGAAGGACAGGAGAAGGCCATGAACTGACCGCCGGAGTCGGGAGCTGCGGAAAAGCAGCCTGCTCTGCACAGCTTTAGGAGGAGACAGGAATTTGGAGGCCAGGAATGACAAGCTATGGTCTGCTTTCTCAGATGGGGTGACCCAGCAGCCTCTCTCCTCCCACAAGGCCCGGATGCATCCCACCCCGTTCCCAGCTGACCGGAAAGGAGGGAGAAAAGACCAGTTTGTCGTTAGTGCCTCAAAACCTCTGACGACCTTTTCCTAGCAATGCCCCTTGGAGAAAGTAGCTCCAGAAAGCAGGCAGGTTATACAAGGACACGTATCAGCCACGGTGAAGGTGCCAGAGGCATCGGGGACCATGTTGTTACTTAAGGAAGCAATTACGTTAAAAAACGTAAAGAGGATTTGATGGAACGATGTGAAATGAAAGGGCGACGTGGAAGCACCCAGGAAGCTGTGGGCCACCGACCAGCAGCCTGGCGGGCCACGTTCAGGGCGAGAGCTCGTCCGTAGGGTTTTCACAAAACCCCAGGGGATCGTAGGAGTCCAGAAAGAGGACATGTGTCCTAGCCAGGTAATCTGGAAGAGCCAGGCGTAGCCTCTCAAAGCCTCCGTTTCCCCAGCCGTCAAGGGCAGGGTAGATTAGACAGTCTCCCCACGGTCAGCCTCAGTCTGTGACTCCAAGCAGAGACTATTGGAGCTGGCAGGGGCAGGCGCCAGACCCCCCACAGGCGACCCACAAACCCCCATCACGCAGGAGACCCCTCCTCTGTGCCTGTCTGTACCTCTCACGGCCAGGACCGCCTGGGCGGTGGCCGAGCCCAGGGGATTGTGAGCGACGCACTCGTAGGCCCCCGAGTCCCCGACCTCGGCGTGCTCCAGCCACAGGCTCCCGTCCGGTAGGGTGCGCAGCCGCCGGCTGGCCCGCAGGGGCTGTCCCGCCCGCAGCCACTGGATGGTGGGCGCCGGCTCCCCCTCGGCCTGGCAAGGCAGGGCCACCGTGTCTCCCGAGCTCACCGTCACGTCCTGTGGTTCCACCTGGAAGACCGGGGCACCTGTGGGAGGCCCGGGCAACTTTTAGGGACACCAAGCGGCCCACATTCACTCAGACAGGTCGGAAAGCAGAGGCAGAGGTGAAGAGGGGACCCCGAGGCCGCTGCCACCTGGAGGCCGCTGCTGGCGTTTCCTGCCGGGCTCTGTGCTCGCAAGCCCACCTCGGCTGCTTCCGGCGGTGTTTTCACTCCACACGGAGCGGGACGCCCTCCCCGCGGCAGGAGATAGTCACAGTTAGGGGCTGCTTGCTCCTCCGTGGTTCAGATCTAGGGAGATTTGCTTCCCCGCACCCCACCTGTGCAAACCACTGACTGAAACGTCCCGTGCATGACTGTAGGTGCCTTTAGGGCCTTGCAACAAAGAGGGACTGGCCAGAACTGCCTCTACTGTCACCAGAGGGGCGGGCGGGGGCTCCGTCTCTTCTGGCGAGTGATTCCCACCAGATGTCTCCCAACTTTCAGTCTTCTCATCTGAAAGTTGCTAGTTCCTGCCCACCTACGACTCCAGAAGCCCCGGTACAGCTAAAGCGACAAAGATGGACAGGCCCAGGCCTGGCGACCACCGCGGGGGGACGCCGCCAATCTGTGCAGCCGCTGTGGGAGACTAAACACAGACTCGGGGGCTGAAACGTCGATTGTCTCAGGGTTCTGGGGCCAGAAGTCCAAAGCCAGTTGTTTCCCAGGCTGAGGTGGAGATGCTAGACGCCCCCCGCCCCACCCCAGGCCACCTGCCTCTCCCGGCTTCTGGAGGCTCCTGGCATTCCAGCCTGAGCCTGGTCACCCCATTCTCTGCCTTCAGCTCCACATTATACCCCCCACCCCCTTCCCTCGCTCTCTTGTCGGAACTTCCGTGATAACATTTAGGGCTCACCCAAGATAAGCCAGGATAACTCCCTGATCTCATCCTTAACTTATTCACATCTGCAAAGACGATTTTTCCAGACATGATTGGATTTACGGGCTCTGGAGGCCGCCAGGATGTGCTCCTGTCTGGGGGAGCCACTCGTCAGCCCTCAAGGTCAGCGTCTTCCGCAGCTGGGCCGCGGTGTCCTCCCTGACCCGCTCCCGGTCGAGTGCCTACCAGAGCTGAGCACACAGCGCCACCAGAGCCACACGGGAGAGGGTCGCTGCCCGCCACTGCCCCAAGCTGGAGACTCGCCCGGGGAGACTTCGTGAACTAATGAGGGCCTGTCCTCTGGTGGGGAGGGACAGCCGTGGGAGTGCACAGGCTGATTCCACGTGCAGCCTCCCAGATGATGCCCACACGCAGCCGGCGCTGGAGCACACAGGCTAACTTCCCGTTTAGATACAGGTCAAAATCAGCCCGGTGCAAGGGGTCGGCGGGGCCAGGGGGAGAGGCCGGTCGGCTCGCCCGGAAATCAAGTGTAAAACTTGGAATCGTCAGAGCCGGCTCGTGGTCACTGCGCTCTCAGCGACGGCTCTGCCTTTTAAATAAGCAGGCCCCGGCCCGGCTGTTGGATCCCCGTGTGCACACTGGGTGTGTGTGTGTCCCGAGCCAACACCTGCACGCGCCTTCCAGGTCGCGGCTCTGCTTCTCTGCCACCGTGGCCGGGACAGCCTCAGGCGGCGCCCGAGTGCCCGCGCGGTCCTGCCCGGGGCCAGGGAGGGGCGGCGGACTCACTCTGCAGCACGAGGAGCACCACTCTCTCCACGGCGCCCAGCTCGCTCCGCGCCAGGCACTGGTACCGTCCCGCGTCGTCCCTCTGCGGCAGGCACGGGAGGAGCGTGGTCAGGACGCGGGCTGGGACCAGACACGGAGAGGGGCGGCGGGAGCAAGACCATCCAGCAGGGAGGGACTCAGAGCGTCCACCAGCCCGTGGTGGACACAGAGGGCCTGGACACACCTTCAGGGCAGCTCTGGGCCTGACCCCACCCCCCGCCCCTGCAGGCTGATTGCTATCCCCCATGGCACATTATTAGGGGTCCTGTGGAAAAGGGCTCCGTGTCCAGGAGGTTTGGGAAACAGCCATGGGCCCGGGGGCAGAGCTGCGGTTTCCTAAGCTTTCTGTGCTGGCATGCTGCGCCCCATCTCCTGAGGGGAGGCAGTTTGCAGTGATTCCCCAGCTTCGGTGAGAGGGGGCTGTCCTCACGGCAGCCAGGACCCGATGACTCGGGGAGAACTAGCCCAGAGGAGCTGGGGGCAGCAGGGGCCAGTCCATGCCCAGACGGGGACAGCCTGGAGGCTGCTCGCAGGGGAACTTCAGGGGCAGCAGGGCACATAGGGAAGAGAAGATCTGGGGCTCAGACCAATAGGGGGACAGTCCCAGCCCCACCACTTACCAGATGCACCCCACGGCTAGGAATTGCCAGTCCTCCCCATCTCTAACTTGGGGAGCACCGTAAGGACCGGGCTCAGCATTCTATGAATCGCACTTGCTAAGTGGAGCCCACGGACACTGAGCTCACAGCGCCCGGGGTCACACAGCCCAACAGCTGCTCCAGACGGGTCCCCATCAGGTCAGATCCAGGGCCCATGTGAGCCTCACAGGCCCAGCTCTGGACAGCACAGCCCACCGGGGGGACGCAGTGGGAAGCTGTGTGGGGGCTGCTCGTTTCCGGCAACTGCATGGACTGGCTGAGAACTGACCTGGGCACAGCCTGCCGTGGGCACTCACCAGCATGGGCCTTTGGGAGCCTGTTTTCACCTGTAAAGTGGGGCCCGCTCACCTGTCTACCCTGGCCTGTCACACACAACATTTATCAGGTTGCCCAGGAATGAGTTTCTCTTAACTACCTTGCACAGGGCATCTCGCTGATCTCTACCTATGAGGTAGAAATAACTGTTAGCCCCACTGAATGGGTGATGAGGTGGAGGCGCAGGGATGCTAAGTGACCGCCTGAGGTCACCCTAGTGAGTGGGGGGAGTCTCTAGCTTACAGGCAGGAAGTGCCTGGGAAACTAGAGGCTGGTGCCACATAAAGAGTGGTCAGAGACACCAGGGGCCATCTGGCGGCCTTGCCTCTGTCCTGCGGATGGTCAGTGAGCCATTCTGTAGCCGGTGCCGGAGGCGGCTGCCCCGCAGAGGAAGGCCATCCTTGAGCCAGCGGATGTCGGGCGCCGGGTCTCCTCGGACCACACAGTCCAGCCGGACGCTGCCCCCTACAGGTTCCACCAGGTAGGAGAAAGCCTCTCCCTGCAGGACGGGAGCCTCTGCATGAGAGGACATCAGACAAGGGGTCAGAAAGGAGGGTCCGTCAGGCTTAGTCCTCATCAGCCCAACCCCCCCAATGCCTGCCCTCCAGACCCCGGGGTCTAGAACCTCCTGCTGGCTCAGCATGGCTTTGTAGAGTCATTGCTTTTGTGTGTGGGTCAGTGAAACAGACTGGCTGTGGCTGCCAGAAACACTGCACTGAGAAAGAGCCTAGAGGGAATAGTGCTGTGATTGATTAGTGATTGATTAGTGATGCCTGAGATGGGCACAGGAGGGATGGCAGGGAGATGAGCAGCATATATTCATGCTCATGGATCCCATCTGCAGACAGCCTGCCAGTACTTGGGAAAACAAGGACCACTGACCATCAGGACACCTCTGTGGGACACAGCAATAATGAAGACATCCCTGATCCTCGTTTCATTCAGATCTTAAACCATTCTTGGATGCCCTGTGCTGGTTTCCATGCCTGCTGGTTTCCTGAGTTTGAATCTACCAAGATGCCCTGGTGCCCTGGGCTGCTCAGCCCACATCATACATCCTGAAGCTGAGCATGCTACACCAGCGTGTCACCATGGCCCTTGGCAGAGCAGAGCTGTGGCCACCAAGGCAGACTAGCGAGCTTCACACTTTTTTTGCCGGGCACCCTGGCTCCCTTGCCTGCCTCACATACTGGCACCACCAGCAGAGGGTAGTGTTGCAGGCCAAGGGGTCAGCTGTCAGTTCTACCTGCAGCTGCGTCCTCTGGGGAGTCGCACCCCAGAGAGGCTGGCTTGCTGAGTGGGGAGTGGAAGCTGGGACTTGGTGTTTTATAAAGTCCCCCGAGGACCCTCATGCACAGCCAGGGAAGGTTCAGAGGTCAGGAGGCCAGTTTCATAGAAACAGCAGGTCAGCAGAGGTCCGGAGAAAGGCCACAGGCCAGCCTTACCCTTCACGTGGACGAAGCTGACCGCCTGCACGCGGCCCACTCTGTTCTCGGCCCAGCAGACGTAGGTCCCGCTGTCCTCTCTGGTCACGGCCACCCGCTGCAGTGTGCTGCCCCCATCCTGTTCAGACACCCCCTCTGTGGCACAGAGAGACACACCGGGGCCTCTGAGCCCAGGCTGTCCAGGATCCCCTGTCCTGAAAGCTTAACTCAGGCCTGGGTATCCTGCAGGTGCTTAATAAAGACACAGGTAACAGGTGTCCTTCTCCCTGGGTGGAAGTCTGAGCAGGGGCAGAGGGAGACCCAGCCTGCGGTCACCCTGGGTCCACTCCATGGGTGTGGTGAGCGACTGCAGTGGTCCGTGGGCCTGTTCACACAGGACGCTCAAGGAAGCGGTGCCACATCCTACAGATGTGAGCCACTGATGGACTTTGTTGTGGGCTGGCCACACCCGGCCCCGGAGCAGGGGCGGCTGGTCGCTGAGGCAGCGTTTACATTGGGGGGCGGGCCCAGAGGAAATGCATGAGCTCACCCTGCCTCAGGACCTGTTATCTCCACTTGAGGTGAAGAGGCTGAGTGGGGAGGCTGAGTCCCCCGCCCCGGGATCCCCCGAGGAGGTGGTGGGTATGCGAAGGTGGCATCTGCACACACTTCGCAGCACCTGGAAGTGGTTAGGAGGGACCTGGCAATTTATCAGCTCAGCAGATACTTCTCAGCACTTACTGCATACCCTGCAGACCCTGGCCTCCCTAACCACCACCCAGGGCCCAGGTAGAAGGACAGAGCCCCTTCAAAGGGGCTGGCCAAGGGGGGCACAATGGGAGCTCCAGGCTGGAGCACAGGCTCCTCCGCCTTGAAGTCTCCAGGGTGAATCTCTTCTGCAAGTGGCTTCTTGTCAGATCTGGCATGTGACTTGGGCCCTGTCCCAAGACATGGCCGACTCTGGAGACCTGGGCCCCGTGGGGCTGGCCGACACCCTGTCCCTCTCGCCAAGCTGGATCTCCCCAGCTGCCCGCCCTCCTCCAGCCCCCCGCACCCGCCCCGAGCAAGCCCAGACCCGTGACGAGCCGGTCATTGATGGTCCAGCCGATGCGGGGGGGTGGGCTGCCCCGGGCGGCGCAGCGAAGCCACAGCCTGTCCCCGAGGCGCAGGCTGCGGTCCCCAGGCAGCGTGGTGAAGACGGGCAGTGCCAGGATGGTGAGGTGAATGCGGCGGCGGGCGCGGCCCACGGCGTTTTCAGCGGTGCAGGTGTAGGTGCCGGCGTCCTGGCTCTGTGGGCCAATGAGCGTGGACCTGAGAGCTGCCAACCCCGCGTGGTGCCTGGGTCCCTGCAGGTTCTCATGGCCCCCCCAGAGAGGCAGATGGCGCCACTTCACCCGGTCCCGGCAACCCCGCAGACTTCACGGGCTCTGCACCATCCAGGCCCTGACGGAGCACCTGTGGGTGCCGGCCCTGTGCTCAGGCTGGGCCTGTACAGGGTGTTCACGGGTGCAGTGTCTGACTTGGGGCTCTCTGAGAGTTGGTGCAAGGCCGGTGTGCTCCCCAACACACCATCTAACTGGGGGCAGTTAGACTGGTTGAGAACCTGGTGCAGTTTGGGGACCCAAAGTCATGGCCATTCCCCTGAACCCCCACATCCCCTCCAGGGAGGGGCTCCCCCCACGCCAGGGAGCTCTAGCCCTGAAGGTCTGGATGCAGAGCTTGCCTCTGCCCTTGGTAACAGGTGTCTCTGGGAAACTGGGTACAGTCTGAGCCTCGATTTCCTCATCTGTATGCCGGGACAGTAACACCTGCCTTCCCAAATTCCTGGGGCTCAGAGGGTGCCCGGGGCGCTGGTGGGAGTGTGGCCGAGGGGTGGACATTGCGGTGGCTGCCGTGGCTGCCCTGGGCCCGGCTCACCTCCGAGTCCTTCAGCAGCAGCTCCCCGGAAGGCTGGATGGTGAACTTCCCCCCGGTGCCGGACACGGGCTGGCCATCTTTTTCCCAGGTGATGTCCGGCTGGGGACTGCCGCTGGCCGTGCAGGGCAAGAGCGCATGGGAGCCTTCGGTGGTGGACAGGTCAGCGAGGCCAGTCTCGATCATGGGGGGCACTGTGGGGGTGGGAAGCCCACTCAGGCATTGGGCTGGAGTGGGCTGCCTCTGCCCCAGTGTTCTGGCCCTTGGCACTCCCCCAGATCCTTCCTCCACCCCCATTGGCAACCCCCCAACTCGCTGGTCATAGATCACAGACTATTGCCAGTGGCTGGACAGCGCGCCCCCACTGCACACGCGGGCCTGTGCGCTCGAGCACATGCTCACACCAAGGCTCTGGGGCAGGGCTTTCCTGAACAGCCATGCCGGGCCCTGGGACCAGGGGCATAGCAGTAGTCCCTCGAGCGGCCTCCTCTGAGGGGGGCCGCGCTGGGCAGCGTGCAGGGCACTGGCTGGGTGGGCTCCTGTCCAGCCTTCAGTGCCCCCAGTGACGCTCCAGGTACAGGGAAGAGGGGCACATGGGACAAGGGGCTCCGGAGAAGGCGTGCAGCCGGGAGTCCCTGGGAGCCCACAGCTGTCCACGGGATGGCCACCAAAGCAGGTCGCTGGGGTCCCAGCAGGACCGGCCCACACGAGCATCCCCGGACACTTGCAGATGTTTAGCCACAGGCCTCCCTTCTCTTTGTTCAGACTGAGGGAGGACACGTTTAACTGCGTGTCCTGCAGGCGTGGGGAGTGGCCTCTGTCCCTGGGGAGTTGAAATGAGCGCGGGACGACAGCTCGGACAGCCCGGGCACAGAGAAGAGGCGGGGAGGGCGGTGGCGGAAGCCACACCTCGGGTGCAAAATGAGAATGTTTTTCCTTCATTTCCTTCCAGAACCACGAGCTGCCCCAGGGCAGGGGTGGATGCAGGGTCAGGCCGGCCTGGGCCCAGAGCTGGGCAGTGAAGGGAGAGCCCGCCAGGAGCCCGGAGACCCCCCCAACACCACCCAGTCTCCTGGGACCCCTCCCCCCAGGGCCCCTCCCCGCACCCTGCACCACCAGCCGTGTCTTCCCCAGGGCGCTGCCCGCACTGTTCTGGGCGATGCACAGGTAGTTGCCGGCGTCGTCCGGGCTGACGCGCACGAGCTGCAGGTGCCCGCTGCGCAGGACCTGCACGCCGGCTCCTGGATTCGGCGAAAGGAAATGGGGTGACTAGCAGGGCCTCGGGGAGGGCGGGAGGGCGGCTTGGGCCGCTCTGGTCCGCGGCTGTGGTCACAGGGTGACAGTGTGGGCCCAGTCGAGGGGCCCCATCCCCAACCTCCTGCCCCCCACGCACTCCCAGTTCTGGGGAGGGGTGAGGGGGAGGGAGGGCAGGTCAGTGGGGCGGGCAGGTGATGTGCGGGGGTGGGGGGCCGGCCTGGAGCTTTCAGAGAGTGCGGGAGATTCCGGGGCAGGAGGGACACCAGGCCCAGCCACTCTCCTCCCTCACTTACCGGCCGCGACGCTGAGCCCCTCCTTCTGCCAGGTGACGCTCGGCCGGGGGACGCCCAGGGCCTCGCAGGGCAGCAGCACCTCCTCCTCAGCCACCGCCCGGACCACGCTGGGCAGGGGCTTCACCACGGGGGAGGCTGCGAAGGAGCAAGACTGCACAGGTGCCCAGAACACCCGTAGCACCAGACTCCTCCAACCGAGGGCCTCCGAGCACCAGTGGGGCCTCAGAGGAGGCTGGTGGTTCTGCTGACTCTTTCTCCCCATGAGGGAGCAGGCCGAGGAGCAGGTCTGGGCATCTGGACCAGGGTTCTCACTGCCCCCAACCCAAGGGTGAGAGCTGGGCCGGAGGCCTCTACCTTGCACGGTGAGGGCCACGTGCTTATGGGCGACGCCTGCGGAGTTCCGGGCGGTGCAGGTGTAGCGGCCGGCGTGGATGGGCAGGGCCTGTCTGATTTCCAGGGCGCCTGTGCATGGGAAGGGGGTGTGGAGCAGCATGAGGGGCCCAGGGACAAGGCTCCTATACACCCCACCCTGGTGTCTCCCGTCCAGGCCATCCTGACCACTTGTGAGCAGCTGTGGGGCTCAGACAGGGTGGCGGCCTGGGTTCTGCTCCCTGCCCAGAGCATAGCCACAGGCAAGTCCCTTCTACTCTCGGGCCTCAGTTTCCCTGTCTGTACAATGACATATCAGGCTCCCCCTTACTTACCTGAAGGCAAGACACGGTAGCCACTCCCCCGCACACCCAGCCGGGTGCCCGCCTTGCTCCAGGACACAACAGGGGCTGGCACACCTGAGCTATGGCACGTGAGCACCACGGGCGCCATCTTGGTCACAGTGAAGTCCGTCTGGTCATCAGCAATGGTGGGGGGCACTGAAATGCAAGACAAGGCTTAAGGCTCGGCCGAAATCCACTGGGGTGCACATGGCCACTGGGCCAGGCAGACACCAACTAGAAACAGACTGAGCAAAAGGTGATGTTAGTGAGGAGGTGTCAGGGAGGGGGCAGCAGAGAGGGCGGTCACCTTTGCTTCCTCAGCAGCTATTTTTTGCTGGGCTTGGGGGACAGTTAGGGGCTGCTTTCTGCAGTGCCCCCAGCCAAGAGAGAGCTGAGTGCGAGCTCAGGGGAGGCAGCCCACGCTTCCAGGGGAAGTGGCATTGAACCTGCCACCTAAAGGAAAAGCAGGTATTGACCAGATGAAGGGAACAGTGTTCATGGCAGAGGGAACGGCATGTGCGAAAGCTCTGAGGTGAGGAACAAGATGCTGAGTGGCATGACTGGACCCCAGAATGAGGCAGGCTGTGGGGTGGGCTGAACCTGGGTAGGGTCAGCATGGCCAGGGGACACGCAACTGCAGGGGTCCAAGTGGCACCTTGCACTCTCTCCTGAGAGCAGCGGGCAGCAGGAAGGATTTTAATCCGGGTGACTACAAGATCACACTTGGGTTTAGAACATTCTAGATTAAGCAGAGACTTCACCTGTGAGCTCCTACATGTTGGGAGCTATGCTAGGGCCGGGGTAATGTCGGTGTAGGTAGGTGGGGCACAGAGAGGGCCTCGGAGGAGGTGGCCCGAGAAGCGCAGGAAGGTTGAGAGGGGACAGTCAAGTCCTTGCAGACAGAGAGAGGGCCCGGGGTGGGGGAGGTGCACCCCAGCCCCCCTCCACCCCGCTGCCTGCCCAACTCACTGTGAACAGTCACCAGGAAGAGGCTGCGGGCCTCGCCCACCTCGTTGCTCACCACACACTCAAACTGAGCTGAGTCCTGGGGCCCGGGGTTCGTGAGGAGCAGGGCATTGGAGGGTAGGAGCCTGGCACAGACAGACAGACGTGAGGCTGCTAAGTGGCTAGCCTCCCACTGGGGAATCTGGGTGGGGGGGAGTGTCTCACAACCCTTTCCCCAGCCTGCATCTGGCCCCCAAGCCTGGTTCTAGAAGTTTCTAGAAATTTCTACCCACAAAGGTCTAGATGTTGAGAGTGTGGGCAATTTCAGTTTCCCTCGTTTCTCTAGCGCCCGCCTGAGTTTGCAGTGACCATGTATGGTCACTTCCATGTAGCAGCCACACCCAGATCCCTGGTCGCGATACCCGGTTAACTGAGCGCCTGCTTTAGACAGGGCCCAGCTACCCGGCACTGGCACTGGGTCGCCACGCAGAGCCATGAGTTAGCGGATAAATTAACTCCTTTAGCTCCAGCGCTCGCTTCCTGATCAGCTGTGTCTGAGAAAGCAGGAGCCGGAGGGTTTCCGTTCTTTTGGCTGTGAGTCTCAAACGCCCCTGCCAGGCAGCTCAGGGGAGTCCCTCTTGGCCCCAAGTTTGGGAAGACCCCAGCACATCGGTCTCACTTCTGGCCCAGCTTGCCCTCAGAGGAATGCGCACCCCTCCCGCCTCAAAGACCCCCAGGCCTCTGCAAGGGCCAGCTCAGTACCGGTAGGCACCCTGCTGCAGACGGAAGTCCAGTTTCTGTCCGTCCTTCTGCCAGACCACGAGGGGCTTGGGGGAGCCGCTGGCCTCACAGGGCAGCGACGCAGGGGTGTGTGCAGTCAGCGTCAGGTTGGAGGAGCTGGGGACGATGGTTGGAGGCTCTGGGGAGAGTCCGGAATTGGGAGCAGGGTGTCAGGGGCTCTCCCTGAGGCTGTGCCCAGAGGCGGAGCCATCCCCAAGAAAGCAGGGGAGAGCAGCCAGAGAAACTCCCGGAAGGAAACCGCCAAGAGGCTCTCAAAGCTGGGGTGAGAGGCATCTCCGTCCCCTCTTGCCCCTTCTCCTAGAAAGAGGCCTCTGGGCTAATTCCCGACGTGCCAGCCCGAGGCCAAGGCCAAGGCGCTGCTGCACCTCCCAGGTGACCCGCTGGGGCGGGAGGAGCACAGCGGAACACCCGCTCCGTGATTCCGAATGGCATCCTTTCAAACGGCTCCATCGGTGCTGGTGCCACCACCCACTCAGCGGCGCAGCACGGCGGGTAGCACACGCAGCGCGGGGAAGAAGTGAGCCTGCAGCTTTGCTGTGCGCGTGCTCAGTATTTCACTAGCGGACTTCACGGTTGCAGACATTGCCCTTGGCGCCCGTCAGCTCGGACGACCCAGAAACTAAGCAGGATCTGGCCCAGACAGGGTGCTGGATGCCGCAGGCAGGGAACGCCCTTCCCCACGTCCACCTACCGAAGACCTGGAGGTCATGGCCTTGCCGATCGGAGCCTGCAGAGTTGGACGCCAGGCAGAGGTAGTGGCCGGCGTCCTGGGCGAGGACCGGCTGGATCCTCAGGGAACCCTCTGGCAGCACCTGCAACCTGGGGTGGAGGGAGGGGTTGCCATGGAGACCTGCACACCAGTGAGGCCCCAAGAAGGACTGAACCCCTAGTGGCATCTCTAGCAAACCTGGCCTGCGCTCCACCCTCCCAGCAAGAGGGTACGAACTCAGGTGTCCTGCGCCGTGTGGCCAAGGCTGGGGTGGTCACAGCTACAGGCAGCTCCCAACCCCAACCCAATCAGAATGAGCGGGGCTGCTTCTGATCTCCTGTGCCCCCCACGGGTGCAGCGTCTCCCCAAGAGTCAGCACAGTGGACTCTGTTGTTTTGGAGAATGGCCCCTAGATCTGAGAGCTGCCCCTTCCCAAGGGCCAGGGCTGGGCGGCTTAACTCCTGATCGGACCGGGGATGAACACATGCCCCAGGCCGAGCCAGCGGGATGCTCTGCCCTGGGAGTCTGGGGTGGGGACTCACAGGCAGCTCTCTAGGCTCTGAGGGTGCCTGAATCTGAAGGAGGAGCTCTAATGAGGGGGACGGGATGGGGGATTTCTCATGGTCACAGAGAAAGAAGGGGTAGAAAACTGGTCGGAGAGCGCGTGGCAAGCCCCCAGGGCTGACTTCTGTCTCGTCACGCGCTGCCTGACGCGGGCTGGGTGCCGGGGAGCCCACATCAAAGGGGCCAGGCCGCCCCCACGGAGGCGCCTTCGTCTCACAGATCCCAGTCAATTTAGGCAGCGGGTCAGTTGGGGCTGAGTCATGTCTTCCTTCTCTCCTGTCTGGTCTCTTCTGATCGTTCCCACGCGAACGATCTGAGCGCAGCAATAAGCAGCAAACCCGTGAGATCCTAGCCCCCCCCAAGGTCCCAGTCAAAGCAGGACCCAGCCACACGCTCTCTGCCCCGCCCACAGCCTCCTGCGGCCCGGTGTGCGGGGTGACCCCCGGCTCGCGCGAGCCAGAAACCCTTGTTTCACCGAAGCTCCTTGCGGATTACGGCGAAGGGCACCTTATAATCATAAGGACTCCAAGAACCCAGCCTTGACGGCAATAAGCTGAGGCCAGAGGGAGGGAGGGGGAGCTGCAGAGGGGCAAGAAGCCCCCCAACCCCGTAACAGAGATTAGCGTAGGGACCACAGTCAAAACCAGACAGATGGACAGGTGGACCGGCAGAGGGCTCCCGGGCTCTCGGCACCCTTGGCCGGCGGGCACCCTGTCCCGGGGCTCCCAGGGGCCCCTGTCCTGATGAGACGTCTCCTTTCTGCCCCACCTGCCCGAGAGGATTTGTTTCCAGCTTGCAGACGTAGCCCTGAAGCCCCCCCCAATGCCCACCTGGGGTTCTCAGGATCCAGGGGGGCTCCGTCCTTCCGCCAGCTCAGCAGGGGCAGAGGGGTGCCATCTGCCTGGCAGGGCAGCAGGGCTGTCTGGTTGACAGAGGCGTTCACCGCGGGTGGTCCCGGCCGGATGGTGGGCACCGCTGGAGAGGGCGAGAGGGCGTGGGCGCGGGAGCCTGTCGCTCTAAGGGGGTCGGGGCGGTGGGGCGGCGCCACTCACTGTGGATCTCCACGTGGAAGGCCACGCTGGTGCTGCCCGCGGCGTTGCGGGCCGTGCAGCCGTAGTCCCCGCCGTCGGCCAGGCTCAGGGCCTGCAGCCGGAGGAACCTGCCTCCCTCTGGGAACTGGGTGTGCGCGTCCGCCTGCGGCGTGAGGAGGCAGAGATGACCACCAGGTCACAGTCCAGGCTGCTGCAGGGAGGGGGGATTCCCCTCTCTGGAGCCCTAGGGTCAGAGACCCCATCCGCACCCGGCCAGGCCAGGCCAGGTAGACTGGCTGGGGGAGCCGGGAACCGGAGGGGCCTCTGCCCCTTTCTGGGTTGACCTGCAGCCCCGAACTTGACACACACAGAGGCCCCCCAAGGAAATGGACCTGCATGGGAGGGAATGAACGCCTGGGAGCTCTGCAGAGGGGGCTTGTGATCAGACCAAGAGACCTACAGCCCTGGTTGTGTAGCACAGAGAGGAGCAGTAACTGAGCCCGGGCCACGCAGCAGCCAACTGCAGCTCGAAGGGACTGTGGAAAAGCAGCGTGGGAAGACCTGGGTGCAGACCTTAGTCTGGCCTCCGTGTCTCCCCGCAGCTAAGGTGACCTAATAGGGTGACCGTAATAAGAGGGGTGAGGGAGGTCAGGGGAGGGGGTTTGCAAAGTGCTGGCACTGAGCAGGCCCTCTGCCCCTGGGGTCCCATCACGGTCTGGGGTCTGGGAGGGACAAAGGCTGGGCCCCCGGGTCCCCAGCTCAGCCCCCACCTGCAGCAGGACGCCATCTCGGTGCCACTCGATCTCAGGTGCTGGTTCTGCCTCCACGGAGCATTCCAGAACCAGCTCCCCTGGTGCCAGGCCAACCACAGAGCGGGGGCCTCGGGGCCCGATAACATTTGGGGGAGCTGTCAGGAGCAGAGGGCATGAGAAACAGATCCACCCCTGCAGGTCCAGTCCTGCTTCCCTCTCCTACCTCTGCTCCGGCAGCCCCTACCTTGAACTCTGACCCGGAAACTCTTCTCAGCTTCACCAGCTGGATTCTGGGCCAGGCAAGTGTATAGTCCGGCATCGCCCACCTGGGGATGGAGCAGGGTGACCAGCTGTTCCTGCCCCAGCCTGCCCACTGCCCCATCTGGTTTCCTTTACAAGTAAGAGTCCAGGATCCAGACGCAGGTCTACTGAGTCTGCCTTCCCACCTTCCAACCCACCTGCCCCCCCCCCATGACAGTGCTTCTCTAGGCCCCCCTCATCCTTGCTTCAGAGGTGGGGCAAAGCCTGCCTCCTCCAGGAAGTCCCCTCTCACGGCACCAGCCCTCCTCTGGCCAGGCTGGTTTCCCCATCAGCCTTGACTCTGACTTGGTGGGTCATCTCTGCATCCTCACCCTGCATGAAGTTGGAGCTCAGCCAAATCTTGCCAAGTGCTGCCTGGTCCCTCCGGCCCTCCCCCAGCCTCATCCCACAGGGGGTAGGGCAGAAGCACCTGCACAGCGTCCACCCGCAGCACCCGGCCAGCCCTGTTGCCATTCTCTGTCCAGCTCAGGGCCTGCCCATCCTTATGCCAGGTGATGTTGGGCTGGGGGGTGCCCTGGGCATCACAGGGGAGCTCCAAGGGGGTGCCGGGGGTCAGTGATAGCTCTGCAGGCTGGCCTGAGTCCTTGATGTGGGGGGGATCTGCAAGACACCCCACTGTGGGTCAGCCATGGAGGCTGTGCCCAGAGAGCTGAGAGCTGGGGCTTACTTGCACCCCGTACCCTCCAGATGCCGGGTGCTGACAGCCTAGGGAGGTGGTGGGGGTGGTGCTGGATGGATTGAGCCTGTATTTGGGACATGATTATTTGAAACCAGCTGAGACACAGTGGGGAGGGGAACCACCATCGACACAAGCTTGTCTAATCTACAGCTCATCACTTAAAACATTTTGAGCTGGAAACTTAGGACCCTGCCCCCCAGATGTCAGGGTCGTGATGCTGTTTACATGGCTCGGGAGACTGGACAGGGGAGCATAGCCCCCAGAACAGGAAGCCACCAGGCGCCCCTGCCCAGGAGCAAGGTCAGGGAACCTTACCCCAGCCCCCCTCCCCAGAGACATCCCTGACATGCGGGGCAGGGGTGGGGGCGGGGAGCTCACTTCCCCATTGCCTTCTCCACCGCCCGAGAGGCCCACCCTGCCCTCCCTGGGCCAGCGGGAACGCGCTGAGGGCGGGCACCCACCCATCACGGTCAGCTGGAAGTGCCTCCTGGCCTCGCCCGCCTCGTTCACGGCCACGCAGGAGTAGGTCCCCGAGTCACTGGGTCCCACCGCCTCCAGCTGCAGACCAGGACCCTGCTCCAGACTCTGGGACAACCAGGGCTCCCCATCCTTCAGCCACGACACGAGGGGCAGGGGGCTGCCCTGGGCTTCACAGGGGAGGACCAGCGGAGAGCCCCGCACCACTGCCACATCTTCCTCTAACTCCACCGGCTCCAGGACAGGCGGCTCTGTGCAGGCGAGAGTGGACAGGCGCCATCTCATCCCATGCCAGGCGGCCCTCACCCCTGCGCCTTGGCACAGGCTGTTCCTACTGGCCAGAACGCCCTTCTGGACAATTTCTTCTCATCTCTAGTCCTTGGCTTGGACCTCACCTCCTCCAGGAAGTCTTCCCTGAGCTCCCACGCCAGGTGAGATGCCTCCTCTGTGATCCCACAGCACCCTCCTTCCCCTGGCACCTCTCGTCTCCTTACAGAGCTGTTTCTCTGAACTGCCCTGGTGGCGGGGTCCACTCTGCTCCCATCCGGAGCCTGGGTGTCCCTGGCACACCACGTGTCCGACGACTGCTCGTGAGATGAATGAATGAGCAGCCGAGGGAATCAGGTTGAGGAGCCACAGGGGCCCCCAAGGCTCTGCGTCCCACCCCGAAGGCCAGCGGACCCACGAGGCGCCCCGCGTACCGTGCACCCGCAAGCTGAAGTTCCTGTTGGTCACGCCGGCCGGGCTCGCAGCCACGCAGGTGAAGGTGCCAGAATCTGCCAGCTGCACCGGGGAGATCCTGAACCCCTCAAGAGTGGAGGGGAGGACGAGAGAGGGGAGAGGGGCCGGTCAGTGGCAGGTCCTGTCCTTCTCCAGGGATCATCCTGTCTCCCAGCCGCTTGCTGGAGTGGCTGAAATGCGCCCCAGCCCAGCCTCTGCTTCCTCCTTCCCGGTTCCTGGTGCCCACACTCCTGGTGCCCCTGTCTGCCTCCTTCTCTAAACCACCTCGCCCGCTGCTTTCCTGAGGCTCTGGTGCCTGTGGGGCTCCCCAGAGCAGTCCCCACCCACTGTCTGCCCCACTCTCCTTTCTGTAGGCCCTCTTTTCCCCCTGACCTCTCCTCCTGTGCTGCTCATCAATGACCGCGGTGATCTTTACTCAGCCCCTGCCACACATGCCAGGACCCTTAGAGCTGACCTAACGAGCAGCTGGGCGCAGTCCACAGAGCTGTGCCCCACGTGCCATTTCACTTTCACATCTGTTTGTCTTCTATCCCTCCCCGGTGCCCGGAGGGCAGGCGCTCTGTAAGTGTGGCTGACGTGTGAAGACTTTGCTCAGGCACCTCCTTCCAGGAAGCCCTCCCTGATTTCCCCCAGCCAGGGTCAGGCTGAGTCCAGTGCAACCAGATGTCGTCACTGGGATCACTGAGCTCCCCCAGCGTCATTTGGGGGGGGGGGTCTTCTCCTCCTCCCTGTCACAAATGCCCATGTGTTTATCTTATTCTCATTCTAAACACCATCCAGGTATGTTTTTAAACCTGAGCTGCCTGAAGAGCGTGTCTGCAGGTGTGTGCCCCCGGCCAGCCGGGCCCGGACTCCACCCCCTACCTGAGGGTGCGGCCGTGGCCATGGAGGTGGGTGCGCTGGGACAGCGGAAGGGGCAGGCCGTCCTTGAGCCAGCTCACACGGATGGGCGGGGAGCCCCGAACCGGGCATGCCATGGTCACCAGCTCCCCTGGCCTGCTCACGAGGGTCCCCGAACCCTCGGCCCCTTGCTCGATGGTGGGAGGAACTGGGGGTGCACGGAGAATAAAGCAGGCAGTGAGGGGGTGAGCGCGGGGACAGGGAAGTTCTGGGAGGTGGTTGTTGAGGCCAGACTTTGGCCACAACCGGCCGTCATGGAGGGGAGCCACATGCCCCCCACCCGAGGAGGAAGCCTGCGCTGCGGGCACGGCCCCCAGGGACCCTCTTCTCATCTCCCTCTCCCCGACTCCCTGGCTGCACCCCCAGAGTGGCTGTGCCTCTAGTCTGAGCAGGGGGCACTGGGCCCAGAGAGGGCAGACCAGGCCCCACTCAGCTCACGGCGTGGCCAGGCCGGGGCTCGGAGCAGGTCTCCCGCCGCCCGGCCACTCTCCGGCCGCTCTCACCCAGCACGCTGACGGCGTGCAGCCGGGCGTCCTCCCCGGCCGCGTTGTGGGCCACGCAGGTGTAGGCGCCCGAGTCAGAGGCCCTCAGGCCCTTCAGCACCAGGGAGCTTCTGTCCAGGTAGAACCTGGAAGGGGGAGCACAGGCCGTGAGGATTCACGGGCGCTGCTGGGGCAGGGGAGGGCGTGGGCCAGCCTTACCGGAGGTGGGGGCCCGCGCGCTCTTCCAGGGGGCCCCCGTCCTTCAGCCAGGCCACGTCGGGTGGCGGCTGCCCGTCGGCCTCGCAGTCCAGCCGCACCTCCTGCCCCTCCAGCACGCTGTGTTCCTGTGTGGTGCCCGAGCTCCGAATCTGGGGGGCCACTGTGGCAGGGGCAGTGGTGAGAGGGGGCGCTGGCAGGGGCTGGCGTGGGGATGGGGCGCCAGGGGCGCGGGGGTGGGAGGGCACAGACATACCCAGCACAGCCACCACGAAGTCCTTGCGGACCTCGGCCTGGGCGCTCTCTGCCACACACGTGTAGGTGCCAGCCTGGGTGGGCTGTAGGCGACTCAGCTGGAGGCGGCCCCCCCGGGAGACCACGCCGTGCACCACGCTGCTCTCTGTGGGGCAGAGGGGCGTGCCAGCCTGCAGCTGCACAGACCCGCCCCCCGGCCCCCAGGAGCAAGGGTCACCTGGCTCCCAGGGCAATGTCCCTCCCCCAGGCCAAGAGGGAAAGATCCCAGGAAGCCTCGAGTACCCCACCCCTTCTTGTGCTCAGGGGGAAACTGAGTCTCTTTCCAGTGTCATCATGGTCCGCCGCAGCCTGGTCTGTCTGCTGGCTCTACTTCCTTCCACTGGGACGTTCTTCCCAAAGGACCCCACCCCACAGTGTTCAGCGGGCCCTGAAGCGCCCTCTTGCCACATGGAGCCTGCGCTGGAGTCCAGCGTGGATCTACTGCCCTCGCCGGGGCCAGTGGGGCTGGCACCACAGGGCTCTTCAGCTGATGGCCAGGTAGGGGGGAGGGAGAGAGTGGGGCTGGGACAAAGGCCTGGATGGGGTCAGTGACTGTGGGGCCAGGTCGCAGCTAAGTGACCACAGCTACCAGAGTGGGAGCAGCTGTGGGGGCCAGTGCCAAGCCCGGGGTCGGCCAGCAGGCCCTCAGCTCCCACATAGCGCTTCATCCTCGTGGGAGCCGGTGGGAGCACACGCAGCGGGGGCCCTGAAGCCCCCAGAGCAATTCCTGATGTTGGGGCTTTTAGGGCCACATTGACAGAGAAATGGGGCATGGGACCAGCACCACATTGCCAGCTGTTGATTTTGCCAAGAACAGTTACAGCCAACAATGCCCCCCTCTTTCACCATTACTCCATTCAATAAAGGGGTATCAACACTCAAAAGACAAGGCTGCACATACTCACCAACGGGCATTCTGTCCTTCAGCCAGGTCACAGTGGGCGCAGGGACCCCCGTCACATCACAGGCCAGGACCAGGGGGCTTCCAGCCACCTGGCTCACCAACTCCGTCTCGGGGTTCTCAAATGTTGGGGATACTACAGGAGGGAAGCCAGATCCCCAGAACCTAAGACTCCTCCTGCTACTTCCTTCCTCTTGGGTAGAGTTGGGTACCCTAGAAGGTCTCCCCTGGGCTTAGGAGCCAACATTTGTGCTCAGCCACTAATGGTGACCCAGGCTGTTTTACTCACAAATGTAAACACAACCAGCAGCTGGCTGTTTCAGACATGGACATTTGAAATATGTAATGTTTCAAAACATTTACAAAGCAGAGCCTAAGAGGATGTGCTCAGCACAAAGATGTTTCTCGTGTGGCTAACATACACAGTCTGCAGCCTGTGCCCAGGCAGGCATCACTAATCAATCCCAATGCTCTTGCTCAGCCAGGATGAAGTGGTGCACTTCAGGCAGCCATTACCGGTGTAACAGAGAAGGCTGGGCTCAGGCTGAAATACCTTTGCCCTCAGGGACCCAATAATCCCCCTTCTCCAGCTCCTGCCCTTGCATCCTTGGCCTCCCGAGTGTGGCAAGGGGTCCCTTGGAAAGGCTCTCGCCAGCTCCCAGCTTACCCTGGACGGTGAGAATGAAGGTCCGCATGGCCTCCCCGGCCACATTGCTGACTTTACAGCTGTAGAGACCTTTATCTGACACCTGGGACAGAGAGCATGTGGGGAATATATACATGGGGAGGGAGAGGGGAGCCTAGGGGTTCCCCCAAACACACAGGTCCCAGAACCTTCCAGAGCAGTGATTCCCAGACCTGCACATCCTGCCTGAGAAGCCAGGGGGAAAAGGGAGCCGCTGACCTTTCCCAAGAACCTGGAGAGGCAGGAGGCTGATGGAAAGGGAGTGTACAGGCCCTGGAAGACTCCCCTTCCCCCAAACCAGCCATCCTGTGGGCTAAGCTGGAGGAAAAGGCTCCTTGTTCTGGGTGGGCCAGGAGAGAGGAGGCCAGGATGGACCCACCCAGCAAACATCTCGCCCCAGGGAGTGAGGGCGAGAGACCCCTAGAAAGCCATCACCAGAAGGGCCTGGATAAACCCCTAGATCCAGGAAAACTGAGGTCAGTGGGGGGCACGTGCTCAAGGTCATTCTGTGGGTGGAAGCTCTAGAGGCTGCTCATCAACTCAGCCAGGAGTCTGGTAGGCCCTGGAGGCAGTAGCCCCTGCCCTGGGTGCCCCCTCACTGCCCCACCCAGGGTCACTGGGACCAGGAGGCATATCCCTACAGCTACCTGGGCCACTAGGCTGCTCACCTGGGTGTCCAGGATCTCCAGCTTCTGCCCACCTGGAAGCACCTGGGTCCGCTGTGCCGGGACAAGGGGCTGCCTGTCCTTGAACCAGGTCACAGCTGGCTCAGGGAGCGAGTCTGTCTCACAGCTCAGCACAGCCTTGTCCCCTGCCTGCACTAGAACCGCATCCTGGGGACCACCGGGGGCCTGCCTGAAAGTGGGGGGAACTGGGCCAGAGACAGGGGAGTGAGTTGTAGAGGCCGCAGATTAACAGCCCACAGGGGTCACGTGTGGACCTCACCCCAGGGGAGGGCACAGATCCAGGGAGTTCAGGCCAGCCCACCAAGAACCTGCTGGGTGACCTGGGAAAAGCAAAGCCTCCTGCCCTCTCTGGGCCTCAGCCTCTTCTGCGGGGAGATGCTCTGACAGCTCCCCCAGCTCTTCCCTCTGCGGGGCAGGCCCCAGCTGGGTTAGTGCCCTCTCTGGGGCTCCCACCACCCCATCTCCTCCAGCAAACCAATATAGAAGCCCCCACCCTGGCTGTGAGCCCACGGAGTGGTGGCCGGCTAGGAGGAAACTTCCCGTGAGTCCTGGCTCATATGTCTTGGGCCAGCTTGTCCCCAAAGGACTGGGAAGAGCTTGCGACCCCAAACAAACTCCATGCTAAGAATCTCAGCTGGGACAGGTTCCTCAGCTTCAGAACTCCAGGCACAGCGCTGAGAGCTCACAGCCGTCCTTTCACCCGGAGACCCTTGGCACCATGTGGGTGGGAAACCTGAGGCTCGGGGTGGGGGGCACTTGCCCGAGGTCACAGAGCAAATGTGTGCAGGGCTGAGTGCCCAGCCCGAGTGTGTGCAGCTCTGCAGACCAGGATCTCCGCCACCCGGACGGGGTCGCTGCAGGGCAGCTGTGCTGCCCAGGGGTGCGGAGCTGAGGCTGATGGCAGGGGCGGGGACGGGATGTGAGGTTGGGGGCAGGACGTACCCAGCACGCTGAGCTGCACCAGCCTCTGGTCTCGGCCGGCGGCGTTGAGGGCCTCACATACGTATGTCCCGGAGTCGGATGGCTGTACCCGAGCCAGCTGCAGTGTGTGGGTGCCTGCGGGGGGGAGGGAGGGAGCCGCCCCTCGCACCAGCCAACAGGCCTGGCCTAAAGCCCCCAGCCTGGCCCCAGGTTAGGGGAAGCCATGTGGCCCTTCATAGAACCTCAGAGCTGGGCCCCTCGCCTCAGTTCACCCACCAGGCAGGAGGAAGACCTCCGCTCCCAGGGAGAGGGCCCGGCCGTCCTTGTACCACGTGACCTCTGGGTTCGGGTGGGCGCGGACGTCGCAGGGGAGGGACACGCTGCTGTTGTGGATGCTGGAGACCTGCTCCGAATCTGGGCCTGCGATTCGTGGCGGGACTTCCCCACGGCCACCAGAGCAGAGAGAGCCGCGTGAGGACGCACCCCAGCAGAGGGCAGAGAGCCAGGGAGCGGGCCAGGCCCGACGAGCCCGGGCGCTGCACCTCGCACGCCCTGGAACAACGTGGCCAAAGAAGGCAGGACCTCCCGCGGATGGGAACGGGGCTGGGCCATCGGGGGCGAGTCCCTTCCCAGGCCACTCAGCGGTGGGGCAAGAGCCAGCATATAAAATGGGTTTCCGTTCTAGATCTGAGTGCCAACACTGTCGCCCCTCTGCCCCGGAGGTCACTGCTCCCCACATCTGGAGGCACAGGTAGAGAGTGCGACCCCACAGGTCACCCTCTGACTTTAGGAAGCCGCGGGCCCAGGGAGCGCAGCAGCCCAAGCCAGGCACACTGCGGCGGCCCCAGAACGTGCCGTAAGGCCCATGACCAGGGCCCCCCGATGTTGCCATCCCAGGATGTGGCTGGTGCCAAGACTGGATGCCTGAGCTCTGAGCGCGGACCCCAGGGCCCCAGACACTCGGTACCCCAGGGCCCAGAACACCTGCCCCTCCTGGCTGGGTCCCCAGGGCCTGGGGCCAGCTCACCTTGTACCCTGAGGGTGAAGAGCTTCTCCGCAGAACCCGCCAGGTTCTCAGCCACACACATGTAGCTGGCAGTGTCGGCCGCCTCCGCCGTGGAAACCTGTGGGCACAGGGAGCAGGTGTCTGCCAGGTGCCCGGCCTGGTGGGCCCAGCTCACTCTGGTGAGGCCCACTGTGGGGCTCCTCCCTCCCACCCCAGCTGCAGCGGGCGCAGGGAGCTCAGAAGCCGCGATGCTGTGCTTGTAAGAAACACAGGCTTCAGCCCCTCGAACGCCAGGACCCTGCCTCTGCACAGCAGGTCTTGCCCACATCCCTGCTCGCAGCTTCCAGAAGCCGGGGCTCCCTGGCGTTGAGAGTGATGTGGGTGTCTCCTGCTATCGGACTGAGGCGACTTTTGGAAGCACCTAAGGGTGGGGGCTAGTTGCCAGGGGGACCAGCCATGTGATTAGAAGGCTGGAATGTCCAGACCAATCAGGCCAAGCAGATGGGCTTGGGAGAGCTTCTGGGCTGGTGAACACGCGGAGATTTGGGGAGCAGGGTGCACCTGGGCAGGATGTCTGTGTCGCTTCCTATACCCCACCCACATGTCACCCTCCACCTGGCTGTTATAGCCTTTGTAATAAATCAGTTATCTAGTTAATTAAGATATCTTGTTAATTAAACAAACCCAAGAAGGGGGGCTCAGGAACTCCTTTTTACAGCCAGTTGGTTAGAAGCACAGGTGGCAACTGGGCCTGTGATGGGCACCTGAGTCACAGGAAAGTCGTGGGAGCCTCCAATCTGGTGCACAGAAGCTCAGGTGACAGCCTGGGCTCACAGTGGCACCTGGTGTGTGTGGGGGGGTGCTGGAGAGCTTAGAGACTGAGCCCTCAAGCTGTGGAATCAGGTGTTACCTCTGGGTAGACGGGGGCAGAATTGAGTCACCCTTCAGTGTCTGAGAACTGCTCATTGGAATGGGGTGTCTACCCAGACACCCCCCTAGAATTAGGTCCAAGAACTCCCTAGAAGGTCTCCTTTGTCTACATGGAGCAGCCCTTAGTGGGCTCTGCTCTGTGCATGCACCCCCACATCCATCTAGGGTGTTCTGTGGCACAGGGGAGTGAGGATAGTGCTGGTGAGTCTGTGGTGAACAGCCGCTCTCCACCCCCTGTGGGGCTGCTCCACGCTGTTGGCCTTCAGGGGCTCGGCATTGGCCACGGGTGCTGCCAGGGGTCCCAGCACAACTCCTCAGGTGTCAGGGGCTCTGGGTGGGGCGTGTGGGTGCGCCTTCAGGCATAGCGCTGCCTGCCCTCCAGCGAGGCACCCCCTCGGGCTGCTTGGGGAGCGGAGTGGGACCCCAGGTGCTCCAGGACGATTTCAGGCAAAGAGCCTCATGCGCCACAGACGATGGCGGCTCCTCGGTTCCCAGACAAACCACACAGGCCCCCCCAGCCCTGGCCTTGGGCCCTGACCTGCAAGACTTGCCCATCCTCCAGGACCTGCAGCCGGGGGTTTGGGGAGAAAGGCAGCCCGTTCTGGAGCCACGAGATGGAGGGCACGGGGCTGCCCAGGGCCGGGCACCGCAGGCTGACAGTGCTGCTGGCGTTGACGGTCACCTCCTCCACCAGCTCCTCCGTGTCTCCCGGGATCACAGGTGGGGCTGGGGTGGGGGACAGCAGGGTGAGGAGCGGGGGCCTCCTGGGAAAGGTGCCCATTGGGAGGGCATGGGGGCGAGAGCGGCCCTCAGTGCCAGGAGCAGGCTGGGACTCCCGTGCCCTGCTCACCAAGCCCCCCAGCCCCAACGCAGACCCCGACGCACAGAGAGGGTGGAGACCGACGACAGGTCACACAGCAGGACGTGGCCCATGTGGCATTGGTGCCCAGCCCTGCCAGGTTTCAGAGCCCAGGCTGTGACCCCCTTATTATCACCCTCCCAGGACCTCCAGGGCGCTCAGGGGAGGTGCTGGGGGCCTTAGGCCGAGACCCCAACCCCGGGGCCACTCACTCAGCACCAGCAGCTCGTAGTGCAGCCAGTCCTCGCCCACCTCATTGGAGGCCTTGCAGGAGTACCTCCCGGTGTCCTCAGCGCGCACCAGGGGGATCTGCAGGACCCGGCCCCCTGCAGGGACAGAGGCCTGAGCCAGGGCCAGGAGAGGCACCTGCCCTGAAGGGGGCCTGGGTCGCATCAAGGACACCTGGTGTCCCCCGCAAATATTTAAGGTGGCGAAAAGAAAACCAAAATCGCATGTGCCATGAGCTTTGACCCCAGGCGGCCCTCGAGGGGAGTTGGGGGAGTGTCATCAACATGTGGGGTCACAAGTCTTCTGAGCTGCTCAGCAAAGACCCGGCTCCCTCCAGTAATTGCTGAGCTTTGGGGGACTATTCCAGGACATGGCCAGTCTCGGAGGTGGCCTGGCCCTCATTTTCTAGAAGGTTCCAGCTATGTCAGAAAGGTGCCCAGGCCTGGAGAGGCCACCCGAGTCACACAGCAAGCAGCACGGAGCACCGAGAAAGGTGCCGAGCTGGCCCACACTGGTTTGGGGGTGCCCTGTCCCCGCCTGCAAACTCCCCACTTCTGCACGTCCCTGCCTACCTTGCAGGATGGACACCCCGTCTGTGGCCACCAGGGGCTGGTCCTCCCTGTACCAGGTGAGCTTGGGGGGCGGCACCGCGTTGGTGTCGCAGTAGAGGTAGACGGGGTTGTTCTCCACGATCTCCCGGTACTCCGTCACCCCACCCCGGGCCTCCTCCTCCTGGGACAGGATCTCAAAGCCTGCACTGGCGTCACCCACCTTCTGAAACATGGGGGGCACTGGGTGGAGGAGACAAAGCCATCAGGACACACTGCTGGGGGAGGGGACCCCACCACTGCAGCCAAATCCCCTTCCCCCTTGAAGGCAGTTTCACCAGCGTGCGCTGGGCAGCTTCTCTGCCCGGCACTGGGGTGAGGCCCCTGCCCTCTCAGGCACACATCTGAGGGCCTCAGAGACTCCTTGGGACACTCTGACAAGCTTCTGCGAACCTGCTGCCCCAGCGCAGGGCGCATGGCCCGCCTCTCCAACCGCAGGGCCGCGAGGCCCCTGACGCGATGGCCCACATTTTCCAAGGGCCCAGGGGTGCAGGGACGGGCCGGTCACAAATTCAGTCGTGCCTACCCAGGAGTCTGGGGCCAGAGGACAAAGTGGAAGCATATGAACACCCCAGAACAGAGTCCTTCTGCCAGGACACCCCAGAAGCACCCCTCAGCGAAACCTGGCTCTGGCACTCATCCCTGAACTCCAGTTGAGGCCTCCAGAAGAGGCCATCAGCCTCTTCCCTCCCTCCTCTTCCCTCCTCTCCCTGCCTCCTTCCCTCCTCCTCCCAGAGGTCAGAGCCCGGTTCCCCTCTGTCCATGGGAGAGGTCCCCTGGGGCGGGTGACTGGCGGGGGAAGTGGGGACCGAGTGCAGCTGCTGCAGTCCCTCGAGGTCCTTCTTGCTGCGGACCCACTAGGGAGCTCTCAAGGGCTCTTTGCTCCTCTCTGCACCCAGTGAAGTAGGGGCGCTATTAAAGCACCCTCAGGGGCGCCTAAAGCACCGTCCTGTCCATGGGGTCTTGGCGCGGGGGTCTTTCTAAGACGGCACCTTAAGCCAGGGGAGCAACCACAATGTTGGCAGCTTTGGGGGCTGCAGAGCAGATGGCGGATGGGGCAGGAGCTGCCAGGCCAGGGTGCTGTGAGCCCCCACCCGCCCCCCTTGGCCCCACCGTCCAGCACCCCCAGACCACTCATCGGCCACCCCGTCCCGGGCCTAAAGACTGATGCGCCACGCCTGCTGGCCCGCCCTGCCCCTGCGGGGCCCTGCCCCCGGCGCACCCTGGATGAGCACGCTGAAGTCCTGCTCGTCCTCCCCGGCCGCGTTGGAGGCCACGCACAGGTATCGGCCCGAGTCCGACAGGCGCGTGGGCTGGATCTGCAGCAGCCGCCCTTCGCCCAGGACGTGGAGCCGCTGGTCGGGGGCCACCGGCTGCGGGGAGGAGGGGGCGCGGGGTTCAGATGAGGGAGGGGCAGAAGGCGCCAGGGGAGGAGAGCCCTGACTTAAAACCCGCCGCCAAGCGACAGCGCCTGACGGCCTTGAGCAGCCAGATCCGGGGCCTTGAACATCGGGAGAGAACGAGATGGGCGCGTGGTTTAACGTCTATGAGGCGGTCTCCTGCCAAGAGCTGGATTTCTTATAAAAAAAATAAAGGGTGGGCGGGTGCAGGTCACCTCTGGGGCCAGTGCTCTAATGTCATTGTACTTCGGGGAAAAGGTCAACTCATTTAATCCCCACAACCCTGCGAGATCCTCCCCCGGCCGCGGCTCCCCTCACGCCTTCGGCTCTCTTCCACTGTCCCCTTTGCCCTTCAGAAGCCACGCCTTGCTGCTTCGTGTTCTGCAGGCGCCTCGTACTAGTCACCGCTGGTATAAGCCACTCTCTCCCGGTTTTGTGAGTGTTTTGCTGTGTCGGCGCGTCTGCTATGTGTACTCTGATGCTGGCCTGCCAGCCTGGCTTGCTTCTCTGACACCCTTCCCTCCAGCAACTTCCATTTTACTGTCTTTCCTATGGCTGAGAAGTGCTCCCAAGTGGGACAGACCCCTCCTCTGGACCCAGTCCTCTGCCAGGGGGCGCTTGGGTGGCCCCCAGGGCCTAGCTATTGTCACTAGTGCTGCAGTGGACACATGGAGCATAGAATTTTGGGGCTGGTGGTTCATGTTCTTTGGACAGATGTGGGCTAGTTGCTTGGCTGCCTTTTCTAGAAGGTTCTGGGCAGAATGGGGGAGCCAGAGATAAGGGCCCGAGGTGGCCGCGGCATTGGCGCTCACCTGTCCATCCTTGTACCAGCTGATGGTGGGCGGAGGTGCGGCCCAGCACTCACACTCCAGGGTCAAAGTGCTGTTGACCTTGGTCTTCACTTCCTTCACGCTGACCTCCCCCAAGGGGTCGTCTTTAGAGATGGAAGGAGGGACTGAAAACACAAGGAGGGGTCTGAACAACAGGTGTGGGGAAGGGGCACGGAGACCCTGTGCTCACTACTTCCAAGGCTATCCCAGAATTGGGGGGCTCCCGAGTGTGGAGGAACAGGGACCCTGGAAAGTGACCCGCTCCTGAGGCCGCTCACTTAGGGGAAAGGGTGATAGTGAAGGTTACAGACAGGTCAGGTCTGGAGCAGGGTGACCTCTGGGAGACCTTTCAGAGAGGTTCCAGGTCTTCAATTCTGGGGCTTTTGGGTGTACCCCAATACAAGTGGCAGAAGGAAAACAGGACTGGCATGGGTCTCGGTGCCCATGTGAGCTCCACCCTCACTTACACTTTCCTCCCTGTGTCCTCAGACCTAAAAGGAAGACCCTGGGGTGTCATCTGGGCACAGGGGAGCCCTGCAGGCCCCGACTCACTGAGGACCTCCACGTGGTAGTGCTTCACGGCCTCCCCAAGCTCGTTGGTGACCACACAGGTGTACTGGCCAGCGTCCTCCTTCTGGGCATTCAGGATCTGCAGCCCATGGGTGCCTGCTTGGGGGGCAGGGGCCAAGGTCTCCCTCAGGCATGAGCTCAGACTCCCCGATCCCCTCCTCTGTGTCGCCTGCCCCCGTACCCTCAGGGGGCATCACCTGGAAGCAGCTGAATGTTGTCAGAGGCCTCAAATGGGGCCCCGTCCTTCATCCAGGTGATGGTGGGGGCGGGGAAGGCCAGCGCCTCGCAGATCAGAGAAATGGGGTTGTTGATGGTGACCGTCACCTCCTCATCCCCAATGTTCTCGGTCACTCCCAGGATAGTGGGAACTACTGTGGAGGGGGGCAGGAGGGCACCCCCGGTCAGGGCATCTGAGGAAGGCTCAGAGCCTTGGGTGCTCCTGCTGTTTTCATTACCCAGATGGGAGACTGAGGCTCACAGCAGCCCTTGCTTGGGGCTGCCAGACGTGAATTCTGGGGGACCCCGTGCCCAGGGAAAGCTTCCTCCATTTCCAAAAAATTCCACTGGGGCCTTCTTAGCCCCGAGGTACCCGCCCTGAGTTGGGGCAGGTGGAGTTCTGGGGTCCGCTGCTCTCCAGTGTCCTAAGGCTTCCCCTTTTGGCCCCAGGGGACTCTTCCCTTCCACCACCTGTGTCTACAAACAGGTTTTACTACACCTGCTACTACACCTGCCCTTCTCATGGCCTAGATCCCTGTGTCTCCAGCCGAACAGGACAGTTGTCGGTGCAGCACTGACCACAGGAGAGGACAGCCTGGGTGAGCCTGCCTTGGGCCTGGAGCTACCTCCTCGCCTCTCTGGGCCTCAGAGCGTCCACAGTGACTTGGGGTGGGGAGGTTCCCAACCACTCACAAGGCCTGGCCCATGACAGATGTTCTACCAATATCACCGCTGTTACTGCTGGACTGGGGGAAGTGAGAGAAAAAGTCCTGGAGCGCCTTATGGGGAGCTGCCTCAGGAGTTGGTCACCTTAGCTTTCCCCCGTACCAGCATCTTCAGTGGCCAGCACTTACCCAGGATGCTAAGCTGCAAGTGCTTGGTCTTCTCGCCCACAGCATTGGCTGCAATGCAGGAGTAGTGGCCAGCACTGGACAGGTTGGCCTGCAGGACCTGCAGGAGGGCTCCATCTGGAGAAATGTGGTGGGCGTCTCCACCAGCTAGGGGCCTGCCATCTTTGAACCACGTGACCGTGGGCTGCGGGTGGCCTGCACACGTATGAGAGAGGCAGGGAAGACAATCCCATAGGTTTTGACCAGGTGGGCACAGAGGTGCTCCAGCATGGAACTGGAACATGGATTCTCTGTCTTTGTCCAGAAATAGGGCAGTAGGGCAAGAAGCCCTCTGTCCAAGGAGTGGACAGAGATGAGGTAGACAAGAGAGCAAGGCAAGTTCTTCATCCCATCCCCCCACCTACCATCTATCCATCCATCCCCCCAACCCCCCATCCCTCCATCCCTCCATCCATCCCTCCATCCATTCCTTCAACCATCCATCCACACAGCCTCCTATGCATCCATATACCCATCGATTCAACCACAAATTTATCCAACCATCCATCCATCCATCCATGCATCCATCCATCCATCCATCCATTCATCCACCCACCCATCTGCCCCAGTCCATAAGCATTAATGGGCTCCTTCTCCACCAAGCACTGGGGAAACCATGGAGACAAGGTAGCCCTTGGATCCTCCAGCAGCCCAGAACCCAGCTGAGGTACACAGATGTCACAAGGCCACTGAGGGCCAGTGCGGTCAGTGCTGCGATAGGGAAGCACTGAGGCCCAGCAGAGGTGGCCCCTCGGTCCAAGGGGTAAACCAAGGACTCCTTCTGGAGAGTCTGGAAGCTGAGGTCTGTAGTCAGGCGAGGAGCAGGGAAGAGTATTGGGAAGCAGAGAGATGAGTGCAAAAATTTCGGGGGCCATGGTGCTGGGTTCAGGATGGAGGAGGCCTCCGTGGGGAGCAGCAGGGCTGTGGACAAGCAGGCCGGACCCGCAGGGCTCCAGTCCCCCCCTTTGCTGCGCCCGTCCTGTGTGGCCCTTACCTGCGGCATTGCACGTCAGGTGGGCTGTCTGTCCCTCGGGGACCTTGATGGCCTCCTCCAGGCCCTCATTCTCGATACTAGGAGGAACTGGGAGAAGCAGGGAGGACTGTTACTGACCAGAGTTGGCCCACTCGGCCTGAAAAACCACAGAGCAGAAGGCCGAGGGTCCAGGGCGTCTCTCTTCAGTGCCTCAGTTTCCCCTCATGACTGCTTCCATGGGAAAGCAAGTTTAACGAAGATTGGCTGCTGACTCAGGGGAATACCGGAGCCCTGGGAGAAGGCCCTGGACAGAGGAAGGCCAGCAACTGGGTGGCGCCTCCCACATGGGCTTAGGCCCAGCTGCATCTGGGAAGCCCCATGGCAGCCTCAGAGCAGAGGTTTCTGGCGAGGCAAAGACAATAAGGCTTGACCGCTCCCTCCTTCCTGTACACCTGGTACAGCCGGCGCCCCTAGTCCTGGGCCCGCTCCCTGAAGCTCTCAGGAAGGGGACACTGGTGGTGTGCCCCGGGATTAGCTGTGCCATACCCAAGACCTCCACGCTGAAGTTCCTCCGCGCCTCCCCAGCCTCATTGCTCGCCAGGCAAGAGTAGAGGCCTCTGTCTGGCTCCTGCGCTCGGGTCATCTTCAGCATCCAGCCACCTGGGGAGAGCGGGGAGCTGGGGTCCAAGCCTGGCTACGAGCAGCCTCCGTCCCAAGCTGCCCAGCGGGAGGAGGAGCACCAGATGTGTGTGTGCCGCCCAGGGCTCCACTCCTCAGACGGGGACACCGAGGGTGAACGGATGGAACCCCGGGACATCAGGCATGCCCCAGGGGAAACTGAGGACCCTGTTCTAGTAGTACAGCTCTGTCACCTGGCCACCCCCAGTTCTGGGGATTGGCCAGGGTTAAAGAAGAGCAGGGGGCAGTGCTGCCCTGGCCCAGGTCAGACCCCAGGCTAATCTGATGGGCTCTGTGAAAGCCACCTCTCTGAGGCCAGCTCCTCTCTGCGGAAGCCGGAGGTCTCCTAAGACCAGCCCAAGATTTCACAGGACACATTGTGCTGCTGTTCCTGCCCAGAGCAGGCATCACTAATTGATTGCCGCCTTCTCTTCTGCCAGACCCATGTGCAGTCCTTGAGTCCATATGCTCACGATGCCTTGGGCGGCCCACCGAATGCTCAGACATGGTGCACAAGGGCAAACTTATCTGCTACCCCAACTTTGTCTGTATAGAACAACCAATAGGTCATGGAGGCGGAACTTCAGTGGACCCTGAAGTCCTCGCAAGATTTGGATGGAACACTGGCTCACAGTCTCGGTTTCCCCACTTACATACCAGCAAGAACCATCACAAACCACCTCTGGGAGGCGGTTTCCTATTTAAAGAAGGTGCTTAGATCAGCCTCTCCAAGCCTGCTGCTGCTCTGTGGGACGTTTCATAAGGGCCATGAGAATTTTTGCTGCAGGAATCATCAGTACCTTGACAAGGCAAGTGGTCACTGGAAATCTCTAGAAGGGGAGCAGAGTAGGAAGCCTTTCCAAAATTACTTAAATCCAGTTTTTTCCCTGGAGCACATCACCTGACCAGTATTCACCCTCCCGGCACCTGTATTTTGGGGTACATTTGAAATGGTTCCAACCAGACTTGGCAACTCAGGGTCAGTGAGCGGAGGCAGAGGTCAGACCTGACAGCCACACGCCCCCTGGTGGGCACCTTACCTGCCAAGAGGTAGGTGTCCTCCCCGGGGCTGATGGGCTCCTCCCCTCGGAACCAGCGGACCCCTGGGGGCGGGGTGCCAGTGGCCTCACAGAGCAGCGTCAAGGGACTGTGCAAGGCCACTGTGATGTTGCTCAGGGGGTCCAAGTCGCCAACAAACTCTGGGGGCACTAGACACAGAGAAGAAATCACATCCAGGTGCAGACAGGGGTGCTCCCCCCACACGCTGACCTCCCTGCCTGAGGACCTCCACCCCACTTGACAGAATCTGTGGGGCAGAAGTGACAAGATGGAAGCTGTTCCCCCTGACGGGAGATTGGACTTTGGTGTGAGGCAGACACCTTGGGCCTCAGTTTCCCCAGCACCTCCAGGGCGTGCCAGGAGGATTCAACCAGAATGTTTGAAGACTTAGCACAGTGCCTGGCAGGTGCTGAGCGAATGAGACTAGAATTAGAGCAAAAGCGACCGCGGCCGAGTTCCCGAGATGCACGTCACGGTGTGGAGGACAGTGGTTTCTAGAGGAGCCATTCAAAAGAGCAGCCACGTGCCTCCCCACAGGGACAACCGGGAGAGGTGAGGGATCCCAGCAAGGCCAGGGGCAAGGTGAGGGGGCTTCCCTAAAGTGACCCCTGCCCCACTCTCCCATCTCACCTCTTACCAGGCCTGCCTCCACCCCAAACTGCACTAGTTACACTATAGGCAGCGTCGGAGCTCAATAAACGGCCGAATGGTGAGGCTGCTCCAGCCGTCCTGCACACAGTCACCCCTCCGGGCCCTCTGCTCCCTCTGCTTGGCGTGCTTTCCCCTCACCGCAGCACCAGCTTAACTCCTACTCTACTTTGACATTTTAGCCAAAAGGCCACCTCCTCCAGGAGGCTGCCCTGGTTTCCCTTAACAGCGTTCATGGTCAATCTGATCTCTCCCAGGCCTCGGGATTCCCGTCTCACATATGAATTACATAGGATAGTGCAGAACAGGGTAATGGACCATGAGGGAAGGAGGGAGGGAAATCAGGGCTCACTGGAGGCAGTCCTGATTTTGAGAGCCGTGTTGCTGACAGCCCCCCTCAGCAGTCCTGACCGCAGGAAGAGGAGACCCCAGGAACACCACACAGATCACGCTCTCCTGCGGACTGTGCTGGAGGTGGAACCAGCCTTGCCCTCTCCAGCCACCCCTCCCGGCCCCCCTTGGCAGTCTGCTGGTCCTCACCCAGTACAGAGAGTGAGAACCTCCTCTCAGCCCTGCCAGCCACGTTCTCAGCCACGCAGCTGTAGTGCCCAGCGTGGGCCGCCTGGGCCCGCACCACATGCAGGCTCTGGCCCTGGTTCTGCAGCTGCAGGCCAGACTCGGCCCCCAACGGCTGGTCATCCCGTTGCCATGTCACCCTGGGTGGGGGATTCCCTGTGGCGCTGCATTCCAGAGTGGTCTCTCCATCCTCGACCACGGACACATCTGTGTGGGGCTCCCGGGGGGCAGTGATCTGAGGAGGGACTGGAGAGTGGGCAGAAGACAGGTCAGGGAAAGCCGCTGCCACATGTCACATGCCACGTCCCCACTGCCATGGTGGGTGCCCCCTCCCAGGTCTGCTCCCCCCACCACCCTTGGCCAGGTGACCTGACTTCTCTGGGCCTCCGCTCCCCACTTCTATAATGGGTCATAAGAGTACCCCGCAGCCCCTCTCCCACACCCTGCGTTCTGGGACTCTGAGGGTGGCGGGGGGCACTGCTATTTGGCGCAAGCTCATAGAACAGCCCCTCCGATCTGGGAGGGGTTTCCTTCCTCAGAAAACAGCTCTCTGGATCTCAAACAGGCGTGGGGATTGGTTGGGGTTGGGGATTATTCCATGGGACGGTTTCTCCCCAAGATGCCAAACTGCACCTTTCTTGGTTTTACTTTCTAGAGTGATCCTATAAGGTGGAGCTGCTCCGTGCCGCTGCCGCGGGACAGGCAAACGCAGCGCCAGGGCATCTGCCCCCTATCGGGACCCCTCGTCACGTCCTTCCCTTCCCAGCCAGCCCAAGAAGTGCTTCTTTCCTCGGGGCCGTGGGGTGACATGGCATCATGTCGCCCCTCCTAGGAAGCTGACTGGGAGAGGAGTTTGCAAAATGCCAGGAACCTAAGAGAACTGTCTCCCGGGGGGCGGGTTCTGCCTGCTGGGGTGCCCGGTTGTCCGCCCTTCCAGCCCCTTCCACCCGGGTCAGGTCCTCCCTGCCCGGCTCACCATGCACCTCCAGCTGCTGGTCCTGGCTGCTACTCCCCGCCACGTTGCTGCACTCACAGGTGTACGTTCCCTCCTGCGCCTGCCGGGCGTGGCCCAGGTACAGCAGCCTCCCCACGGCCGACACCTGCCCGAGGTCAGCTCCCTCCCCGGGCAGCGACTGACCTGGATGCAGCGAGAAAGAAGTCCCTGGTCCCTGGTCCTCCCACCTGGAGCATCCGCCCTCCGACCCGCCCCGGCCATCTCCTGCTCGCCCTTCAGGTGAGACGTCACCTCCACCAAGTCTGACCCTGGCACCCCCTTCTGAACTCCGACAACCCCCAAGGTTCTCCCCACCACAGGTCTGCCTGCAGCCATCCCCTCTGAATGCTGCCCTGGTCTGGGCCCCCAGGAGGGCCGGCCCCACCTCAGTTTCCCTCAGGGACCTTTAGCGGCTCCCCGGGGCCCAGCACAGAGCAGGACTCGACGAGGCTCCTGAATGAAGGGCCCCCCCGACCCGGCCATCTAGCTGCAGCGCCCAAGCCGCGGGACGCGAGGAGGGTCTGAGGTAGGGTCTGCAGGCCCCGCATGAAACCCGAACATCTGTCCTTCTGCGCATGCTCCAAGCGGATTGGAGCTCTGAGCCTGTGGGGGGGTCAGCCGGCCACTAAGACCCACGTGCAGGTCTCCGTCTCACCTCTCTGCTGTCCACGCCCTAGGCCCTTCTGGCTGCTCCAGGGTTTATTCCCAGTTCACCCCCACTCACCCCATGAGCTCCCCACATCTGTTTGACCGCCCACTTGATATCCAACGGATGTCTCCAAGTTGCTATGCCCCCAGCCCCAGGCGTGCCCCAGCTCTGCTCTGCAGCTGTGCCCTTTTGTGATGGCAGCACCGCTTCTCAGGCCCCAGCGCCCCAGACAGTCCCACCAGCGCCCTCCTGCACCCGCCCAGCCCAGGCCTCCTCCTGCTCCCGCTGCCCCCTCTCCGGGTCTAGCCTCGGCACAGCTGGCAACAGGAAGCGGCGGGCGCGTGAACGGGGTTCTGCCCTCCTGTGCGCACAGCCCTGCCCTTCTCGCTGGAGGGAAAAGCCAGGGACCCAAACCAAAGCCTCCCACCCAGCCCCACCGCCTGCTGACCGTCTGTTCTGTCCCCCTGCCCCCTCTGCTCCAGGCTACTGGCCTCTTCGCTGTTTTTCAAACACTTGCTCCTCCCTGTCTCAGGCCCTTTACACCTGAGCTGGCCGGATGCTTGCCCCAGGAGAGCCTTCACCTTCTTAAAGTCGGCTTGGTCAGCTGTCCCGGCCACTCAGCTTAGAATCGCAGCTCCCCACCCCCCCACCCCGCACATCTTTACCCCTTTGCCTGGCTTTATTTTTCTCCAAAGCACTTGTCCCCTAAGGTACCAAGCGATTTCCTGACTTTTCTTTTATCTGACTGCCCCGCTCCCCCGCTGTACCCTCAGCATCTAGCATAGGGGAGTGGAGAGACTCCCCATAAATACTGGGTAATAAATGAAGTCCAAATCTGAATTGAACATCCATTTGGACCAGGTCCTGTCTTGGAATTCAGTAAGATGGTGCCTCACAGCGCCCACCTGCTCCTGGAGGAGAGGACTAAGGACTGAGATGGTGACATGACAAGTTACTACACGGCTAGGTCAAGGAGGCCTCACCTAGCCTGGGGTGGGAGTCAGGGAGGGCTTCCTGGAAGAAGTGACACCTGAGGCCTGACCCAGCTCTCACTGACTGGGAAGGGATGAGGGCAAGGGCCTGCAGACTGGGGCACTGTGCAGAGAGGGCTGAGGGAGCATTCCTTCTGTACCCAGCACCCCACTCCCAAGGAGTGTAAGTGCACCCACCCCCTCTCAGCTAAGCGCTGGGGCGGGGTGGGGGGGCACAGTGAGGTCAGGGAGCAGCCTCCTTGTGAGGGGCAATAGGGTGGGGCTGGCAAGGGCACCGATCCTACCGTCCTTCTTCCAGGAGATCTTGGGGAAGGGGACACCCCAGCACTCGCAGGACATCCTGGCAGGGTGCCCCTCCATCACGGTCAGGGTGAGGGGCTCCCGAGAGGGGAACACTGGAGCGGCTGGGTAAGAGCAAAGAGGGGGTGAGGGGTCTGGGGTGGGACAGGAGTGAGGTGAGGGCAGGTGGAGGAAGACTGCTCCCGGGACCCAGTGGAGGCAGCACCCCTCCCTCTGCACCCCAGGGCCTAGGAGCCAGCCCTGCAGCGTCTGGGAAGGCGCCCCAGCCCGGCCCGCGAGACCTTACCCCAGACATTGAGGTTGTAGTGCTTCTCCGAGCGGCCTGCCTGGTTCAGCGCCTCGCAGGTGTAGCGGCCCGCATCGCCCACCTCCGCTCTGTGCACCTGGCCGGGGGCAGATGCCACCCTCAGCCCCAGGAGCAGGGCAGCAAGGAGACAGGCCTCCTCTGGCACCCGTGAGACCCGGGCAGATCACTTTACCCCGCCAAGTCCCAGCATCCCCACCAGGAATGCCCAGAGAAGTTTCCAGAAGACAGCACCCGTGTGTCCAACACAGTCCAGACACATGGAACGGGCTCCCTAAATGGCAGCCCTGCCAGCTTCACCCCACTTCTCATCCACCCAGCCCTGCTAAGGGCGGTGGGTCCCACGCTACCTTTAATCTGCTCCCAGGCTCTTTGGAAGGAGAAAAAGCCAGAAAAGAAGGTGGAAGATGAAGAATGGGGTGGAGGGGACCCTGTCCTTGGGGGTTAGATCCTAACATAGGGGGTATTGGAGCACGACCATCCTGTGACTTTGAAGACTGAAGGGACAGAGGGGGCAGGCACCCCAGACAGAGGGAACCAAAGAGCAGTGCTAGAGTTGGAATGACCATATCACAAAATGTCAAGGGGGAGGAGGAGCAGCGGGCTGCCCTGGGAGGTTGTCCCCAGCGCTGGAGAGGTACCTGGCATGGATGAGTTATTCTCTGGGGACCTGGCAGACATTGCCCAGTCACCCCGGGGTCCACGTGTTTACACAAGAGACCCGAGGGTACATGGTCAGGACGCCCACAGTGGCCCGGCCAGGAGAAGGAGCTGGAATTTACATCCAGACTGATCCCGAGGCCCTGCCCCTAATCCGCCCCTGCAGGCCTGATGCCCTGGGAGGACCTTTGCTGCCCAAAGGCAAGGAGGCTTTGGAGCAGAAGCGGAAACAGGTGGGCGAGAGCTGCTCAGCTGTGTGGGTGCCAAGCGGTGCCGAGGGTGAGTCCTGGGTGATGGGCCAGGGTTGTGCCTGGAGACTAGGGCTGGAGGGGCTTGCAGGCCATGCTGAGCCAAATGGGTACTCTTGGGGGTCACCCACAGGCCCCGTGCCCAGGGCCCCGCTGTGCCTGGGCGAAGGCCTCGGGAGGGAGCACACCTCCAGCAAGGCCTTGTCTGCAGAGAGGCGGACGCCGGGCCGAGGGTCCAGCGGGCGGCCGTCCTTCCTCCAGCTCAGCACGGGCGGGGGCACGGCGTGGCTCCGACACTCCAGGGCCACCGACTCGTTGGTCAGCACAGACACGTTCCGCTCTTCTCCTTGGATGCTGGGGGGCACTGCGGGAGGGGCAGGAGGCGCTGTCTTGGGCATATTGCAGGGACCCAGCAGGTCAGGGCCAAGGCCTGGGTAAGAGCCAGCCTCTTCCAGCAGCCGGAACAAACCAGGGGGTGGGGGCCACTCCCAGCCTGGCCTCCCCTCCTTGACCTTCCCTGACCTGCTTCAAAAGGAGGTGCCGGCCTGTTTGTGATGGGGGCTCACATCCCAGCTGAGCCCATGTGAAGGCAGCCACAGTCCCAAGCTGGTGCCTCCCACGCCCAGTCACCCCTCTCCTTTTGGAGGTGAGCGGGCTGCCCCAGTCCCACCCTCGAAAGCCACTGACCTGGACCAGACGACCGCCCACGGGGGCCTGAGACTCACCGTGGACTTGTAGGGTGACTTCCTGGCGGTCCTCGCCCACGGCGTTCACGGCCACGCAGGTGTAGCTGCCAGAGTCAGACACCCGGGCACTGGCCAAGGTGAGGACCCGGCCCCCAGGGAAGACCTGTGCCCCGGCCGGAAGCCTGTGTGAGGTGTGCCCCAAAGGCGGCACCCACACCTTCGCGGGAGGGCCCTGCTGCCAGGCTACTGGGGCGGCCTGCCCCACCCCAGCACCCCCACAATCCAGTGGGCCCATGAGCTGCCCCAGATCTTGGGGCCTGCCCCGGCCAGCGGACAAGGACATAGTGACACTGACCACCCGCAGGAGCAGCACTGTCCACGTTAGAATGGACTGGGCAAACTAGAATGCGTTGAAGTTGGCTCCACTGCTTATTTTTACTCATCTCAATGAGGCTACTAGAAAGTTCTAAACAGTGTGACTGCCTCACATGCGTGGTGTGCAAGCTTCGGGGCCCAGCACGGCTTCAGACCATCACCTGCGCGGCACCCACCATCCTCCTGCAGCCCACCGCCCAGCTGTGCTCCCACACCCTGGCCTCTGCGTCGCACCGACTGAGGCACAGGGCGTGAACCAGGGCACCCAGCCCTGCTGACCTGGAGGCCAGAGGTCCCGGCAGCGGACACGGGGTTGCCGTCCTTCAGCCACATCAGCGTGGGGCTGGGGGCTCCGCTGGCATTGCAGGTCAGCCGCACCGGGGCATTGAGCAGCACGGGGCCCGGCAGGCTAGGGGGCAGCATGATGCGTGGGGGAGCTGCAGGGGGGTGACACCGGAGCAGGCTGAGCCCCACAGTGGGCGGTGCAGGCCCTGCAGGGCCACAGCACGTGGCTCCAAACCAAAGCACCGGGAAAGTGCTCCCTACACAGGCCCCCACTCCAGGCCTCCTGGCTCAGCCCTCCCTGGCAACACCACCCCGAGGCCCTCCACGTGGGAGATGAGGCTCAGAGAGGGCAGGTCACCAGCCCAAGGTTGACCAGCTAGGCAGTGGCGAGGCCGTCCTTGACCTTGGGTCTTCTGGTTGGCATGGGGTCATATCATGGGGAGGGAGTGGGTGACAAGGGCTGAGGACCCCTGGACAGAGTCTGTTGCCCCCCTCAGAAGTATCAGATGCAGCTTTACCCTGTCGGCATCCCCTTGGGCAGGAGACGGCTGGGAGAGTCGACTGCACCAGGGAAGCAGGAGCACGACGCTCACAGCCAGCCCTACCCAGCCACACCCCGCTCCAAGGAGCAAGCCTGACCTGGCCAGCCCCACCTGGCCGCCAGCACCAGCCTGGCCGCCTCTTGTTTCATAAGCTCCGGGCCAGGCATCCTTTCCATTTCCAGGATTCCTCCATCCTCTGCGACCTCAGGCCAGGGCAGGCGGTCTCCATAAGGGCACCCGGCTCTCCAAGATGCCTCCCAGACCCCCCAGGCCAGGTCAGCACCCTGGTTCCAGGCACCCAGTGGGACCTCACCTATACTAACTCCGCTCACAACTGTCAGGCAACAGAGCTCTGGGTAGTAGCTCATTCCTGTCCCTTCCACTGCACTGAGATTCTTGGGTCTGTCTTATTTGGGCTGCGGCCCCGGGGCACTGCCTCAATAACTGTGGCTGGCTGAAGACGGAGAGATGGAGGACTGGATGGCTGAGCGGGAGGATGGACAGATGAGCAGGTGGATGGATGGGCAGAGGACTGGCAGGGTGGTTGGATCAGTGGATGGACAGTGGGGTATTTTCATGGGTGGGTGGGTCGGTGGGTGGATGGGTGGATGGATGGATGGACAGAGAGACTAACAGACAGATGGGTGGAGCCTCAACTTTTTGAACAAAGACCCCCAGTCCCAGGCGGCTCACCATTGACCCGCAGGCCATACTGCAGCTCTGTGCTGCCCACTACATTGGCTGCCACACAGCGGTAACTCCCAGTATCAGAAAACTGGGCTCGCTCAATGAGGAGGACCCTCCCATCTGCCGACACCGTCACTCCCTCCTGGGCAGAGACAGGCTGGCGGCCCTTGAACCAGGAAATATCTGGGGAAGAAGAGAAAAGAGATGCGAGGGGTCTTGCCAGTCCTCCTGCCCGGAGAGCAGGCAGCAGAGAGCAGCTTCGGGGCTGGCCACACGAGGGCCATTATTCCAGGCTCCCCTGGGGAGAGGACAACTTCTCCAGGCCTCGCCACCCCAGGCAGAGCACCCCACAGTAGCAGGGGAGCTAGTGGGCCCTCCTGTCCTCCCAGCGCTCATGCCTACGCCCATGCTCCCAGCCCCTCCTCAACTGCTGATCTGGGGGGCCCAGATGGAGGGTGAGTAGAGGCCCTGGTCCTCACCCCCACCCCCTGGGGAGCCTTGGGGAGCAGCAGACTCCGGGCAGACGTCCTGCAGCTTCAGCACAGGCCCTGGCAGTGACTGGCATGTAGCAGGCATTGGAAGAACCAGGGGATTTTTCTCCCCATTTTTGCCTACAGCCAGAGAAGGACCTGGGTCTGGGGGCCCTCGTTCAATGGCCACAGGCACTGGGGAGGTGGCTCTCAGTCCAGGGGGGCCTTACCGGGGGAGGGCACACCCGAAGCCAGACACTCCAGGGCCACCGAGGCGTTTTCCAGCACTGCCTTGTTGGTGGGGACCGGTTCGATGTTGGGGGGCACTGGGGGCGACAAGGAGAGCCCTGGCTTGGTGGGGTGGGCTCTGGGGTGCCCCCCTCCCTAGCCTCTCATGGGGCCCTGGGCAACGCAACACCCCAAATAGCTCGTGTCTCCTCCTCAGAGACACTGGCCACAACCTTCACCACAACCACACAGAGGCCGCGAACAGCAGCCTCCAGCACCGCGCCCCCCGGCCCTGAGCGCAGGCGGCCAGAGCAGGCAAGGGGCGCCTCCAACTCTGGGCCCCTTGGCGGGTTGGGAGGTGGTGCCGCCACCTTGGGAAGAGCTCTGGACGGTTCTCAAGAGACTAAAAACAGAAAGATCACATGATCCAGCGACCCCACTTCTGGTTATCTGAGGAGCACGGAAGCTTCGGCTCAGAATGTGCCCCGCGGGGTGTGGCGCCTGCTCCGCAGCGGGGCGGGAGCAGCCGCGGCCCGCCACAGCCCGCGAGAGACCAGGGAACCGGGAGGGGCCAGCCGCGGGCGCTCAGCTGCCAGGCAGAGGCGTCAAGGTCATTTGCAGCAAATGGAAGGAACTCCAGGGAGTTCGGGAAATGGAGTCAGCCAGAGACAAAGAGCGGGAGGGGTCCTGTGTAGGGGGTCTCGAAACAAAGCGGGTGAGCAGACGCAGCCAAGTGAAACTGGACACTGCTGACCAGGGCACCCGCGGCCAGCGGGCGCTGGGGTGAGGGAGGGTGGCGGGACTTGGTCCCTGCACTTGCTTTCTGATTCTTAAAGACAAGGGGCGAGGGCAGGGACGTGGGGACCCGGCAGGGATACAGCGAGCAGCGGGGGTGTGACTGCGGGAGGGATACCCCTGGAAGCGGCACGGAAGCCTGGCTTTGGACTTCTGAAGGAAGCGTGTGGCTGGGAATTTAAAGCCCGGCTCCGTCCCTGACGCCCAAGGCAGCCGCGGCCTCGAGAGCCACCTCCCGTCCCTCCTCACCCAGGACCTTGAGAGCCAGGTCCCTCCTGCTCTCGCCGGCCAGGTTAGTGGCGATGCAAGTGTAGACGCCCTCGTCCCTCAGGTCCACCTTTTCAATCTGGAGACAGAGGAAGCAGGGGGCAGAGTTCGCCGTGGGGATGGGGGTACAGGGGGCCTAGAGCTTGGGGCAGTCAGGTCAATCCTGGGACATGGGAGCACGACGCGCTGGGGGAGGCGAGGCGTGGGGACCAGCTGGCTCTGGGTCACCCACTCAGAGTCCAGGGGACCCCTCTGATCCTGTGCCCATCCCCGTCCCCCTCATTTCTCCCTCTGATAGCTGAAGTTCCTGGGGTCCTAGGCTAGACTAAGGGTCCCACTGAGAACCCAGGTTAAGTGGGCTCCGTGTTCATCTTCCTTCCCATATCCAGACTGCCAGGACCCTACTTGGAGTCTCCAGGCCCCTAAAGGCAGCCCCTTCGCCTGTACCCAACTGCCCCGCCAGGCTTGGCCCCCGCATGTACCTGCAGGCTCCCCCCCGAGGCTGCCAGGGCTACTCCATCCTTCCACCAGCGGAGGCTTGGAGCAGGCACCCCTGTCCCTTCACATCGGAGAGTGACGGGCTGCAGGAAAGGGGCCGTGACATTCTCACCCCCGACAATGACCACCGAAGGGAGCTCTGGGCGGGAGACAGGGTGAGCTTGGGTCAGGCTCAGGAAGGGTGCACAGGACATGCAGCAACCCCTCGTGCCTGGGGAGGCGGCATCTGTCCTCCTGCCTCCTCCTGCCCCACTCTGCCCTCCCAGATACTGGCTTGGGAGAAAGAGCACCACACTCAGGCCAGCAGAGCAGACCTTTCCCTTTTAAATGCTCCCAACCATCCATCCATCCATCCATCCATCCATCCATCCATCCGCCCGTCCATCCATCCATCCATCCGCCCGTCCATCCGCACATCCATCCATCCATCCGTCCATCCATCCATCCATCCATCCGTCCATCCATCCATCCATCCATCCATCCGCCCGTCCATCCGCACATCCATCCATCCATCCGTCCATCCATCCATCCATCCATCCATCCATCCAACCGCCCGTCCATCCGCACATCCATCCATCCATCCGTCCATCCATCCATCCATCCGTCCATCCTTCCATCCATCCATCCATCCGTCCATCCATCCATCCATCCATCCATCCATCCATCCATCCATCCGCCCACCCGTCCATCTGCACGTCCATCCATCCATCCGTCCGTCCGTCCATCCATCTGTGCACTGAGCATCCACTCTGTGCCCCAGGCTCCCTCTGGCGCAGGGACACGGCAGAGAAAGGTGGCCACTGTGCTGCACACTCAGAGCTCCCAGAGCTGGGTAGTACAGATTAGAACTGTGGTGGAATCAAGGAGGGATTCCTGGAGGAAGCACCAATTCTAGGACAGACCTGAAAGGTAGGGAGGAGCCAGACAGGCAAAGAGGAAGCCAGGGAAGCTTCCAGGCAGCAGAAGAGCAGGCGCAGATGAGAGAGGCTGATGTTGGACGAAGATGGTCAGGGTGGTCAGCAAGAAGAGAGCAAGTAGAGAGAGGGAGGCTTGGGGGAGCGAGGGCCTGGACTGCACAGACAGCAAGGGTGGTGAGCAGCTGAGACCAGCTTCCCATGTGTCCCTTTGGGGAGACCTCCCCAGGTCGGAGGGCCAGATGGTCATGCCCTCTGACCCGACCCTCCCCGGCGTCCCAGGCACGCCCTCACCGTGCACGGACAACTCCACCTCGGCCCCGGCAGTGCCCGCCTCGTTGGTGGCCTGGCAGGAGAAGAGGCCGGCATGGCCCAGCTGTACGTGGTCAATCTGCAGTGTGGTCCCTTGGGGGCCCACCTGCACCCCAGCCAGCTCCTCCACTGGGCGGCCGTTCTGTAGCCACCTAAAGTGGGTGGGGAGGGGGACAGGTCAGCCGAGGCCAAGGCTGCAGGACTAGCCAGGAGGGCCACATGGTCTCTGACCTCATGGCCTCATCCACAGTCCTGGGAGGAGGAAGCCTCTCCCATCCCCACCCACCCCAAAGTATGGCCTTCCCCCCATTCCTGGCCTCCGCCACCCCATACGCACTGGATAGTGGGCACTGGGGAGCCGGAGGCCTGGCAGGGGAGTTCCAGGGGCTGTCCCACGAGGGCGGTCACCTGGCCCAAGCCTTCAGCCACCAGCAGCTGTGGGGGCACTGCAGGCAGAGCATCGGTGCTTAGAGCTGAGCACGGCGCGGCCAGAGGACCTCCCAAGCCTCAGGCTCCTGAGCAAGGCCGCAGCCTCACTCGCCTCAAGTCCCCCATCAATGGCCCCTCCTCCAGGAAGCCTCTGGGACCACTCAAGGCGGGACGGCACACCTGCCCCTCTGCCCGCCTCCCACAGGCGCGGCCTGCTCTTTCCATGTCTGTGGCCCTGGAAGACTCGGGGCTCAGGAGTCCCTGTCCCCTGCTATCCCCAGCACCACACAGGACTGGCCCAGAGTTAAACATGGCATGGGGGGAACAGGCCAGGGTCCCACCCCCATCCCCGCGGCCGGCGCCCATAGCCCCATGTTGGGCTTTGGGGAGTTCTCCGTAAATATCTGGCCACTCCTGGAAGGCAGAGCGGTGGCCTCCATCATGGGTGACCTGGTAGGGGCCCCACCCCCTCTGCGTGCTGAGGGTCCCCCGACCCAGGACTCAGACCATACAGGACACTGCGCATTTCTCTGCCACCTTCCATGCCGGCAGGGGCCGGGGGGCCCGAGCCCAGTGGGTGTGGGGATGGGGGGGTGCGGCCCAGGTGAGGGCGGCAGGTGGGGCTCACCCTGCACCTCCACAGAGTACCGCAGCACAGCCTCCCCGGCGGGGCTGGTGGCCACGCAGCTGTACAGGCCGCCCGCTGCCTTGTCCAGGCGCTCCAGCCTCAGCGCGCCGCCCGCCTGCAGCCGCGTGCTGTTGCTCTCGGCCACGGGCAGCCCCTCGTGCTGCCAGGAGAGGGTGGGGGGCGGGTGGCCTCGGGCCACGCACTCCAGGGCCAGGGGCCTCCCCGCCACAGCCTTCACGGCGCGCGGCCCGCCTCCTGCTCCCTCGATGCTGGGCGGCACTGGGGGGGGACGGGGCTGCTCAGGGGGGCCTGCTCAGCCCCGCGCCCCCCGACGTGAGCCACCCTCCCTCTCCTCCATCGGCCGAAACCCCCTGTTCCGGCACCCCCCGCCCCCGACGCGCTCATGGCTAAGTGGGGACGCGGGGTCGAGTCCCGGGGCAGCTGATCCAACGAGCAGAAGCGGTGAGGGGCCGGGCCGGGCTCACAGGGAGCCGTCAGTTCAGAGCCACTAATTCCTAGCGAGGCCACAGGGTCTGGGCGTGGGTTGTGGAGAGTCTCGGGCCAGAGAGACCTGGATTCTCTGCTGCTCCGCCTCAGCCTGGGCAGCCCCCACCCTGGCCGCAGGGCCCGGCTTGTCTGAAGGAGACTGGACCCTTCAATGTGCCCAGCTCCTTAGTGCCGTTCCTGTCCCACCCCGCTGGCCTGGGCTCTAAACAGACGGCCCTGTGTCCTCTGGCCTGGCGAGGCCACCACGGCCGACACCCCCCACCCCCCGCTGCCCCAGCTGCTGCCCCGGCCACTCACCATACACCTGCAGCCTCTTGGCCCTCTCCGCGAGCCCCGCCGGGTTGCTGGCCCGGCAGGTATAGACGCCTGCGTCCGAGCCCTGGGCCCTCCCCAGCTGCAACTGCCGGCCCCCCCTGGAGTAGACGGCCTCGGCGCTGGGGGGCAGTGGCACCCCGTCCTTGAACCAGGCGATGTCCGGAGCTGGCACGCCTCGGGCCTCGCACAGGAAGCGCGCGGGCTGGCCCTCCACGACGGCCACCTCGCCCGTCTCGTTGGAGCCCCAGATGGTGGGAGGTGCTGAGAAGGACAGAGGGGTCACGGGGGCCCCCAGGGGCCGGCGGCCACCTCCAGGTGTCACGCACAGGCTGCTACCACGGGGTGGGGGAGGGAGGGTGGGGGAGGGAGGGTGGGGCCCGGGACAGACGGGAGAGGCCAGCCTGGTCATCCCCAGTGACCTCATGGTGGAAGCTGGGGGGGCCGCAGGCTGGGGCTCTGCACCCCGCTGGCCTGGACTGCACGCAGCCTCCTTCTGTAGAGAGCACACGGGCGCAGCGCCCTCTGCACGCAGCTTCAGTTCCCACCCATCCGGGCCAGGGGCCCTGGTTCTGCCCCCAAGCGGAGACAGTGAACAGCCTTTCGATGAGCGCGTCTCTCGGTGTGGAGGAAAGGGGCTTGATTTAGAGAAAAAGTCGAAGGAGGCGCCGCCCCGACTGGCCTCAGAGACGGTGAACGCTTGCGAAGCTGAGACGGGCCCCAGGGGGCTTGGAACAAGCGGGGCTCCCTCAGCCCCGCCCCATCCCCCCAGCTTGACGCGGAGGGACCCCTCTCTGCCCCCATCCCCCTCCAAGGCGGTGGGCAGCAGCCGGCGAGGTGGGGGGCAGCGGGGGGCATGCAGAGGCAGGAGCGCACCGTGGACGCTGAGCTGGAAGTCCTTGGCCTGCTGGCCGGCTGGGCTGAAGGCCACACACTGGTACCGTCCCTCGTCGCCCAAGTGGCTGCTGGCGATCCTGAGGACCTGGCCGTCCTCCTGGAGCTGGACGCGAGGGTCTCCCGGAAGGACAGGCCTGAAAAGGTGGTCGCGAGGTGCGGCCAGTGAGTGAAGGCGCCCGCGGGGGCAGGGATGAGGGGGCAGCTGCTCTAGGGACGATGAGCCCATCCCCATGTGGAATATTATTTAGTCCCAAAAAGGAATGAGGCCCCTGCAGGCCGGCGAGGGGGAGCAGGCCCGAAGGCCCCGTGCCTGCGCGGAGGGCTGCAGGGCTGGGGGGGACACGGCTGCTGGTGCCTCCTGGAACGTGAGGGAGCTGGTGGCCGTGGGACGCCGCGCCAGACCCGCTGAATTCACACCTGAGAGTCGTCCATTTCATGTCGTGTGAATTTTATCCCCCCGCAAAAAGAGGACCCGAGTGATGAGAAAACCCCGCCAGGAGAGAGCAGGGTGATCCCGGGGAGCGGGGTGGGGGTGCGCCCCTGCCCTCCGCCTGTGCCCTGGGGGTCGCAGGCGATGCCTGACACCTCCCCCCAACACACACGGCCCACGGGGGAGGGGAGGCACTCACTGCCCGTCCTTGGTCCACTCCATCTGGGGCATGGGGACCCCCGAGGCCCGGCACGCCAGCTGCACCTCCGCCCCAGCCCGGCCCAGCACCTCCTGGGCAGCCCCGGCGCCGAGCACGGAAGGTGGGACTGGGGGCGAGAAGGGGAAGGGATTCCTCACACCCTGCCAGCCCCGTGCAGGACCCGGGCTGGGCACTCTTCACTCCTCCCATCCTTCAGGGAAGCTCCCCCCACACACCCCGGTTGGCTCGGGCCTGCCCTCTGCTGTCTGGGCTGCCTGTGCAACCGTTAGAGCTCACAGTGAGGTGCTTGGCTAGTGTCTGCCCAGAGAGCTCAGGGAGGACGGGGGCTCTGTGGGGGGCCCCTCTCTGCTCTGCTCTCCCCTTCCCCAGCCACCTAAAAAGTGAGAGGATGCAGGGCTGGGGGGGCGGGGGCTCAGGCCTCACTCACTGAGCACAAGGAGATCAAAGTCCTTCTGGGCGGTCCCGGCCTGGTTCTCTGCCCGGCAGGAGTAGAGGCCAGAATCGCCCTCCTGGATCCTGGGGAAGTGGAGGGCACCCAGGAAGCGGTGACTGCCTAGGTGGGGGATCTGGGCAGAAGAGGCCAGAGGGAGCTGGTGAGCGGGATCTGGCCACCTCCGGCATCCGCGATGAGAAACCGAGGCCAGGGAGCTGGCTGGCGACCGCAACCCTGAGGTTCCAGCTCCGAGAACAGTGTGGTGCCCTCTCCACCAGGCAGGCCCCCAGACTTCATCATGGGACCACAATCCTCCACTTCCCTGAGCCCCAATGACACCATCACGTATCTCCCCCACATCTTGACACATGTGGAAACCTGATCTGAATGCCACCCACCCCCCACCGGCCCTGGGGACACCCACCGGCTGCCCATCTTTGAGCCACACGACCTCAGGGGCTGGAAAGCCACTTGCATCACACTCCAGTGTCAGGGGCTGCCCGGCCATGCCCGTCACGTTGACTCTGTGCTCGTCCTCCCGGATACTGGGGGCCACTTGGGGACAAAGAGAAGCAGAGGTGCTGCCCCTCCCCCGGAGAACCACAGTTGCCTGGATTCGGGCCACTTTCCCTGGTCTGGACAGATGGCCCCAGCCCCTGCCCTCTCCCAGATTTGGGGTCCCAGGACACAGGTCCAGCCCCTAATCTGGCTACAAGGAGTCCTCGATGTGGACCTGGACTGCACCCCAGGACCTCGGCAGCCTTGCCCCCCACAGGCCCCAAGGGAGCTGCCACCCAGGGCGTCCTGGAGTGCGTGGGGGTGTGGGCCAGCCCTGCCCCAGCTCTGGGGCCCCTGCTCACCGAGGACCACCAGCTTGGCTGTCCTGGACGCAGAGCCCGCCTCGTTGGTGGCCCGGCACTCGTAGTCGCCGCTGTCGCTGGGGGACACTGAGGCCAGGAACAGGGAGCCCTCGTCCAGCACCGCCAGGCCGGGGCGGCCGTGCAGGGGCTCCGAGGACGGGCCCTTCCGCCACGTGACCTGAGGCTTGGGCGTCCCTGGCAGGTGCAGGGAATCAGCATGAACACCCCCTTCCGACTCCTCACCCTTGCTGCCCCCCCATGATGGTCCTCGCTCCTGCAGAGCCCCCCACGCCACCCCCAGGGCCAGCACTTCTGCGGGGCTGCCTGGAGGGGCCCTGGGGCTTGAACCCTGGATTCCTGAGCCCAGACTGGCTGTAACCAGAGCTACAGCGGGACTCAGCGCTGTCGCCCAAAATCACCCTCCATACCCGACTCCCCCAGGGACCATGACCTGCCAGTCACAGTCGGGGGCCACTGCAGGAGAAGACAGTTGGGGCTCCCCACTGGGGAACAGGGGCACCCACATCCTGGGCACTGGCTCGGTGCTTGGTCCTTTAGCCCTGAGCCCTCTAGGCCCGAGGTCACTTGGCAGGTGAATCCCAGCACCCCCCGGCAGCTCCCTGCCTGGTGAGGAGGGAGGCCAAGGGCGGCCAGGGCAAGGCCATGTTTATTGGCAGGGAGGGGTTGGGTTATGCTGAGACTGGAGTCGGCCCAGAGGACAGGCCGGATGGGCCAGGGATGGAGTGGGGTCCTGGGCAGCCTCCGGGCACCAAGGACAGGAAACCAGGGCCTGGCTGGGTCCCACCTCCCAAGAGGGAGCAGCTGCCTGCTGACACGAGCAACCGACACGAGGTGGCGCCACGATCAAGGGCTGAAATCTCAGGCCCTCTGGGCAGCTGTGCACACTGGCACCCTTGGGGATCCTGAGCAGGTGCCTGCCTCAACCTGTCTCTCTCTGTGTCCTGCTCTGGGCCCTGTGGCACCAGGAAGCATAGCTGAGACGAGTCAGCTCTCCCGGCTCCTGCCAGGCTTTTTGTCACCTGCCACTTGCTCAGAAACCCAGCCTTCTAGAAGTCTCCATCCATGCCTAGGGAGGGGGCTCATCTTCCTAGTCGGGGAAGAGCCCAAAGCCCAAAGAAGCAACTCAGGCAGGCAGCAGGTCTGCGGGACAGGAAGGCAGACCCCTGCCCAGGGCCCTGCTGGACCAGGCACAGAACGGGACCGGAACAGCAGCCCTGTGGGGCGCCTGGTGTGTCCCCACTATGGAGGGGGACACAGAGGCTCTGAGAGGAGGTATAAGCTGCCCCAAGTGCCAGATCCTGGAAGTGCTGCGGCTGGGCGACTGGGCTGGATTTCCCAGGACACAGGAGTTTGGCCCCTGGGAGAAAGTACAGGAATTGGGGCCCACTGAGCCCCGATCCACAGGACCTTTGGACCTCCCACGGCGCCGGCTGTTACAACTCAAGGACCAGAGTCAGACCACAGCACCCTGGTGAGTCCCCCAGCTGTGTGACCGCGGCAAGCGTCCCAGCCCCTCTGGGCCGCCCCTAACAAGAGGACATAAGCTGACACTCATGCTACGGGGCGCTGACGGGGTGAGATGCCTGGTGCTCCTGGGCACGCGTGGCACCTGTCACCCTCGGGTGCTGCCCGGTGCATGGCCCTGCCCCGCGGCCTCTGGTCCAGCTTCACCTCTGGCGGGGCACGGCAGGCTGGCGTTCTCTCCCGCCACTCTCTGCAGCAGGCCACTGGTCTCGTTGGCTCCCCAGTGCGGCGGCTCTGGAGGGAGGGAGGCCCGATGCTTGGTGCCCATGCTCCAGGGACTTGCGGTCAGCCGCAGGCCACGGAACAGCAGCCGGGGCCACACGGGGTCCGCGGGCTCAGGAGGCCGATGGGGCTCTCAGCCTCCCAGGGCCAGGGCTGTGCTGCCCTGGGCGTCCCTCCCGGTAGTGGCTTCCCAACATAACAGTGAAATGCTAGCACCACTGGTCCAGAACTTTCCACATGCCACAGCTGTACACACACGCTCACCTGACCCCTCGCACCTTTTAGACCCACTTGGCAGGTGAGAATGCTGGGGGTGGAAGGTATAGATGATGGGCTTCCTGTCCAGCTGACGGGTGGAAGAAGCTGGACCTGGGCCCAGGCACCTGCTCTACAATCGCTGACCCCAGTGACCCCCCAGGACCTCTGTCCACCCCAGAGGCTGACAGAGGCTCCCTGACACCACCTGGGGCTGGGGCTGTGAGGCAGCTTGAAGAGGTCAAGCAAGGCCCCAAGGACAGACAAGCATCTCAGAAGCCTGGGCTGTTGTGGGGTTGGGGTGGGCGGAGGTGAGTTCTGGGGTTTAGGGGACACTCACCCAGCACCCTGAGCTCCAGCTCCCAGTCATCCTGCCCGGCACTGCTGGAGGCTTCGCAGCGGTACACCCCTGCATCAGAGGCCTGCACGGCTGCAAAGTAGACTGAGCCCCCGCCCTGCAGGGTCATCCCGTCCTTGGACCACTCCAGCTGGGGTTCAGGGGTGCCCTCGGCCACACAATTCAGGTCCACAGCTTCTCCTGCCAGCACCTTCCAGACCCTTGGGCCCTTCTGCACCTGAGGGGGCACTGACAGGGCCAGGGAGAGGGTTGTTAAGGTCGGGGTCCCCAGGTGGGGCTCACAGAGAGGGCCTGGCTGGCTGCAGCGGTCCCCATACCCCTGGAAGTCACCAGGCAGCATAAGTCATCCTGGGAACAATTAAAGCCTTGTTTTGTGGAGAAAAGAGAATACACCCCTTGTGGGTCCCCCGAAAGTGAGCAGAATCTGGCTTTTCAACTGAACACATGCCCTCATCAAAGGATTGTTCCCCATTTTGCTCTCCCTGCTCCCCCGCCCACCTTTCCCCATACACCAAACACCCCCAGAGAATCACCCACTGGGGATCACCTACTCCGCACTGGATGGGGAAACTGAGGCCCAAGGGGCAGAGGGAAAGCTCAGTGGCACCGCAAGGCTGGGTGGCAGTGCTCGTGCAGGTTTGAACCCCAGCTCTGCCCTCATGGCCCCAGGGCCCTGCACAGGCTGAGCCTCAGTTTCCCTCCTCATTGAGCCACCAGGATAATCTGAGAAGCGGCACTAAGGCCGCCAGCTCGGAGTCTGGCCCCGTGGGGCACCGTGAGCTGTGGCTGATGCATTCTGGTCGCCCACTCTGCTCTCGCCCTCCCCAGAGCTGGGGGAGGAGGGGAGAGGGTGGGGGAGCGTGGGGGCGTGGGGGAGGGCGGGGCAGACAGGAGGAGGACCGTGGAGCACAGGGGAAGGACTGGAGCAGGGTGAGGAGGCCGGGTGGAGGAAGGGGTTTCCGTTCTTTCCCGGTGGTGTTTCCCGGGCACTTCCCCATCCCCCATCTGCCCTTGTCTTCCCCGAGGCGGCTGATGCCATGTCCATTTGGCAGATGAAGATACCGAGGCAGGGAGAGGCTGTGTGACTTGGCCAGAGTGCGCGTTCCCTCAGCAGGCAGCCGCGGGAGCAGGCCAGCCTGGGTCCGCGTGACCAGGATCCGGGCTCCAGCCCACTGGGAGGTAAGACCGTCGGTGGGAGTGTGACCCCGGAAGGGAGAGGCCCCTCGGCACAGGCACACGGGGGCACGCACAGCCTGCCCTTGCTGAGAACAAGTGCCAGAGCCGGATGTCATCAGTGGGAGGCGGGCACTGCTGTGGCCCCACTGAGAGCGGAGGAAGTGGAGGCTCAGAGAGCCCAAGCCACTGGCCTGAGGTCACACAGCCCTTGGGTGGCAGAGTCGGGATTCCGCCCAGCCCAGGCCGTCTCGGAGTCCCTCACACGTTCCTGCAAACCACAGCAAACCCTTGGCCCCGCCTTCTCCAAGCCTCAGACTGTCCCCCTGTGAAAGGGGGCGCTGGCTTGCATCGGGGGTGGCCTTCTCTGCAAAGGGCCAGATAGTGAATACCCCAAGCTGTGCAGGCCAGATGGTCTCTGTGTCAACTGTTCCACCCGGCCGCCACAGCGGACAGCAGCCAGAGCCAGCCGTGGGACAACCGCGTGGCTGGGTGCCAGTAACGTGTATTTATGGACACAGGCATGTGAATTTCACACCATGTCACATGTTGCAAAATATTGACTTTCTTCCCCCGGTCATTTAAGAACGTAGACACCATGCCCGGCGCCTGGGCCAAATGCTAGCAGCGGTGGACCAGATGTGGCTGAGGCCGTGGGTGGCTGACCACGGTCTTCAGGGCTCCTGGGCCCTTGAGGATGACCAGCACCCTGCCCCTCTGTGCAGAGCCCACTGGCCGGCTCCCAGGACTGGGGCCCGACGCCTGGGGAAATGGCCACTCTAGGCCCAGCCGGGCTGGGCACCTGGACCACAGCTGGGTGGGCGTGGTGCTGGCCCAGGGAAGGGGCTTCCTGGGCAGTAGCCGCTCCTATCCGTGTGCCCAGGGCCTGTCTGCGTGGGCACCGTGGGGGGCCTCTCTGGGGGCCACACACCTCCTCATGCCGCCAGGCCCTGGGCTCCATGGCCGGCTCACAGGGCAGAGAGACCCTCAGACCCACCCTCCATGGCTGCCCCCATGAGACCCTCATAACCCTCAAGTTCCTCCCCCTAGAGCCACACTGGGCCCTGCTCTTTATTCTCAGGGGGCCACCAGCAAGGCCCTACCTTGCACCCTGAGGACGTAGTGCCGAGAGGTAGACCCCGCGGGGTTGCTGGCTGTGCATCTGTAGAGACCGCTGTCGCCGACCTGGGCCTGGGCCAGACGCAGGGAACCCGACTGGAGGAGGCCACGCCTGTGGAAGGCACTGGTGAGACCCCAACCCACCCCAGCCCCTGTTTGAAAAGGCCTCAAGCCCACCTGGAATCAGCTGCCTCTCCCAGAAAGCCTTCCAGGATTTAAGCAGGGACCAGGGCCCGCCCATCCTCCCTGCCCATTCCCCACTTCCGCAAATCCCCAGGCAGGACCAGGTCCCGGCACCACTGAGCACTGGACCAGGAGTTCCCTGGGTTGGGTTCAAGTCCAAACTCAGCCCTTCGCTGGGTGAAGGAAGTACCTTCACCTGTTCGAGCCTCTGCTTCTTCGTCTGTCAAATGGGCAGAGTGAAATTAAGTACCTGGAGTGAGTGCAGATCCCATGAGGTCACCAGCACCTGGTCACCCGTGGCTCCTGCAGACCACTGCCAGCAGGCCCTTCCCCTGAACTCACCCCTGGCCTGTGAGGGGGCTGAGGCCCCTCTCCTGGCTCCAGGGGAGGAGCTGCCAGCCCAGAGGAGCTCTCAGTTCTGTGCGAGACTCTGAATCTGGTGTTTACTGGCGTCTGTGGTCTAGCCCCTCGCCCGTGGCCTCCCCAGTCCAGCCCACCTTGCTCAATCACCTGCTGAATCAGACTGCACGGGGACCCAGGACACCGGCCAGGCTCCTGCAGCTGCACTGGACCCCCAGGAGCCCCTGTGGACATGATGTCACTGGCCCGTATGTCTGACTCTGAGCAGCCCGTCCTGTACAACAGGGAGGGCAGATTCGGCCACTGGCCTTAGCTGGCCTGAAGCACAAGCGGCAAGCATGGGGGTGAGAGACCCCCAGGGTCGGCCCTCAGCTCTGTGCTCACCAGGTTACAGCTGGTCTAGAGTCCTATGAACCTGGGCTCCAGACCCCTTTCTCTGACCCCCCGTTTCCTTCTCTGCAAAATGGGGAGGATGGTAGCCCCATCTCCCAGGCAGCTGCAAGCAAAGGGCAGGGCATGCACTTATCAAACAGGTAAATGATGGCAGCAACTCGCTCCCAGGAGCTACCAGCTGTGCCTTGCTGTCTGTGTCCCCATCTGTGAAAGGGGTAATAAGCCCCTGTGCAGCAAACCCCTCTTCCTGTTTGTCCCACGCATCCAGCAGGCACTTGGGGCCAGTCCTCTGAGGATAGTTGTGAATGATACACTGGACCTCCTGGGCCCAACCCTGTTCTGCCACATGCCTGCTGTGTGGGTCTGCGCCTGTCACTTAACCTTTCTGTGCCCCAATTGTCTCATTTTGGAAAAATGTGGCAATCATAGTGCTCATCCTCATCCGGTTGTCTGAGAACTGAGTGACCTCATTCCCAGCCCAGGGCCTGGAGCAGAGAGGTACTCAGCAAAGGCCAGCTGTTACCACGGTGACAACAGAACACCCATAAACAATTGCAGTGCAGTTATGCATGACTTAAAACATTTCTATAAAAGGCCCGGGGTTATGTGTATCTGTTAGATTCATTCTTCACTGCTGTATAGTATTCCCATGAAGGTGCATACCACAATGTATGAATCATCTCCCTTTTGGTGGCCATGTAAACATTTAGATTTTCCCTTTTTCTATCTCCCTCCCGCCTTCCTTCTACCCTCCCTCTTTCTTTCCCCATCAGTATCCTCTGCACACTGCTGCACATGCCCCGTGCACAGGGGCGGAACTCTGGGCCACTGACTCACATACATCAGCTCTCACAGGTGGAGTCCACCATTCCTGCACTGCAGGGGAGGGCTTCTCATCAGAATCTGTTATTTGTGAACCATGCATATTCTGGAGCCCCATGCTGATTCAAGGGCAGACCTGAGATATGAGCAAGGCCTCATGTGGCCCTGAGCCAGTGATCAGGAGGCCACCCCTTAGGAACACTAGCCAGGGACACAGGCAGCACCCCTGTCCAAGAAGCAGCACTTTGGCACAGACATGGAGTGGGGGGTTTTCAGGACAGCTGGCCCTCCATGAGCCGCCATTCTGCCTCTTGCCAGCTGACCTTGGGCCAAGGACTTCCCCTGTCTGAACTTGGCACCCTCATCTTGAGTGACTGCAGCTGGCACACACGATGTGGCACGGTGCTGACAAAACCCACGGTGCCTGGGACAGATTGCATCCTCAATAACCAGCGCTGTGGTTACTAAGAACCCCAGCCCTGTCCCAGCCCCCGAGCAGCTGGGAACAGGGAGCAGGTCGCTTGTCCTTCACGGTGGAGGCAAAGCCCTGCTCGGGTCCTGGTTTGTCCTAGTGACGACCGGTAAACCTCCCCCCGGGGCCGGCCCCTGGCTGGAGTGTTCTCGCCTGCAGCTAAGTGCAGCAGTGTCGCCGCGCACCAAGCAGGGCCAGGGCATCGTGAGCCCGGGACGCGGCTCCCTCCTGGGACTTGACTACAAGCCTCAGCTGGAAACAGGGATGACAAGGGTCAGCGCACAGCGGGCTGGACTGGAACCAGCGCTCTGGATCTGCAGTTCAATTCTGCTATCAATACTCTGTGCAACCTCTGGCAAGGGAGACGACCTCTCTGAACCCCAATTTCCCCGTATTTGAAAAGGCAGCTCTGGACTCCTTTATCTCAGAGGCTGCCTTCTGGTTCTGAGAACTCTAGAGACCGTAGAAACCCTCACCCTTCCTTCACCAAGACGTCAAGAAGGTAAGAAGAGCCTCTGGGGAAAAAAGATGTTTCCAAAGTAGAAAAAATGCTCAACAGTCAAAGTAGCCAGGTTGTCCTTCCCGTGAGCAGTCCCTCGAAAGGGGTGCTGCCTGCTACATCACAAGGGAAGATATGGAAAGGGGAGAGCCTTGCCGAAGGACTGGCTGGTGCCCGCCCCCAGAGCCAGCGTCTGCTCCCAATGCTGTTCACGTCACGGCTCTGCTTTAACCCTCTGTGGCCACCGCTGCTCGCTGAACAAAGCCCAAGCCCACAGCACCGGTGCGGGGGCCTGCATGGACTTTTCCCTGCCCCCACCCCACCACGGTCAGGCCCCCCTGGGCAGCGTCACCCACTGTTCATTCTCAGAAAGGCCAGGCCCACCTCACCCCGAGTCCTTCGCACATGCTGTTCATTCTCCCTGGGACACTCCTCCACCTCGCATTCACCTCCATAACACCTGCTCAGCCTTCAACACTTCGACGCCACCTCCTCTAGGAAGGCTTTCCTGGTGCCCCAAGGTGCAGTCTAAGGACTCCCACAGCTGCCTGCATTTACCCCCACGGCAGCCCTCAATGCACTGGCTTGTGCCCACGTGTCACCCACAGGCTCCAGGAGGGCCTCGTCATTTTGTTTGATTTGGCATCCCCAGAACCTCATCCAAACGTGGCCCAGAGCAGCCAGCAACCCTATGAGCCTTAGGAAGAAGGTAAAGCAGCAGAGGGGGGTCTGGCTGCACAGGAACTGAGGGTCTGAGGGTCTCCAGGGCACCATTCTGCCAGCCCCCACCCCCAGCTCTCCCTCCACATTCCCAGAGGCTCCAAGGAGGCTTGGGGCTGCAGCTGGGGTGGGGGTACCGGGGGGAGGGAGTGGGGGAGCACTGTCTGTGCGTGGGGGCGTAATTAGTAGCAGCCGCTCCGTCGTGGCGTGAGCAGCAGATGGCTGCGCGTGGCGCCCAGACGAGAACGCCGAGAGGTTCACGGGGAATTTCCTGTTTACAACATCCATCAAGTTCCAGCCTTCCTGTTGCTGCGAGGTCCACACAGCCATGCAGCTGGGGGCAGGACGGGGGCGCCCCAAGTGGGACCAGCTACCTGGCTGGGACCCACAGCTCCCTGGACTCCAAGGGGGACCTGCCTGCCCGGAGACCCTAGGGCGTCTGATGGAAAGTGCTCGTCATACAAATCCCCGGCCCACAGTAGGTGCTCAATAAATACTTGGCAGCAGGTTCCAGCTGTCTCTGCACCAGCACAAGCCCCTTCCCACCTTTGTTCACACTGTTTCCTGCCCCCACCCCCATCGCAATGCCGCCCTCTGGCCTGCAGGCCCCTCGGGCAACACAGGCCCAGCCCTTCCAGGAAGCTCTAAATACAGGCAGGCAGGCAGGCGTCCCTGCTCTGAGCTGCCCGGGGCCTGCGTCCCTCACGGCCATGTGTTTACTGAGCATTGGGTCCAGCGAGCCCCAGGAGGGGGGCAGGAGACGCAGAGGCTGTCTCCAGCTACCAGCCTGCCAGAGGGCTTCCTGCCCTGCCCTGCCACTGGGGCCTGGGGCAGGAGTCTAAGTTGGGGAGGGGCAGGGATCCCCCCACAGAACCCATCAGCCACCAATGGCCACTCTGACCCTCGTCACCTTGCTGGGCCTCATCCACACCTTGGACCCTCTCTAGGGAGCCCCAGGTGGAAACCGGAGAATTTAGGAAGACGGGCTCCCTCCCAGCCAAAGAGCCCGGCACTATGTCTACGGAGAGGGAAAGACCCTGTCCTGCGAGTCCACCCTGCACGTTCTCGCCTGAGCCCCCAACAGCCACCCCTGAAAGGCAGGAGGCTTCTATTCCCATCGCCCCATTTGCAGAGGAAGAAACTGAGGCCCAGGGACATGAAGTGCCGCGGTGCACGGCCACCCGGCTGGCCCAGGCAGAACTGGGCTCCTGGCTGTCACGGTGGCCTAGTGTCCAGTTCTGAAGCCCAGTTTGCTTGAATGTTCTCTGGAAAGATCCCAGGCCAGCGACCAGCAAGGGTGGCCAGGACCCGCCGAGGTAAAGACCAGGCCGCCGCAGGCGCGGGAGCATCCTTTCTCCCAGAGTGCCCGCTGCAGGCCTCCTCTTCTGCTCTGGGCTGAGGGAAGAGGGGTGCTCCGCCCCCGCCACTCCCGTCCCCTATCTCCCCTCCGCTGCCCCGGAAGCTGCTGGATTTGGCGCCATGTGGGACCCTGGCCGGCTGCCCCCGGAGCCGGAGCCCAGGCCAGGAGCGCTCACAGCTGTTCCAGCTACATGAGAACCACAAACAAACACTGCTGCCTGGAAACCACCTCGCCCAGCACCCCTGGCCGAGTCCTCGCGTGGAGCCGCTCTCGCCACCACCCCGGCCCAGCCCCTCCTTTTGTCACAGGGGAGAGCCGAGGCCTGAGCGGGGAAGAGACTTGCTCATGTTCAACCTTCACTCAGCAAGTGGGGGGCGAGGCCGGGAGGGGCCGGGGCTGCTGCTGCCTGACCTCACACGCGGCCGGGGCTGCGTCCTCGCTCCCCCGTGCAATTTCAGCACAGCGTGCACGCGAGGTTGCTCGGGCAGTCCTGGGGGCTCTGACTTTGAATTCAGAACCCAGATGGGGCTTTTCACAAACAAACCTGTCCCAGGGGGTGAGAGGCCCCAGGGACCACTCCAGCCCGTGGCCTCGCGTCTGCTTTCGGGACTACCCACCCCGCCCAGGACGCGACCCAGAAGATGAGGGAGGCACTTGTGCAAGGGTGTTCCCACGGCCCGCTCGCTGCCGCCGAAACCGGCAACAGAGAGCGTGCCCCGAACCGAGGCGCAGCCGGCACGGGGAGGCACCCTGGGGTGCCACTCTGCCCTTCACGGTGAAAAGCAAATGCCAGGGGCCAAGAGAAAACAAGAAAGTGGGCAAATGGGGGGAAATAGCGATAACACGAGCTGAACAGAAGCCGCGCTAAGTGTAACCCCGTGAAGCGCCCACCAGGACGAGCGGAAGGAGTTGTGCCCACGGCTGAGGCCCGCGCGGCTCCTCAGGCGCCTGCCCACCAGGCCTGCTGACTGGGCGGAGCGTCCCTGAGAACGCACAGTACTCCAGACCCTCCACCGCGGGGCCGCCTGCCGTGGCCCAGAGCCTGCGGCGGGTGTGGGTGTGAGCTGTGCCCGGTCCGTGCTGCTGTGCCCACGTGTTCATGCGTGCGCATGTCCGTGTGTCTGTGTGTGTCCATAGCGTGCGTGTTGGGGTCAGGACCCCAGGCCTCCACCCGCCACGTTCTCCTGTTTCCGCCTCCCTGGCCTGGGCACCCTCACCCCGCCCCCAACAGGGTGGCGGCTCTCGACCCCAACCAGCTCTGAGTTGCCTGCAGCTCGGCGAGCACAGGAGGCTCAGGGAAGACAGTGGGGTGACCATGGGGCCCCCCACAGGGGAGGCTGCTCCCCAGGTGGAGGAAGCACAAGACCCATGGTGACGGGGGAGGAGGGAAGCTGGTGAGGCAGCCCCCAAGCTCCTCATCTGGGTCAGTTCTCAAACTTCCAGAACAGCAGCCGTGAAGCCTGCCTGGGGACGCCCTCCGAGAAAGAGGAGGAGGAGGAAGAGGAGAGGTGAGGGGAAGTGGGGGCGGGGGGAGCAGACAGCAGTATGTCCACCCCCGGCCCCCCAGGACCTGCCCCCACTCGGTGTGTTTTCCTTGTTTTGTTTTTATTTTCAATTTCCATTTTCTGGCAGAAAGACGCTGGGGCCAAGGGGAGCCGGCTGTCTGTGGGAAAATCGAGCTTTGCTCTTGCGGGGAAGTTGCCAGCATGTTCAGGGGAGACCCAGAGAACCCCCAAAGGACCCCAGGCACCCACGGCCTGAGAATGACATCGAAACAGCATCAAAATAGCATCAAAATTCAGGGAGGTTATTCACAACCACCAGCTTGTGTCCATCACAGATAGGCAGAGAGAAGGACGGGGCGGCAGAGCCACACGGTGGCACGGAGCTCAGCCACAGGGAACAGTGGGGGGTCGCGGGGGCCTGTGGCTGGCAAGGAGCCACCAGCTGTGGCTGCACTTGCGGGAAGGCGGTGTCAGAATGGAGGTGAAGATGCACTGCTTGGGGGGGAGTGAGGGGCAGAAATGGGGGGTGGCTGCCTATGGGGTTGGGGGGAGTGATGGAAATGTCCTAAATTGGTTGTGACGGCTGCACCCCAAACACACACAGAGTCACGTGTGCCTGGATTATCTCCCAATAAAGCTCTCGTGTTTTAAAAAGTGCACGAAGCTTGAAGGAGGTAACAGATGGGATGAGGATGGTATTTCCAAGCTGGATGCGATCCTCGCCGGCGGACAGCGGCAGCAGGAAGATGCTATCAAGGGGGCCGCTTCCCAGCACTAGGGACCGCCCCACGTGGCCCGCTGTCCCTGGGCCTCGACAGCAGCGTCCAGGTCACGCCACGCACCCCAGGAGCCAGCCCGGGCCCAGCGTCCGGGGCTCCAGCGTCTGTGGCTACACCCACCCGCCATATTTTCCTCCTCATTTAGATAAACTCCTGGAACCTCATAAATCTGGAGAAGGCAGGAGGCCAGCAAGGAGCGACAGGGTGCGGGAGAAGGGGCAGAAAACCCTGGAATTGCGAAAGCAGAGCCGGCAAATTTATGGCTCCCGGCTGACCCATTAGCGCATCACAACAAGGAGGGGTGAACAAATGGGACCCGCGTCCCGATTCGGCAACAAGCCGTAAATAAACAAGGAGCCGCTGGCCGCCGCCCAGCCGAGCGGCGAGGCCCAAGCTCCCCGGGGATGTGCGGGTCCCTCGGCCACCCACCATCACCCCTACCCACAACCTGGAGAGCAGCGACCCCCACGGCGCCTGGCGGTGGGGGCAGGGCAGGCCTGGCACGGCGCGGGACCCAGCTGCACCGGGGGTGCAGGTTTCAGGTCTGGAAGGGCTCCCTGAACAGCTGTTCTGAGACCAGAGTCCCACGTGTGGGTGTCGGGTGGGGGTGGAGGGAGGTGCTTGGCCGGCCGCTCCCAGACTTTTTTGGTCTGGATCGACTCAAAGACCTCGCCAGGGCTGATGTCACCGTCCAGAGCCGAGTCCCCCACCCCCCCCGCTCAGGGTCAAGGGTCCCAGGAGTTTGGACGCTTTCTAGTCTGAAACTAGCACCCCCATCCTCCGCCTGGGGGTACAGCCTGCCTTTGAGGGAAGCCCCAGGCTGCCCCTCCCTGTGCATCCACTCCCAACATCCGTGTTTGGGCAGAGCTGAGTCAGAAAGCTCCCCCAACCCCCCCCCCCGCCCCCTCCACCCCCACCTCCACCTGCTCTCCAGACCAGGTGAGGCCTCAGGCACGTCACTGTCGGGACAATGACCCAACCAAGGCTGCGCGTCTCTCGCCGGGCACCACAGCAGCCTCCCCGCCTGCAGGTCCGCCCAGCTCAGACGAGGCTGCCGCGGTGTCCAAACATGAAGAGATTTCCGAGGCCTCACTCTCAACAACAGCACCCTTAGGCATCCCCTGAGAGGCTTCCAGGCCCAGGGCACATGTGAGTACGTGGAATCAAATGCACGTTCCACTGGGGGTGTGGACTGGACCCCACACACCCCGGGAGTTTGCACCAGGTCCCTCACACGCCAGGAGGCGCCCACGCTCCCTCACGCCTGCTGGTCACCAGCCACCTTGAGGCCAGTTTCCCTCCAACCCCAAGCTCTGCTTCCCTGCCCCGAGGTAGTGCAGACTGGGGTTACCTGTCAGTGACGGGAGGCACAGGGCGGGAGTCCTTGGTCCAGGTGACCAGTGGGGGTGGGGAGCCCTGGGCCTCGCAGTCCAGGGTCACCTCGTCGCCGGCCTTGGCCACGACTCTCAGCGGCTCGTCAGTGTCCTGGGACCCATTCACCCGGATCCTGGGTTTGGCTGTTGGCGGAAGCGAGCAGGGACTGTGAGCCGGACGGCGGCACTGGGCGGCACCCGGGAAGCAGCAGCGGCCCTGCCCGCCCACAAGGGGCACAAGGGGCAGTGGGTTATAGTGGGGGGAGGGCGGGGCGGGGCTCGTCCCTCGGTCCCCCACACAGAAGGTTCTTGCTTTGATGACAGCGACAGCAGAGCACACCCCCATTTGTCCCACAGACCGTGCCCCTCTTGCGTCTGCCCATCCTGCTGCCCCCTCCCCAGAGGCATCCGCAGGTTACATGCACCCGCGCTCTCCTGGCCCTCTCCCCCCGATCATCCCACTTATCAGATGAGGCACCCCCGGTCCTCTCCTCTGAGTGGGGTCCACACTCATCCAGCACATTGCTGCTCTCCCGTGTGAAGCTGACAGCTGAGCCCCACCGCACCCCCCACCCCAGGGCCGCCCCTCCTCAGGCAGCTAGGATGGCAGACCCACATGGCCTCCACGTGTCCCCTGCAGCCACTGGGTCGGGGAGGAACTCTCATACCCAATATACATACATATATATATATATATAGCAACATAGAAATACTGGATATAAGGATACGTGATTGGAAAAGACTGGCTATCCTTTCATCCACTCAACCAGACAGTTCCTGAGAGCGAGGGCCTGCGGTGTAAGCTGAGGAGCAGCAGCTAAGGAGACAGGTCCTGCCTGTGTACCCACCGCACTCAGGGCTCACTTAACCCCAGTTGTGATGGGTGCTATGAAGGATTCTTCCAGAAAGTTGATAGCAAGGGAATCTGACCCACCCTGAGGGCTCGGGGAGAGCTCAGCTTGGACGGCTGGGCCAAGGGGCAGGGAAAGGACATTTCCAAACTAAAGAACCTGCCTGTGCAAAGGCCCTGAGGCAGGATGGACTGAGGAAAAAGTTGAAATTGGCCTGGGGGGCTCAGAGTGGGGAGAGGCAAGGAAGGGAGGAGACATAGGCAAGGCGGGGCTGCCAGGTCGGGGGAGTCCAGTGTAGGGCCTGTGTCTTTCCAAGCTTGTCCACGTGATGCCCCCCTGCCCCCTGCCCATCTGGCTATAAAGGGCTGAGCTAGAACCACTCTGGGCACCCACAGTTCTCGGACAGTGCTCCCAGGGAGGACACCGTGGGTCTATGTGCCCTCAGGCAGGAAGAATTAGAGGCAAGTTTGGCCAGGGTGCAAGGAGATGCAGGAAGGGCAGATGGCCACACCTCTGCCCCACGCCCCCGAGCCCCCCTCTCAGGACGGGGCGGCATCACTCACTGTTGACAGAGAGCTGCATCTCCTGGCTGGAGAAGCCCACAGCATTGGTGGCCGTGCAGACATAGGTCCCTGCGTCCTGGACAGAGGGCTGGGTGATGACCAGGGTGCCGTGTTTGCTCACATTGTAGTGGGGACCCCTGGAGCTCAGGACGCTGGATTCCTAGGGTAGACCCATGCTGACTTCAGCAGAGCACACCCACAGTGGTTGGCATCACCGCCCTCCCAGGATGCACTGGACACCCCCTCTGGAGATGCTGTAGTCACAGGCTCTGCCTACCTTGGTCCAGGTGATGGTGGGGTTGGGGACACCTGAGGTGACACAGGGGAGAGAGACTGGAACCCCTTCATTGGTGACATGGTAGGTGGCAGTGGGCTGGATCCTAGGTGGCACTTTTAAAAACAAACCAGTTTTATTAACCAAGGCTCATAGCTGCATTAGTCACAATAGCTGGAATCGGGAAACAATCCTACTGTCTGTCAATGGGTGACGGGTAAACAAGATGTGGAATATTACTCAGCCATCAAAAGGGGAAAAGAGATACCTGTTACAGCACGGCAGGCATTTTGATGCTACATGAAATAAGTCAGACTCTGAAGGACAAATGCAAAGGACCTAGAGGGGTCAAATTTATGGAGGCAGGAAGTAGAATGAGGGGTGGGGGCGAGGGTGGGAGGGAGTAAGTGTTGAATGGGAACAAAGTTCCAGTAGGGGAAGCTGGATAGTTCTGCAGGGTGGGGGTGGCGGCCCAGGCATGCCAAGGGACTCGGTGGCGCCTACCCGCACACTTGAGTGCTCAATGTGGGACACTTTATGTCTATCTTACTACAAGTAAACCTAGAACAATTTCTGCAGAAGAACACAAACGTCACCACACCGACAGCCGCCACCGGGCTGAATCGTGCTCCAGGCAGAGGGCAGCCCCGGGGCCAGGCCCTGGGACCTCGGCTCAGGGACTTGGGTAAATCACTTCATCTTCTGGTGCCTACACGCCTTGATCAGCAGAGAAGCTAATTAGCCCCGTTCCCTGCCCACTCTCTGGGGATGGAGAGATGGGAAATGGCAGAGAAGAGTATTCACAGCGCGCAGCGAACTTGAAAACAAGGGCCAAATCCATGCCAGCACCATCCAGATTCACAGATGGCAACGGGGATCTCTGGGGGGTGGGGGGCGGCGCTGGTAGGGGGGCAGGGTGTGGAGAAGTAAGGAGAGGAAATCGGAAACCACGGGCTCTGCCTGTACCACCCCAGGCTCCCTCGGGAGGTGGGGTCAGAACACCCTCTGGATTCTCTCAGGCAGCCCAAGCAAGTCAATGAACGTTTGCTGAATGGATATGAATGAGCCAAGAGAGGGGCTTGTTCACACCAGCAGAAGAGGTAATGCAGGCACCAAGTGAAGTCAGGGGAGGCTCTGCAGGGCAGCCCGGCTTGCTGATCCCACCCTCTTGGTCACTGACTCCCCTCTCGGACCCTCAGCTTCCCGAACATGAGAGCGAGGAGCCTTTGAAGGCCCCACCTCTTAGACAAGCCATGAGGACATAGAGAAACACACACATAAGCACACTCGCTGGGCAGCCCTGATCACCACTGAGGTCAGAGGGCCAGGAGACAGGACGTCTGGGTCCTAGGCCCTGCCTCCTCTGAATTTCAGTTTTTCTCTACAAAACGGGGAAACGGGTGTTCTCCCTCCTCATCCCCCAGGGTTTTATGAGACCAACAAAGTAAGGGGGAGCAGCATACTTAATAAATTACAAAATATGACCAAGCTGAGTTGAAACTTTACCTCACATGCAAAGCATGTGGGTGCAGGAAACGGGGCTGGGTGGGTGCAGGGAACGGGGCTCTGCAGCACATGGGTGGGAGAGCAGGCGGCTGGATGCCCAAACAGGCCTGAGAGGGGCCATCTCTGTGACTCAGAACCGAATTCCACACGACGGGACTTAGTCTGCGTCATATGGCCCCAGTTTGTTCGTTAAGTACTTACGGGTACGTGTGTACAAGGAAGTTATAGACAGGCAGGTAGATAAAAAGACAGATGTATGTAAGAATTTATATATGATTTCATAGAGTGTTAGAGAGTATGTAAAAAGTAATTTATATACAATTTGTATACTGAATATATAATTTATATAAAATGTATTATATATAGCGTGTGTGCATGTATATGCAACCTCTCATGTGTATAAAGTTTGAAAGACACACGCCAGGGCCTCCCCAGTGGCACAGCTGGTCGAGCGCCGCACTATGAAGCTGTCCACAGCCTCTGAGGTGTGAGTTCGATTCCCTGGCGGCCAGGAAGAAACCCACATGGTGCGGCAGACCTCTCCTGCCTCGCCCGCTGCTCCTCTAGGCAGTGTCTTCAGTCAGTCTGCCTGTTCTGCTCCCCACTCTGTCTCTGGTGAATTCTCTCTCCCTCCCGCGCCTCTGACCTGTATCCCAGTTCTTGAATAAATAAATAAATCTTTAAAAAAAATATATAAATGAAATTTAAAAATATTAAAAAATAAAAAGAAAGATACACACCAAATGCAAAGTTACTCTGGTTATTCTAAGCTGCTGGTATTATGGTGGTATTTTTTTTAACTTGTTTAGGCTCTAACTTTTCCACTGTGAATATGGACTATTTTTTCAACTTTTAAAAACCAAGGTATTCAAGATCAAGTGTGTCCGTGGCCTTCCCCGTGCCGTGGCACCCTGCCCCGCGGGGCCAGGACTCACCCTGGACGACCAGTAGCACGTTCTTGTGCTGAGAGCCGGCCGGGTTGCTGACGACGCAGCTGTACCTGCCAGCATCCTCCCGCAGCGCCTGGTCAAGGTGGAGGCTGCCGTCCGCCCAGACCACAGGCCGGCCGCCAGCGGGGAGCTGCGGAGGACAGAGAAGCCCCAGCTTGGACCCTGGGCCTACTTAGAGGCCGCTGGGAGAGCCCAGCAAGCACACTACGCCGGGCCAGCAGGGGGCGGGCTGGACGGACAGGGCTTGGGGGCAGGGGAGGCACTGGGGGTGGGGTTCAGGCCAGAACACCCGGTCCCCACCCCGCTGGCCTAGACCCCTGCACACCCCACCGCCCCCACCCCCCACCCCCCCCCCACCCCCCTTCACACACACACGCACACGCACACACACGCACACACCCAGGGCCCAATGGCCAAAGGGAGCCCCTCCTGGGAGTGCAGGGCGGGGAGACACAGAGGAGTTAAATGGAACCAATGAGGGTTTTTTAAACTCAAAATAAAGACTTAAACAACGACTTGGCCTCTGCCCTGCCGCCCGGAGATTCTGATTTAATAGGAAAGGTTGAGGCCTCAGGATAATTTTAAACTCCTTGGGAGACTCGAGAGCACCCGAGTTTGAGAAGCGTGAGGGAAGCAGCCAGAAGTGGGGTGCAGGCAGACTTAGGGCTTGCACGCCCTGGTGTGCACCCAGTGAACCCCGCCCCAGCACACGGTCCCCAGCCGAGGCCCTCCCGCTGACGCCCGCATCCACACCCGGCCGGGCGACGGGTGCGCTCGGCACATTATTAGAGAAGGTTCTGGAAGGAGGCAGGACAGAGAGGGAGGAAGGAAGGAAGGAGACATTCCCAAGCAGGGCCCAGACGCCCCTGCCCACTGCACCCCGGGGGCCCCTTACTCACGGGCCCACCGGCCCTGAGCCAGCGCCTCTCCGGGAGGGGCCTCCCGGCCAGGATGATGCAGGGCAGGGACACGGGCTGGCCCTCCAGCACCCGGACCGTGGAGGCGCTGCTGGCGATCTGGGGGGGCTCTGGGGAGAGGAGATGGTGTGTCTGCCACATAGAGCCCCCACATCCCCTGGCCCCCAGGGTACCAACGCAAACTCCAAGAGTGGGGTTCCAAGAGAGTCAAAGGGCACACTTCCCAGAGCCCGCCACCCAGTGAGGGGTCCAGCTGCCCCTCGTGGAGAACCTGGCCCCCGGGACAGGTGGGCAGCCCTGGGGGAGGCCTCCCTGAGGTGCTCCCGCCTCCCGCCCCCAGATCACCCTCGCACCATGTCCAGTCACGACGAGCCGGGCCTCAGCCTGGACTTTCCCAAAGACGTTTTGCGCCTCGCAGATATACAGGGCCTGGTCTTCAGAGGCCACACCTGCGGGCAGGAGAGAGGCAGGCCTGGCCTTGGGGCGCCCGGCCCCTGGGGGGCAAAGAGGCTGGCCCTGCTGGGTGAGGCAGGCGGGCTGGCCTGCAGAGGGGAGGGGTGCCCGCCAGGCCTCGTGGGGCGAGAGGCTCAGCCTGCCCACCTGCAGAACGGGGGGTAATTGAGGTGACCAGTGATGACGGGGTCACACTTGGGCAACGTGGCGGGAGCCGCACTGAGCGCCGTCACCCCCACCATACCCCTCAGCGGCCTGTCGATAAGCCAGGCGGCGGCTGTGGTTCGTCCATTATCAGGACACGTCAGAGGGCCACGTGATGGGCCGCAGTCAGACAAACGTGGCCCACGGTCAGTGCTGGGGTGCAGGACCCACCCCCGGCCACCCAGCCAGGAGCCAGGGACTCCCCCGACCGCCCCCCAGCTCCAGTCTCTTACTTTCAAAGAACAGCATTCCTGAATCACGCTGCCTGGTCCTGCTGCCCAGCCTGGACCCCAGGGGCTGACCGTCTCCACGGCGCCAGGTGACTTTGGGGGCGGGCGACCGGTGGCCCGGCAGGCCAGAAGGGCGCTCCTCCCCAGCTCCACAGTGACATCCCGGGGGGCCTCCGTCAGCTGGGGGGCGTCTGCAGGACGTGACCCGTCAGCCACGCCCGGCAGCGACCTGCGGCCCCCGGCGCCTGCCCCAGGCCCCCTCCCCTCCTATCACAGAGAAAGCCTGTGTTCCAGCCTCGCCCTCATCGGCTCTGGGCTGACTCAAGTCCAGGGCTCCGGGGCCACCCTGACCTGCGCCCGCATCCACACCCGGCCGGAGGAAGGAGCCAGGATGGAGAGGGAGGAAGGAGACATTCCCAAGCAGGGCCCAGGCGCACCTGCCCACTGCACCCCGGGAGATCTCTCCGGGCGAGGCGAGGGAGCTGCCCGCAGGCACCCTGCCCTGCATGGCCAGCAGGGACCCCGCTCTGCCCGCCAAGGGGGAGACACCCCCAGGAGCCCACCCCCAGTCAGACAATCCACAAACGGTGCACGAGGGTGTGCCCAGTGCACCTCGCCCTCCGTCCCCCCACTCAACAGCAGGCAGTGGGTGCTTCCTCCAAAGCTTCTTGCTAAGGCTCATCTTCCCTTGTAGCCAGGGGAGGAAACAACTTATTCCCCCAAACAGAAACATGTGATTCTTTCTGCCCCTTGACAGGTCGGGACCTCCGTGCAGGCCCAGGCCATGTTCCTGGCCCCCGCAGGCTTGGGGTGCTGTCCTCAGGGACCCCCCAAGCTTGGGGTGCTGTCCGTGGGGTCCCCTCAGGCCTGAAGCACTGTCCTCGGGGAGCCCCCAGGCCCAGGACATTGTCCTCGGGCCCCTGCCCCAGACTCACGACCAGGAAGCTCCCAGGCCTTTTTTCACCCGTTGCCCCCAGCACCGAGGAAAGCCCCCACCTCTCTGCTCTGGTCTCTCTAGAAATCCCTCTCCATCCAAACGATGACATCAAATTTCCCTCCTGGCCTCAAGGATCAGGGGAGTTCCAGGGAGACAGACACATCTTGGAAAATCACTGCAGGAGGAAGACGGCCTTGGCCGGGCCTGCAGACACCACCCACACGCCTCGGGTCTGGCAGCCGCAGAGACCTGGGACCCCAGAAGCCTGCACTCCCTCAGCCGGGGTCACTGGTGCAGACGCTGACCCATGGTAGCGAGCAAGCCACACGTCTGGGCGGGGGCAGCGAGACCAGGGCCTGCTGCGGGAGGCAAGAGACGGAGCTCTCGGAGCAGGAGTCCATGGACGCCTCCGAGACAGCAGCTGCTACCGCAACCCCCTTACAGATGAGGAAACTGAGGGTGGGCGGCTAAGAGACTGTCCAGGGGTGCGCTTGACGGCCACGGTCGAGCTGGGCTCAGAGTCCAGGTCCGGCCGCTCTGAGCCCCAGGCTCCCCCCGCCCAGCCTTCTCTCCCCAGGCACCTGGGGACAAGTTGGCCGCGACGCCAGCCAAAGCCTCACCCTCCTCTGCTGTCCTCTGTGAAACCCAAAGAGCCAAGTTCCCAAATCTGGGACCCACCCAGAAAGCTGACACTTGGCCTTCTGCACATCCACCCCCCCTCTTCATCTGGAGTGCCCCCCAAAAGGTGAACCTCTTCTCCGGAGCTGAAGGCGCACTGGTTCCTGGCCCCTTGACATACAGATGGGACAGAGCCCGAGGCCCCGACACAGCACGCAGGGCCTGGTCACCGGTGCCCGTGTGTTGGAGGAAGGAATGATGCCCTACACAAGTGAGGCCTGGGGCCCCAACCCGGAGGTGGCACTGTCCGCAGGGCCAGGCCCTCCCACCTCGCCGCTGCAGCCAGGCTGCTGCCTCCCTGGGGAGCCACTTGGCCGTCCCAGACAAGCACATTCTCGATTCTCTGCGCGTCCCCAGAACCCTCAGCACCTGTCCCTCCAGCTTGGCCACAGCGGACCCTCAGAGCCCCAGTCTGTCCTGGCTCTGCACACCAAGGAAGTGTGCGTAGCTTCCAAGCAATGTCAGTGCCCAGGACCCAGGCCCGGGACTTAGACGAGATCATGGCAATCGCAGCCCAGGCCCTGCACCAGCCGAGGAGAATCCAGACCCCCCCTTTTAATTATACACTCCAGAGGCCAGACCCTGGCCCAGCAGGCTGTGCTTGAGTGCAGGGCCCTCCCAGCAGCCAGGGAGGGAAGGCACGGCCAGCCCCACTTCACAGTGGGGACCAAGGGCTGGTGACTCAACCCAAGCACCCAGGTGGTGAGTGATGGCGACCAGACTGGAACTCGCTCTCTGGAGCACAATCCCCGGGACTGGCCCCAACTGCCCAGCCTACCAGAGGGCCCGGTGAGCCCCGTCTCCTGAGCCCGCCCCTCTCGCCTGCTTGCACCAGGTGGTCCTTGTGACCAATAGGATAGACTTAGCAGGTCCCTTTCAGACCGGCTGGTTGTGAAGACTTCAGCTTCCATCTGGGATGTCCTCCCGCTCCCCCTCCCCTCTCTCTCTCCCCTTCCCCCCCACCCCTCGCTCTAGGAGAAGCCCACGAGGTGAGGTTCCTGCCAACAGCCGCATGTGTGAGCTTCGGGAGGACGCCGGCCCAGTTGAGCCTTCAGATGACACAGCCCCCACCAACATATCACCCGTAGCCCATGAGAGCCCCGTGGTGGTCAGAGCCGCGCAGCCGAGTCACTCCTGGAACCCCAACCCCAGGACAGGAGACAAGAGACGCTTCCAGGGACAAAGTTCTGGGGCGGTTTGTCCCACAGCACCCACTGCACCCTCCTGGCTTCCCCTGTGCTGCCTGCGCTGGAAACATCCCTGGCCATGCTCACGCCTGGCCAGAGGCCGGGCACTGCACGGGGCAGGGGCAGGATCACACTCACATCCAACCTCCAGCCGAACCTCCGCGGAGGCGTCACCCAGGTCGTTGACTGCACGGCAGGTGTAGACCCCGGCATCCCTCTCCCGGGTGGTCGGGATCCACAGCGTCCCCGAGCTGGAGCCCTCGGGGGCTAGGATCATCTCAAGACCCCCTGGACAAAGATGAGAAAGCACCAGCGGTCGCCATGGGGTCACGGTCTCGGGCCGCTGCAGCCTGGGCTCTGGACCAGGGGCTCCGAACCCCTCAAGGCTGGGCCTGGGAGGGCGCCCCCAGAGCCAGGCCCCTAGGTGGTTAATGGCATGGTCTGGGGATGGCGGGTGGGGGTGGTTGTATGGACTTGATGCTGCTGAACTGGGCTCCTAAAAATGGTGAAGATGGTGAAGTTCACAGCAGGCGTATTTTGCCACAACTAACTGTATCTTTAGGTCCGCACCCCGTCAGGTCCGGATGGAAGCGTCCCAGAGCCCCGGGAGTGAGGCCCCGGCCTGTCCCCTACACGTGGCACGCTCATCACCCAGCCACGCCTTGCCTGGGCCTCCCGCCAGGTCCCACCCTCCGCCCAGGTCCAGGTGGAGGCTCTGGGCCCAGGGTCACCCATGGTGATCACACTCCTGCCTGCCCCCCCACACCTGCCCTCAGGCACCCTCAATGGCAGAAATGCGTCCAGTGCTGCTACTGCGCTGAGTTACCCCCTGCCTGTCTCAAGGTCAAGGTCAAGGTGAAGCTAACCAGGCAGCTAATGGAGAGACTGTGTCCAGGAGGGAGAAGCATGACTGGTGACCCTGGCTGGTTCTTGGGGAGCCCCGTGTCGGCTCCTGGAACCACCTTGTTCCTACAATTCTTGGGGCTCAGATAACCCCTCATCGCCGCCCCCACCACCAGGGCCTCTCAGTGCATCCTCACGGCCAGCCTGCCTTCGCCTGTCCCCATTTTCCTGAGCAAGCAGGCTAGCGGCCCCCAGCCGTGTGCCTCAGGTCAGGGGGCGCAGGGGGCACTGAGCGCAAACCTGGGTCTACTCTCAATCCCCCTCCTCACCACCCAGTCGTGCACGTCAGCTGTGGATGCTGGCGGGTGGGGGACTGCTGGGGGCCAGTTCTCCCTGCCACCCGATTCAGGGTGCCCCCCGTGACTTTCTGGAAGCTGATTCTGCAGGCTACCCCATGTACCTCGATACCAGATGACTCGGGGCGGGGGTGCCCCAGACACGTCACACACCAGCACAGCCTCCTCCCCGACAGCTGCCAGCACCACGGCGTTCACAGCAGAGACCTTCGGCGGGTCTGCATGGGGATCGGGGGGTGGGGGGGGGAATTAGGGACCAGCCCATGGACGCCCTGGGCTGGGGGATGGTGGGAGGCAGGTCCCCCACCAATCAGGAACAGCTCCCCCAGGAACGCCCAGGTACAGCTCATTTCTTAAATCTTCCCACTCAGGACCTCAAGGTAAGGCTATCATTTCGGCAGCCAACCCCGCCTGCTTTGTTCCTCATCGACCTTGTCCTGAAGCCCAAATCCTACAAGGCTCTGAACAGCCCTGCCTGGAAGGGCCGCCCGCCCCACCCCATGGACTCCAGCCTCCTCGTAACCCCTGGAGCACCCCAGACTCGAGCTGTCCTCTGGGCCTTTGCCCTCTGCCTGGAGTGCCGCTCCTATCCCTCTCTGGCAAGGGCCACTCCTCGCAGGCCTGGGCTGGTCCCAAGTGTTACAGGTACGAGCCTCAAAAGTCTGAACTAGAGCTTCTAGCGAGTACTTACAGGGACTCCTGGTCACCTCCTGCTCAACCAGCTGATGCCCCCACCCCCACACACACCCTGAACCTGAGTCGTGTGCCTGAGTCGTGTGCCTGCTGGCTCTGAGCCTCCCATTAGATGTAAGCCCCCCCGGACAGGGGACCCCCTCTCTGGACAGCAACCACATGTCCACTGTGTGCTCCAGGGGCTGCCCTAGAGCAGCACACCGTAAACACCTGGGGACAAGCCAGTGGGATGTAGGGAGGGGGTCCATACCTGAGTAGTAGAGGGTGACGGTCTCCTCATCTGTGCCAAGCTCATTAGCTGCCTGGCAGCTGTAATTCCCGGCATCCTCTGGGGCCACTTCCTGAATGATCAGGGTTCCCTGGGCATCCACACGGACCCTGGAGTGGTGCCATGAAATAGCATGTTCAACAGCAGGGGTGGGGGAGGCCAGGCCAGGCCCTCATTCTGTTACCCCAGGTATCACTAGTAACAAATTCATCAACATCATCAGGACAGCCGCGCGATGCTGACTGCTCTGCGCCCGCTGTGTGCCCAGCACTTGACATTTTCATGTGCTAGACTCAGAAAGGCAAAGCGACTTTCCAAAGGTCACACAGCCTGAGCAAAGGCAGGACTTGAGCACAGGTCTGTCGGATGCGGAGCTGGAGCTCCTGACCCCTGAGCCTGCACGAGGCATCGTTACTCTCCTGACCCAGGAGTCCTTGTCCACCTGTCCCCGTCCAGAGTTCCTGCCCTGGACCCCTCACCTGCTGTCCTCTTGCAGGGCGCGACCCTCACGGCTCCAGGAGATGTGGGGTGCAGGGTACCCCGACGCCGAGCAGCTAACTCTCACCTCCACACCCTGGGAGAAGCGCTGGGACCTGGTGCGGATGCTGACCTTTGGGGCCTCTGTAGTCGGGGTGAACAGGCAGGATCAGCCCTCAGAGTGGCCCTGTTGCCCTCCACGCCCCTGACCGGGCCCCTGCCCCTGCCACAGCCCCAGACAGCAGAGATCAGGAAGCAAAGGCTCTGAAGGACCTGGATCCCCTGAGTGGCTTCCCCGGGCAGGGTTGACCAGATGGTCACCTGGGCACATCCCCAGCCACACAAGGAGCTGGTTTCTTGCCAACCCCAGGCCCCTGGAGCTCTGCTCTGGCTGAGCATCTCAAAGGGTTTAGGGAAACATCAGGCAGATGCCAGGGCTGGGGACGGCTGTCACCTCCAGTGACCTGGGGCAGACCCAATGCCCTAGTATTGACTCCACACTTAGCCTCTAAAAGCTCTAGTTCAGACTTGCGAGGCTCGAACAGACCCCACGCCCATCTCACCTAGGAATGGGGAGCACCCCTTCTGCACTGGAGGCAGAGCCTCTAGAGGCCTCGGAACCCTCCTTAACACACCCAGGCAATAGCCAGCGTCACTGACCGAGAGAACACTTGTTCTCTCTGTGCGCATGGAAGGAGCTTCCAGGGAGGGGGCGCTGTCTAAATCCTGCATAAATCCTGAGCCACACCCAGGTGCTACAACCCCAGACAGGTGCCTTCCACTCCCCTCCGGTGGGTGCTGCCAAGCACTTCTGATCTCTGGGCTTTCAGAAGCTTCCAGACTTCCATCCCTGTCCTACCAATTGGGGAGGAGGGAAGTCAGTGCTTAGTGGCCCAACATGATGGAATGGGCTCAGCCTACAGCAGTAGAGATTTAGGTCAGAGATTAGGACGAACTTCCCAGCCTCTAAACTTATGTTAGAACCTTATGCTAGAACCTTCTAGCTCAGAAGGTTCAGGAATCACCAAAAGAGCCAACATTGCCTGACAAAGCTGATGTCTGGGCGGAGGGCCAGGGGGCCGGGGGGCTAGAGGGACGGGCTTTGTGTTGAACTGGGGGGGCCAGCAGCAGCCCAAAGAGACTCACCGCGCACCAGAAGCCAGACAGACGCCCTGGTGACCCCGTTGGCGTTGCTGGCCACGCACTGGTAGCGCCCGCCATCGCTGGGAACCACACCGCTGACCTCCAGGGACAGGTTGGCCAGCTGGGTGACTCTGCCCACGGAGCCCGACAGGACTCGCCAGTCCCGGACCCACGTCAGGTTGTAGGGGAACTCGTCCAGGACCCAGCAAGACAGGACGGCGGTCTCCCCCGGGGACACGGTCACATTGGGCGCAGGCACCAGCTGTGGTGGGGGGTCTGCGGGGACACAGCAGGCACTGAGGGGTGCTCGCCTCACAGTGTAAGCCCCTCCCTGTAACCCTCGCGAGGCCCACAGAGCAGCCAGGCAGCATCTGCTCAGCTTCCTGGCTGCCCGGCGCCGCCCTGAGCCCCCACACGCCATCGACACCCGCCCAGGGCTGCTGGGCGCATGCTGCGCTTTCCGCACGACAGCGACAGCCAGCCGCGAGCTCCAGCAAGGACACCGCCCTTGCACAGGCTCCGCTCCGAGCCAGTCACGCTCCACGGGGAGCGAAGCCTCAGAAGCAGCCTGGAGGGGAGGGAGGCGCACAGAGCTGTTCTCTGTCCACCGGGGGCTGTGCCTAGAGCCAGACCTGGACCATGACTCCCAAGGAGGGGCCTGCTGTCCCCACAGGGAAATGTCCTAGGAAGTGACAGCGTCAGGGGCCGGCTTCCTAACTCAGACACGGGCCTGAGAACCTGCGGGATGAGGGGGACCCACCCATGCTGGGGGCCGGTGACCATGACACCCCCAGACGTGTGCACAGGAAGGCGCCTGACGCCAGCCCCCAGCAGCGGTGTGGGAACCCGCTAGAAGGGAGACTCAGGGCAGAGGGCAATTGAGCTCTGGACAAAATGAAACAGCCATTAGGGCGCCCTGTCCACTACACGAGGTGTGAGCCTAGAAACTTGCTCAACAGGAAAACGGGGGGAGGCCCCCTGCCTGGGAGCCCGGCTGCTGGCGGGCCACAGCGTCAGGCCGAGAACAGCCAGGCGGTGGAAACCTGCGTGATCCTATCCTGTGGTGGTTAAATTGCACAAAGATAAAGGTCAGAAAGGAAATGATCAAAACGCCACCGGCATCTCGGGTGGGGGACAGGCCGCCCCCAGCTTTGGTTCGTTGGTTTATGTTTTCCGGTGTTCCTCCCGGGACACGTGTGACCTGGGGTGAGACCGAGAAAGTGGAGGGGCTGGTCCCCCCCTTGCTGGGTTCCTCGGCTTCTCCTCAAGACAACTTGGGTTTAGCATTTTCAGGGAGAAGCAGCTGCACTGGGAGCCGCCCGTGGGGCTCCTGGCTTCCCGAGCTGGACGGACGGGGCATCGGGGTGAGGACCCGGAGGCACGAAGGACCAGACCTTAAGAAGGACCCTGGCCCCGAGAGCCCCGGGGCAGGGGCGTGTGGGGAGGGCGTGGCAAAGCCCGGAAGAACAGACTGAGAAGTCAGCCTGGGCTCGAGCCAGGTGGGGGCGCCACAGCCTGAGCCAGGGTTCTCACCCTTTCACCCGCTGAGACCCCCCAGGCCACTTCTGGGGGAGACACTTCAAGTGGGGCCCAGCAGGCAGGTGGCATGAGGGCAGCCAGAGTCCAGACCATGGGCGGCCCCAGCTGAGGTGGCTGGCCTGCTCCCCCACAGAAGGAGAACCCCCCAGGACAGCCTGGAGGGAAGAATCGGGGGTGGGGGGAGAGAAAGAGGGAGGAGGGACAGACCTGTGATGACGACCTGGGCCTGGGCCCGTCCGGTGCCCGCCCGGCTGACGGCCATGCACACGTATGTGCCTTCCTCGGCCTTGGAGGCCCGCGGGATCTCCCAGCTGCTGTTTCCCGACTCCCTGAAACACAGCAGGGGGAGACGTGTCATCACACAGACCCCAGGCAGGGACCCCAGCCTCGTCCAGCCTCAGGCTCGGGCCCCTGAATCCTGTCCAGCAGGGAGCCCCGCAGCCGCCTGGACACTGGTGCGGAGGCCGTCCAGGGCACGCAGTTGCCACCATGCGCTGTGTGCCGCTCAGCAAGCCCCTGGCCCTCTCTGAGCCTTCAACTTCCACTCATAAGGGGAAGGGTCTCGGGGAACCCTTCCTGCCCTGACCCCCACGGAGCCGGGCCCTGCCTGGACTGAGTTTTCCAGAAGCCAGGGAAGACCTTTGGCTCCTTTGGGGGTGATGGTCCAGACTCTCCACCCTTGGCCACTGGGAGGTGCGCACAAGGACAATATGACCAAGACCAAGTTCCCTTTCACACCGTCCTCCTCAGGGCCCCCCAGGGCCTCAGGACCCCAGGAGCCCGGAAGCTGGGGGCGAAGCCGGCCACCAGGCACTCACTGGAGGTGCCTCTCCTCGCCCAGCCGGACTCCGTCCCGCCGCAGCTGCAGCCGGAAGGGGAGGTCGCTGTGCACGGAGCAGGAGACCAGTAGGGGCTGGTGCAGGTAGCCATGGATCCTGGGGGGCATGCTGACGAGGGGGGTGCCTGGAGACAAGGACAGCACTCAGAACTCTTCCCTGCTGCCCGCTGCCCGCCCTCACCGCCCGCGACACAGACCCACAGGAGACCCCAGCCGGGAGGTAGCGGCTCCAGCCCTGGCCGCACCGTGGGTGGTGGCCAAGAGCAGGCGGCCTCACCTCTCTCGGCCTCAGTTTCCACCTGTGCAACTGGGGGTAACCGTGAAGCTGACCTCATCATGGAGCCGGGGGGCTGAGGGGTGGCGGGGCCTGCACCTGGCAGATGCACGAGGCACGGCCAGCACAGCCATTAAGCTCACATGTTTTCACGGACCGTGGGAAGGCGGGCCAAGACCGAGGGGGTCTGTGCCAGTGGCTCGATGGTCTGGGAGAGAGGCGCTGGACCGGCCTCGAAATCCAGTGAATGCTACCCCGACCGGACTCTCCAGGGGAAGGGTGGGGCATGCAACGGCTCCTCTTTACCCAAAGATGGTGAAGAAGCCTTTCCTCATTTCAAAATAAGCATCGTTGGCGCATGAGAGCGAGTACAAAATTCACACACATTTTTGAGATAAAATAAGAGACTTCAATGAAAGCTCACAGCTTGTGATGAGCCCCTGGGGGCCCCCATCAGACACGCTCGCCTCCCCCTTGCCTGACCCTGCTCATGGGGTGACACATTCTCTTTCCTGAGTTATTAGAATGACTTCGGTTGTCAGAAGACGCGTGAGAACTCCCTGGCGGGGTCGGTCTCACCCGTTGGTGCCTCGCTGGGTGATCACGGGCTCAGCCCTGGCCTCGCCCTCTTCCCTACTCCCCACCAGAGGGGAGAAGGGCCGGGCAGAGCTGCTCCTGGGATGAGACAACGCGCCAGACCTCCTCGGAGCACAGGGCTGGGCGTGGGAGGCCGGCTGGTGACATCATGCTCCGGCTCCCTGCCACGTCCCCGGGGAGAGGGGTGTCGGAGCGACCAGCCACGTCCGCAGCTGCATGCGAGGCTGCCACCGCTCACCCACGCATGCTGGAAGCCTCTGTCTGGCCAGCTCAGGCTCCCTCCTGAGCGAGCTGAAAGGGCCCCGGGCCCCCAAGCCCAGCCCCCACCCCCCCCCACCACCCAGGTCTCCAAATCCAGAGCCTCCAGCTATAAGCCACCTGCTGTAAGCCGAACTCCCAGCCGCTCAGACCTGGAAGGTAGTGGCGGAAGCAAAACCCACACCACATGCCCCCTCTACACACTTTACTAAGAGCTGAGATGGAGACTAAAGCTCAGAGCGACACCCCGAACTCTCGGACCCTCGTGACAGAACAGGGAAGCTGCTCCTCCTGCTGGAAGCCCTTCCTGAGAATTACTCTTCAAAGCTGTAAAGGCCGAGGGAGGAGGGCCCACAGGAGAGTGGGAGCCAGGAGGCTAGAAAGAAGGGGTCCCCAGATGACCCACCCTGCCTCCCAGCCCTTCCTGCTCAGGTCCTCAAAGTCCCCCCATCACCAAGGGCACCCTAGTGCTTCCCCTGCTTCCCTATTTGAGGTGCATAGAGGATGCCCTGGCTGAGCTCTCCAGCCAAGAGGATGCTGGGATGTCAGCGACACGCACCTCCGTGAGCCCCTCCCAGGCTACCCCCAGCGGAAGGGGAGAGGGCAGAAGGAAGGAAGCCCAGCGAGGAGGCCAGATGGCCAGAGAACTCAGGCCCCCCTGCTAGAACCAGAGGCAGATCTGGGGAGACAAGGACTGCCCTGCCCTCGGGAGCTTCCAGCCAGATGGAACCCCGTGAAAGCTGCACAACCACGATGGCACCGCAGACAAGGCCTGCACTGGGGGTGCTTGAGGGTGACTCGATGATGATGAGAGTGACTATGAGGATGAAGGAGCACCCACACACCCGTGCTGCGTCTACACCTGTGGCCGACACAGAGGGACGCTGGACGCACAGGGGGATGGATGGACAAGGGATGGGTGGGTGCGCAGATGGAGGAACAGCTGAATGAGGGTGTGGACGGGTAGATAGATGGATGGGTGGATGGATGGATGGGTGGATGGATGGATGGGTGGATGGATGGATGGGTGGATGGATGGATGGGTGGATGGATGGATGGGTGGTTGGATGGATGGGTGGTTGGATGGATGGGTGGTTGGATGGGTAGATGTGTAGATAGACAGAAAGATGGATGGATGGTTGAGAGTATGGAAGGACAAATGGATACATAATTATGTGAGTGGATGGATGGGTGGGTGGGTGGGTGGGTCATGGATGGAAGGATGCGTGGGTGGGTGGGGTAGGTGGACAAATGGATGAATTTTAGATGTATACACGGAAGGATAAATGAATGAATGACGATGGATGGTGGATGGCCAGATGGGCGCACGCAGGTGGGGGCAGCACACATGGATACATGGATAACCGGATACATGGCTGGATAATGGATGGGTGGAGAGACGACGGTGTTAAATCCTTGAGCTGAGAACGACACCGGAAGCATCTCAGTGTTTAGCAGAGAATCTTTCATAACTTGCTGCCCACAGAAGTTTAATGCGCAGGTATTTCCCAATCGAATACAATCAGGAGAGGCTTCCAGGAGAAAAGAGCCTCTGAGTGAACCAGGGAGCTGAGGGTCACAAGAGCAAGTCACTCACCTGGGGCCACCCCACTGTAGGAAACTCCAGAGACACGGAGGAGGGGGTTCCCCTCATGGTCCTGGCCCTTCACCTTGAGGTAGAAGCGCTCCCGGGGAGCATGGAAGGGTGGGCCGCCCCACAGCTGATGGGTGGATCCGTTGGCGAGGGGGCTCATGGGCAACGTCAGGAGGGACTGCCCCGAGCTGTGGGCGAGCTCCACCGAGTCCAGGCTGCCGGGTCCCTGCAGGCCCGTGGAGTTGATCACCAGCGAGATGGGCACCCCTGCAGAGGGAGGGGCACGGAAGCAGCTGCTGGCATCTGTGTTGGGCTCCACGAGTGTCCCCCAGCAGGGCCCCCAGGACATTGGGAGACCCAGCCTGCCCAGCTCTCCTTCCCGCCTCCCCGGCCAGCCCTGGCAGGAGGGGTGCGGCCTGCCGGCTGCTGTCCACGGTCCTGAAGAGACCGTCCCGCAACCCAGGGCTTCCCCAGACACCGTCACCTCCACCCTGCAGACTGGGTGTGGCGGTAGAACTGGGCAGAGCATTTCCCTCCCACCCACCCTCCACCCCCACTCTGGAGCCTGCTCTGCGACAGCCTGGATGAGACGCTCAAGCTCGCGGGGGGACTCTGCCTCCTGCTCATCCCTCCTCTCCTTGGTTTCCTTTGATTTTGTTTTCTATCTGGTTGAAAATGCACTTCTCACACTACACCAGAAAGGAGAGAACAGAAATTGGGCCTCACAACTTCCTCAGCTGATTTCAAAGCAAAAGTCCACTCTCTCCCTTTTCAGACAGTTATTAATATTTTTCCTTCCAAGACCATAAACTAGGGACCAGTGGGTAGGGTTGGTGCGGTCCATGAAACGTTTTAAAATGTTTGAAGAAAGGCCAAGCCATCCGGGAAGGGCACATGCAAATCTAGAAGTCCGTTCTCCTGACACCCGGCGTGTGGGCATGGGCCCCACTCCCGCGCCGCGACGGTCAGCAGCAGAGAGCTGAGCCTGCGCCTCCGGCCCCAGAGCACTACAGGGCAGCCTCAGCCTCCCCCGCTCCTGAGCCCCCAGCACTGAGGCCAAGGGTCAGTCGCTATTTATCATTTGCAACTGTCCTGCGGTTTCTCTTTTCCCCCCGTATGTCTTGGACCCACATTTTTATCAAAAGCAGAGACCCAAAGGGTCCCCCGTGGCCCCTTCACTCTTCACCCTTCCACAGGGCTGGCCCTGAGGACAGTTCAGAATCAGCCCCCCACTCCCTTCACCTGGAATCCTTCCTCTCTTGGTTTTTGGGTGAGACCCACAGGCCTCTGCCTCTCCCCGGTTCTGCTACTGGCAAAACAAACACGAAGGGAGCAGGCAGCCCCTTTCACTGCTGGCCCTGGCAGGGAGGCCAACCAGGGCTGACAAGAGTGGCAAATGTTAGAGGGCATTGGAGGGAAGCGCACAGGACCATTTTCTATCACGATTCAGTGGTCCAGAGTTAGCCTGACCTGGTCCAGACCCTTCCCCCTCTCGCTTCTGAGCTGATTGCAGCAAAATCCTCCAACTGGCCCCATGGCGAGGAGCCCTGTTTTCCAGACTATGAGTTGGGACCCCAGTCTGGCTACCAGATGGCATTCTCTGGCATGGAGCTCGGGCAACCTGAGCCAGGATCCCCGCCTGCCCAGGGCCCACCCTTCCCCAGAGGTACCCACGATGGGACACAGAGGCCACCTCGGACACCAGTGGGTGACTTCCACCCAGAAAACTGACCCTGTGCCTCCAACTCAACTCCCTCCCCAGGCAACCACCCCCAGCAAGGCTCCGGGACATCTGACTGTCCATGGCCTCTCTCCTTTGGAGGCAGACTTCGTTCTCTTCAGGAGGAGACAGCTCACTGGATGACCGCTGATAACCGCTGGACAACTGAAGTGGGTGTGACAGATGAGCCAGGAAAACTAAGTGGGGGAGATGTGAGCATGGGAGCAAGGGAGGCAGCATGAGGTACTGGGGCCTCTGGGAGCAGAGGGGGTGTTTGCCTGTGAACGGTCTCCAGGTCAGTTGGGGACGGAGCTCAGCCCACTGTGGCCTGGGGGTCCGATCTCTGCAGGGCTGGCCCTGACTCACAGTCTACCCCCAGCATGCCCAGCACTTCCCAAATGCAGCCCATCTCTCCAGAGGCTGCTCCTCGGCAGCCCCAGGCTGGAGCCCGTACCTTCCAGGGGCCATTCGATGGTGTGGTTGAGGTCCAGAGAGGGCTGAGGGGAGAAGCCGGCTCGGAAGTTGATGTCGCTGATGCCCGTGATCCTCACGGAATGGCGGCCGCTGCTGTAGACCTAGCATGGGCCAGGCCCGGTCACAGGGCGTCCCGCCCCAGCAGCCCCCTCCAGGAAGGAGCCGGACAACCTTACCTGTCCGGAGCTGCCTCCCTGTTGCCTGCCTTTCCAGCCCCCCTCAGCCTGTCGGTCTCCTGCCGTCTAACCCCTGTCTTCCCCACTGGCGTCAGAACTCTTGGCTCAGAGATGCAGAGTTGGAGGGGCAGGGTCAATGCTGTGCTTCACTGGGCTGCTGACTCAGTGCCCGACACCCAGTAGGTGCTGTGTTTGCCCGATTAGCGGGAGCTCATGTGCTTTCAAGACAGCCACCTGCCCCATCCCGGGAGGCTCTGTCAAGAGCCATGCCTGTCCCTACTCCCTGGCCTCTAGCACCTTGCAGGCCAGAGCAGGCCCTGTTCCTGTGCCACCCTATCCCTCTGAGCCACCTCCACCCGGGTCACCCTTGCTTTTGTGCATTTGTCATAGGAAAGGGTTCTGATCACAAGCCAATTGCATCACCTACTTCTGGACCCTCAAGTTCTTTCTCCAAGTCCTTTGTAACTAACCCTGAGCCACTCCACCTCCTCTTACTGGTACAAAGCTGAATATCCTTCTGTTCTTGACCCTTTACTTCTATTGCTATGACCACATACCATCCCACAGCTTCCAGGGCCCCCAGCTCCCCAGGGTAGACAAGGGGGAGATGATGGCTGTTCAGTGAAGTCAGACTGCCCACCTCTGACCCCCAGAATCCCTGCCGCCTACCTTGATGGACCACAGTCCAGGATGCTCAGGCTTAAAGGCCACGACCTTGGCCGAGTCAGGGATATTGAGGAGCACATTAAGGCCCTCGTCCTTCTTCAAGATCCGCCCTGTAAAAGCCACACAGACTGCTCAGTCTCTGATCCTCTCCTGGGAGTGGCAGAGGCCACACCCTGTCCCCAGGAACCCAACACTCTCCAAGCACCAGCCTCAGACTCCCTAGAGAAATCAGTGAGAGGACTTGGGCGGCGCTCAAGGCTCCACCTGTGCTGCACACCACCTCACCACTCCCGGGTAGAGGGACGGGGCAGGCTATATACTTGGCCTCCAGGCCTGGCTGCTTGTCGCATCCTCGGAGCATGGTGGAGCCAGGTGCCCAGGTCCAAATTGCTGACCCTGGCAAGTCGCTCCATCGCCGGAGCCCAAGCCCCCACCCATAGTGTGCCACTGATTCTTGCCCCACTGACCCTCTAGGCCACCATGGGGACCCACCAAGACCACACAGGAGACCCCCCATAAGCCTTGTGTCCCCTCCCTCAGCTGCTCCCACTATCCCTGCTTCCTCCCCCTCATGGGGGCCTCATGGCCCTCCTCTTGCCACCCCTGCCCCCCTCCTTGCTTCCAACCCCCTGCCACCCGGGTCTCTCTCTGCCCCACCCAGCTCAGTCTCGAGCCCTGAGGACCTACCCAGCGGGTCCCGGACTTGGATCTCAGGCCCTGGGCCGCTCAAGGAGATGGTGACCTCCTTCAGGCTGGGGTCAAAAGGGATGTTCCACAGGTGCTCGCCTTCCTCCTCGTGGTCCGTGGACAGCAGGTGCACCTTGGAGGCCTGGAGTGCTGACTCCACCCACTTCAGTACCTACGAGGCAAGTGTAAGAAGCTGGCTAGCAGGTACCACCAGGCCTGACTGGGTCTGGTCCACCCAAGGCAGGTCCCTAACAGGCTGCCAGCTGCGTGCAGAACCAAGTCTCCCCGGGGGGTTAGCATACAGGTCACCCAAGGCCACGCCAGGCCCCTGCCCCACTCCACGCCCCATCCTCGCATTGTTACTCTCCTGGCCTGTGGCACCTGAACTGAAGCCCCCAGAGGGCTCAGAGTGGAGGGGAGGAACAGGGTGTCCGCTCCTGGGAGGACTCTTCCCTGCTCCTCATCTGGGCAACTACTATGGCACCTGTCACTCGCTCTAGGACGCACCGCGAGGCCCTCTACACACAGATGAGCCCGGGAGACCCCAAGTCTCCCCCAGACCACACAGATCACCATCATGAGACTCACACCAGGATGGGCCCCTGCGGTGAAGACAGCCCCGTCCTGCGCCTTCACCATGTCGAGAAGGTTTGAGCCCTTGGTTCCTATGATTGCTTATTCGTGAAGCTTACACGCTTTGGGGAGGTAACACTGAAAAACAGGTAACTGGGGAGGGCTCTCTTCCAGAATCCCAGACCACTGAGACCTGCCTTTCAACTGTGATTTTAGGGGGTTCTTGAGCGCCCTCAAAGACAGCCCCCCTTCAGTGTCTGGGCCCCATGTTAACCACCCTGGATTCAGTCTAAGATGGCATCTCGTTGAGCACAAATTAACTCAGTTTCCCCAAATCTTTGCCAAGGCCCTCAAGACCCCATGTTCTGGGTTCATCTGTTCAACCTGCCCCAAGGCCCGGTGCCCTTGACCTGCTGGGCTGGACCCCCAAACCTCCCTAGGCCACGCATACACATTGTCTTGGCAGAAATGCTTAGCCTATGCCAGGCTGCATGCTCAGCACTTTACAAATATTATCTTTTTTAATTCACAAGGATCAGAGAGGTAAAGTGATTTGCACAATGTCACACAGCAGAAGCTTGAATGGCAGGGGCAGGACTGGAGCACAGGTCTGCTGGGTGCCGGAGCCAGGGCGTCTCCAATCCAAACAGTCTATCCCCTGCTGGACACTCTTTTGCAGCAATTTGCACCTCATTATTCAAGCCTATTAGATCCAGGCCTGCCTTCCCTACTGACCTGGAAACTCCATGACTGTGCCCGGGGCTCAGTGACTGGCGCCGAATGTTCAAGAGACGAGATTGTTCGCTGCAAGTGATACATCAGGGCACACGCCTCCCAAACGGGGTGTCAGGTTCACCCCGGGTTCACCTCCCAGATGTTTCATTCAATTCCAACCCCCAACTCCCTAATCACACCTCCTCCTTTGCAAGAACAGAGCCTCCCAGTTTCAGGGAGACAAGCAGGGGGGAGAGAGTGGAGGGCGCCCTCCAGTCTGAACCGGTTTCCTGGCCGAGTTACTGCAAGCAGCGCCCTGCGCAGCCTCAAGCCAGAACAACACGAAGCGTGAAGCTCACTGGCTGGCGAGGCCCTACCATCACCCCGGGGAGCACCCCAGCGCCTTGAGAACCAGGGATCAGCTACACCTTCTCAGTGGGAGGATCCTGAAGCCAAAAAGGTCAGCGAGGAAATCTGCAGTTCCTAGGTTTTCAGTGGGTGCAACCATCTGTCTTATGATTTTGAAGCTGTTTAAGAATCTCATAGGATAAAGCAAAAAAAGTAAAGATGCTGCTGCCTCTGAGTCTCCCAACCCCCAGCAGTGGAAGGGGACACAGCAGGTATTTTATGCAGACAAGTGTAACACTGCAGGTGAGTTCGGATCCCAGCGCGTTCTAAAGGCCACGCCCCACTACAGCTCCTTGGAGAAATGGTTGACTCCAGGGCCAGGGCGGGTGATTTAGGAGAACCCAGCTCCCTAGTGGCTCAGGGGTTGAAGTCTCAGCGCTACCAAGCTATAGCCAGCCACTGCGGCCTGAGTTCAATGCCCGGCCAGGGAGCTACCCACCGGGCACAGCAGACCTCACCTGTCTCCCCGCTGCTCCCCTCAGCAGTGAATCCTCTCACCTCCCCTGCCCCCCGTACCTCTGGCCTACACCCTAGTTCTTGTATGCATAAATAAATCTTAAAAAAATAAAGGAGAACCCAGGGCAAGGAAGCTCTCAGACCAAGGAGTTATAACGAAAGGACACAGAGCCAGTGGAAGGCGTGCCCATCAGCTAAATTCGGAATGGCCTCAGCCCCCAAAGAAGGATGCCTGCGACCCGTGGGGCACATCGAATGCTAAATCCGCGTGTCCGTTCTGACACTCAAGAAAGAAACCACACTTCTCCACGACCAACCCCACTGCCCAGCGGGGCGGCCTCTTCCTCAGAGAGAGACACGCGCGGGCGCTCCGCCTCCTCCTCGGGAATCGCTTCCCAGCAAGCCCGAGTCCTCCCTGTGGAGGTACAAGCTCTTCTCCGGGGAAGGACGCCCGCCAGCAAATGTGGAAGGAATGAGGCAACTAGGAAATCATCGTGCTCAACCCTTAAGGAATCAATTGTGTCAAGCGAGGCTCCTCGACGGGGGCTGGGAGGTTGGCGGGAGCTGGAGGCGCAGCGTCCACCGTCCCCCACACACCACTTGAGTCATCGAGGGAAAACATGGGCTTATCACGCCGAGAGCGGCTGTCACCGCCTCCGCCGGCCATCAAACTTTTCATCAGTAACTGCAGACGGACATGATTTGTCGCCAGGGCTGACGCCAGGGCAGATACGCGGCACCGGCCAGGAAATGTTCCTGCGAAGTGCCAGCCAGCTCCCCGGCCGGGGGAGCCGGGGACAAGGGAGACATGACACCGTCGGGGGACGGTGAGAGGCAGCTCGGTCACGGGACACTGGTGGCATGAACACACGCCGGCCGCAGGCCGGAGAGACAGGGCGACCCTAGCAAATGCCCGGGCCCTCCTTCAGTCCCGATTTGACAAAAACTGGAATAAGAGACACTTTGAGGACAGCTGGGGACATCTGAATATGGACCCACGCTAGATGATGCTAGAAGTCGCCATTAAATGGATTAGGTGAACTAAGGAGCAGGGGGGAGGGGGGAGGGGCGGGACAAAGGAGTTTTGGTGGAGGGCGAGTGATGCATGTACACGTAGAGAGGGGTGAAGTGTACACCCCAAATTATACATTGTCTATGTAAATGACTGGCAAAGTAATTTTAAAAGAATATAGTATGTAGGGCCTCCCTGGTGGCACAGGGGTTCAAGACAGCGCTACCCACAGGGCGCAGCAGACCTCTCCTGTCTCCCCGCTGCTCCCCTCAGCAGTGGATTTCAGTAGATCTGCCTGTTCTGCTCCCCGTTCTGTCTCTGGTGAGTCCTCTCACCCCTCCCACCACACATCTGGCCCGCATCCCCGTTCTTGTATGCATAAATAAACAAAATAAATCTTAAAAAAAGAATATAGTATGCATATAACATAGGAAAAAATTTATTAGATGATACTGTAGAGTATGTTGGAGATTATAATTTTTTAAATGCTAGATTATGGGTAAGGTCTCAGAAGTCAGCAAAAAGTATAAAAGGGAGATGAAACAGGCGGAGAAAAAATATTGATTGCTAAATCTAGCTGGTACATATGTTCTTTTTACTTTTCTATAGTTTCGAAACTTTTTGTACTAGCCCTTAAAGCAAAAGACATTTTAACAGAACAAGTATGCTATGGTTTTAATACGTATGCGAACAAGCAAGGTGCTATCCTGAAGCTCGCTAACTCTAGTCAACTGGAAGAGGCGTCCTGGAATACCATTAGAAGAAGAAATACAAAGAAATACAAAGCTTAGAAAAAGCTCTGCAGTTGACTAGCAATGTCTGCCACGGACCTGGGCATAGACAGTGGTGCCTTGTGTGCTACATATCAACCATCCTTGTTCTAAACTCTAAATCATGGTCCAGCTCTGGTCAGCATGTGCTCTTCCATAGAAGGGAAAAGAGGGAATTGGAAGAATCATTTAGATTTAGACAATGAATATGTGCTGCCCAGAGTGAGCTAAAACATGTGTGCCTAGCTATTACAGCTAAATTTCAGTTATCACCAGATAAGAATTCAGTGCTCTGAATACTCATCTGTTTTCACACTTGGAGAGACTTCAGACTTGTGTTTTGCCTAGCTTTCTAAGTAATGTTTCTCTTGAAAAGGTCCTGCCTGCCAAGGAATGGGGACATGGGGTGGACTGGAAGCAGTCAAGGCCCTCAGCTGGGGAGCTAGACAGAAGCTGGGAAAGTAAGTGAGGCAACTCCCCCACTGCAAAGCCACAGCTCTGTGACCACCATTTCTCTGGGGCCAGGCGTAAGGAGGAAATCCTATTGGCGCAAAGCTTCCAGGAGGTGGTGGCAGCACCAGCTGAAAATTACCCAGACAAGTCACACGCACTACTGTGTTGCAACTGTCATTACAAGCTTGTTCTAGGATGTTCTGATGGAGGGGCAATGCCCAGGAGTTCGGGCTACTGAACCACAGAAAGGCTGAGACCGACAGAATGCCTGTGACCCCAACAGGAGACGGACGCCCACAGAGCATGTGCTGTGAGCACATCACTCGGCCACCAGGGAGAGTGGGGTGTCTGGCCCTCTGGCCCACAGTAAGGCCAGATCCCCATAGGTCCACGCTGGGGCACAAAGGCTTGGGGGCCCTGCAGTGCCCCCAGGCTCAGAGCGGAATCTGGGAGCCTTCCTAGCCGAGAGCCTTCATCCAGCGAGCTCAGTGTTTGTTTGGAGAAGGCGATTACTTCCAGATGTTAGCGGGCTGGGACCGGGGAGGGGGGGACAGGGAGCCAGCAATGCATTGGGGCTCATCTGTCTGTGGCTGATGGGGAAGGAATGAAGGATCTGGCACTGCTATCCTGGCCAGATGGCTGCCGCTGGGCCTCCACCAGATAAATCATCCCCTGAGGCTCCTTCCAGGACACTTGACAGCCAGGGTGACGGGGAGGCAAGAGGGGGAGCGGGGTGGGGAGGGAGGCTGAATGGGCCTCAGAGCTGCAGGTCAGAAAACTGCAGGCTGATCTGGGGACCCAGCGATGGAGAGCGAGCACTGACCCTCACCCACAGGACAACACTGGGCACCGTCCCTGCTTCCACCCTCCTGGAGAACTTCCCCAAGAGTTTTCACTCTTTCAGGGGCTTCGCTTGAGACAGGGGCATGTCCTGGGCTCTGCTCCTGTGCCCAGGGGCTGGAGTCATGGCCGCCATGAGGCCTTACCACGGGTGCCCGGGTGCCTGGCCTGCTCCATGCCATCCCTCTTGCCCTCGGCCCCGTCTCACTAGGCCACCACTCTCCTGACCCAAACAGCGCACACACAAGGAAGGGGAGGCCCAGAGAGGGCCAGCGCTCCCTCAAGGCCATACAGCAGGAGGTGGCTGAGCCAGGTTGCTCCACCACCCTGCCCCCAGCTGGGAAGGGTCCAGGCTGACATCATCTCGGAGCTGGGCCTCCTGATCTGTTAATCAGAACCACCTGGTGGGACCTCCCCTCCCCCACGCCTGGGCAGGCGGGTCACCTTGTCCCACGTTGATGCACAGAATCTGGACAAGCTCTGGGCCTGCTGGTGTCGCACAGGGGCAGGATCTCAGCCCCAGAATGAGATTTCCCAGGACTCGGGAAGGCTGCAGGGTGATGGGCTCTGTCTGCCTTTCCAACCGGTTCCACTGGGGCTGGGGTTCTTGATCGAAATTGCACACCTCCCCTGCCTGCCGTGGATGGCAAAAGTCCCTAATCACTCCAGCCGGGCATGGGGATGGGTTAGGGGGCACCGCCAACCTCCTTCAGTACCGGAGAACCCCAAAGGTTCCATGAGGCCAAGCCCACAAGAGAGAAGTGCTAAATGCTCACAAGACCAAGTCTGGTGCCGCTCTCCCAGCACCCTCGGCCCTGGCATGCAGCAGGTGCGCCCCGGATGCGGGACGTGCACAGTGTGGTCGCGCCTGCCACACCAGATGGACCCAGGAGCACTCTGGGGGCCGGTGCAGCTCCTGAGGGGTCCCTCTCCCAGCTGGAGCCCCCAGGGCTCTGGAGAAGATCATTCCTCTCCTGCGGGATGACCAAGCCCTGGCTGCCCCAACCACTTTCCCAGGCTTGTCAAGTGAATGTCTGGACATCTGGAAGGAGCCAGGTCCAAGCATTAAGCTAATAAAAGGCAGAGCTTCATGTCCAGGAAGTGGAGGGATCCAGGCCCCCACTCGGCGGCCAGTCCTGGTCAGTGGATGTCCACTGAGTCAGGCTCTCTGGGCAGGAGCCGAGGATCCGCCCAGGTTCCCTGCCTCCAGCAGCATCTGGGGCACCAGAGCCCCACACCTGGGTAGGCTGTCGTCTGCCATTGCCCAGCCAACCCCATCAGACCTACCCAGCAGGCACCCAGGTCCCCTGCAGCTGCCCAGATGGGTCTCCCCACCGAAACAAGCACCAAGTCGCCCTCCGCGCCCAACTGCCTCCCACCGCTCTGGGGCGGCCGGGTGCCAGAGTTGGCGGACATGCCAAGAAAGAAAGTTGAATGTGTCACTGGGAACCATAAACGCCATCTGTCAGCACAGCGTTAAGGCTCGCTAATCTAAACACAGCCCTGGAGACCAGAATCTTCCATGCACAAAGATACAACACGCGAAACCTCTCCCAGGGGCCACTGGGGGGCTGGCTCAGGGCCGGAACGGTGCAGGGATGTTGCCTCCCTCACTTCCCTCTTCCCAGACCCTCAGGCACTGGGGACTCGAGTCCCCCCTCTCACCAGCTATTTACGAAGCACCTGCTACTGCTGGTGGCCGCGCCAGGTGCTGGGAAGACAGTAGTGCATGGAACCCACTCCAGTCCGCCCCCGGGGAGCTCACAGCCGACTGGCATTAAATAATCACACACTTGTAAAATTATAATCATGGAGAGCGCAGAGTGGATGTGAAAGGGGGGTTCATCTTGACAAGCCTTCCCTGAGGGGGCACGTTTCAGCTAAGACTGGGAAGATGAGAGGGAGATGAGGAGGCAGAATAGGGAAAAACAGCACCTGAGCAAAGGCCCTGGGGCAGGAAAAAATATGGCACGTTGAAGAAACATCAGTGAGGCCAACGGGGCAGTGGCGAGGGGGTGTGGGGACGTGGGCAAGGGAGGGGCCGGCGTGGGCCAGAGAGGCAGAGGGGGCAGATAAGGGCCTCCAGGGGACAATGGAGGGATCTGTTGATCCAATTTGTTCTAGAAGGATCCAATGGTATGCAGGAGTCAGCCTCAAGAAAACTGCTCACAGCTTCCCAGCGACGCCCGGGGCTTCCTGACAGCCTGACATCAGCTCAGGAGGTGTTTGCACCACGGAAATGGGCGTCCCTCCACCTGCCAGGGTGGCTGTAAACCATCTGCCCGCTTGTCCCTGGGAAGCCCTCTGGCCGCTGGTAGGAACGGGCCCATGGGGTAGAGGGGAAGGTGGGGGGAGTGGTAGGAGAGACAGAGCCCTGAGCCCAGTGGAGCCCCAGGGTGGGGGGAGGCAGGCAGGCACCTGGTCAGCGCCACGCAGGTTTTACTGTCCCAGCAACGCAGCCTGAACCTGATGGCTCCTCATGCTCCTCCACCCACCTGGGGTCCCCTGACTCTGGGGTGACACTCACCCCACCCCCCACTTCTGCCAAACTTTTGCCTGACCCATCTGGCAACCTGGCCCAGCTGTGGAAGCGGGGCCCAGCCCCGGCACTTCTTCTAGCCCCGGCCTCCTTACCTGCAAAATCAGAAAACCAGCACCCCCCAGGGATGCAGGGAGGTCAGGAAGCTCACCTCGGTCACCTGCTGCTTGTCCAGGTGGAACACCTGCCCGGAGCTGGTGGCGGCAATGTCCTCGTAGGCCAGGTAGCCGGGATGCGTGCGGTCACCACAGTCCCCGGTCAGCACGAAGACCACCTGCAAGAGCACGCACAGCCTGGCCCCAGCCTCCGGGCGCCCCCTGGGGGCGCGTGGCAGGGCTGGAAGCAGCCCCACGTCTGGGCTCACGTCGCGCCTGGGCTCGGGACACGTCCGTCTCCTGGGATGGGTGTGGGCCAGGGCTCCGCGCGCCGGGAGCGTGGCAGGAGCTGGGTGAGTGGGGGCTGTTACTAAATGCACAGCGGGGAAGGGCTGGAGGCCTGCCCAGCTCTGGGGGCCCGGGGGCGCAGGGTGAGAGGAACCTCAGAAGAACCGTTTGTGTCACATGGGGACAGACGAGTCCCCGCCCTGGATCCTCACCCAAGGGTGTCAAATGGATGACCCTTCTCCCCTCCCTGCACCTTTCCTCTCCTGGCTGAGAGTCAGACACCGGGGTGGTGGGGAGACGGTGAGGCGCAGCCGGGAAGGAGCGGAGGGGCGGGGCAGGCGGGCCAGGCGGCAGCGTGGGGGGACGAGGGTGTGTGGTCCCCTGGGAGTCCCCGAGAGTACTCCGGGGGGCCGGACCCGAGGCTGGGGGAGGAGCAGGCGCCTCCGCGCTCCAGGTGGGGCCCGGGCACCCCACAGCCTCCTCAGGACCCCGCACGGCCCCAGCGCGGGCTCACCTGCGACTGCTTCAGCTGCAGGAGCCGCAGCAGCTCCTCCGTGCGGTGGTGGTCCTTGGCGCGGGCGTCCGAGAAGACGTAGATGAAGGAGCCGGGGTTGGCCACCTCCACGGCGGCCTTGATGGCCCCCACGCTCATCTCCGGGCAGTCGCCGCCACCCTGGGGGACAGGAGCAGCGTCCTTGAGGTGCAACCCGCGAACCAAGGGGAGGCCAGCGCCCCGGGAGCCACCCGGGTCCTGCCCACTCGGGGAGGCCGGGACCCAGCCCCGCTTTCGCTGGGACACAGGCCGCCCCCTGAAACTAGAGACAGCCTCGCTCTCTAAGCCACGGCCGGGGTGACTGGGCCTGCCACGCAGACTGGTGGGGAGGCAGACTCCAGCGCACAAGCGCGCCTGCGATGCATGCTCAAGGAGGCACCAGAGCCTGGGAGAGGGGACACTCCCCCAGGAAGCCCCGCGCAGCCAAGACTGGGGGAGAAGGGGCGGCCATGGGCAGGAGAGAGGGGTGAGGCAGAGGGAAGCACTGGGTCACCTTCCCGAACCCTCTCTGAGCTCTCCCTGGAATGGATCCCACATCAACACACACTCCGGGCTCCCTGCCCCCAAACAACAGGAGCCCCCTGCGGGGGACAGACCCTGATGAGGGCAGGGCCCCTGGAGGGGGCAGGTCCCCGGAGGGGTACAGGCCCCACGGAGGGGGGCAGACCGGTCTCGCACAGGTTTCTCACCTGCCAGCCCCAGGACTGGTGCCTGGAAGCTTTCCAGCCAGTGCCCCCGCCCTGGTGCACCATCCCTCAGAGGAGCCTCCTGCGTCTGCCTGTGCAGGCCCCTTTCCCAGCCCTGCAGGACCTGCCAACATGTGACCTGAGCCAACATGTGGGGCTCCTGACCCCAGGGAGCTGGTGGTCTCGTGGGCGGGGAGGAGGGCGAAGCCTGCTGGCCACGGGGTGTCTGACCCAAATCTGGGCCTGGTTTAAGGGGCCTGAACAGACCCATCACCCCCTCCCTCATCTGCACTCACCTCCAATCACCCTTTGCGCCCTTGCTAAATAGCCCCTGTGTGTGCCAGCACGGGGGCTCCTGGGGGTACCTGGTTAGCTGAACAAAGCAGGGGCAGTTACAAAGCACAGACGCTCAGGGGCCAAGCTGGGCTGTGGGCCAAGGCAGAGCGGGCTTGGGGGAGGGGGTTGTTGGAAGAAGCTGCCATCCCAGCCCCAGGCCCTAGGCGGGGCGCAGGCCTTGGCCCAATGAGGGCGGGGAGCACTGCTGGCACGGCCCACCTGCACGTAGAGCTCTCTCAGCTCCCTCTGGAACACCGCCGGGTCCGCAGTCAGGGTCACAGGGCCAATGTCTGTCGGGGAGAGAGAGGAGCAGGTGGCAGGACTCCCGGGCACAGGGTCCACGGACTGGGGCGTGTCACAGGGGTGCTGCAGAGGTGAGAGCCCAGGCCGGGCCCCAGAGACCCCCACAGAAGCAGGGTGTGCACCAGCAGCCTCTGGGCTGGCCAGGGTCATATCTGGAAGAGGGGTCACTACTGGGTCTCAGGCCCTGTCCAAACCGGGGTGAGAGGTCCAGGGGTGCTCAGAGTCAGGGCATCTCCCCCTCATCTGACTAGGACCCCCCAGGATCCTCCCTGGAGCAGCCTGCCCTCCCTCGGTCAATGAGGGAGGAATTCTGGGAAGGAACAGAGACGCAGAGAAGTCATCTTATTGAGCCACACAGAACCGCCCAGCCCCAGATCACCAATAAGAGTAAAATATCCTGGAAACTCCATCCACACACGAGCTCATGCTAACAGCACATCTCAAGAGAATTAGAAGACCAAGGCTGACGCCACCCAAGGCCCGCAGGACGCCAGCAATGGCGGGCCACCCCTCCCAGCCTTGGAAAGCCATGGACGTTTCTAGAAGACCCCACGGGTGCACAGCCATCTCACCCCTGGGTGTTCATTCAGAAGTGAAGACCCGCAGCCACCAGAGACGTGTGTCCACAAGTGTCCCTGCTGCATCCTCAGCGCTGGAGCTGCAGGCGGCCGGCATGTGAGCACCAGGGAGCAGCGACCCGGCTGGGGCTCCTCCGGAACCAGACACGCTCACGAGGAAACAGAACGAGCTGGGAGCCAGGCTCCCTCGTGCTGCTCACAGACGCCAGGCACTTGGGTGCTCCGCTGCCATTTACTTATTTATTTTAAAGCATTTATTTTTTAAAGGTTTATTTATTTACGCATACAAGAGCTGGGGTACAGGCCAGGAGTGCCGGGGGGTGAGAGGATTCAACAGAGACAGAGTAGAGAGCAGAACAGGCAGATCTACTGAAACACGCTGCAGAGGGGAGCAGCGGGCGTGTCAGAAGAGGTCTGCTGTGCCGTGTGGGTAGCTCCCTGGTCAGACCCATGTGGGTCAGCTCCTATCTGCAGAGGCTGCGGATAGACTGATAGCCCTGTCGTTAGCCCCTGCGCCACCAGGGAGGCCCCTCCGCTGCCATTTTGAGGAAGCTCTGCCACAGGCAAGGTTGATTTCAGGTGAAACGAGTCAGAACAGAGGTTGTCTGGGGGGCGGGGGGTGTCTTGGAGGGATGCAGGGAGCCTGCGGGAGAGAAGCTCCACATTGCCGTCTGTGGGGGTTTGCAGGCGGAGCCGTTTGTCAGAGTTCACGGCAGAGATGTGTGCATTTCAATGTATGTAAATTTCATCTTATGAAAAAGAACCATAAAAAATGATCATCCCAGGGGATGGGGGAGGGTGGGAGGAGGAAGAGAGGCAGCAGGAATGGGAGCATTTTTCCCATCTTTGGGGGTGCTGGGCGATGGGTGCAGGGACTCCTGCTACTATTCTGCTTGCTTCACTTGTGTCTGAAATGTTCCCTGATAAAAAGCTGGGTTTCCAGCAGCCAGACGGAAAGGCGCGGCCTTTGTGAGGCCAGGCCGCCAGGGCCTGCCCGAGGAGTGAGAATTTCAGCCCAAAGCGGGAGGAAGCGCAGTGGCCACATGAATGTGGGCACAGTGGGCGTCCTGCAAGTTGCGTGGACATCAGATTTCTTAGGATAATATTTCACCAGAGTCCTTGGGGGACTCTTTTTCGTTCAGGGATTCTAAATCCCCATCACCCTCAAAGAATCCCCACACTTGGCAGCTAGTGTTTAGGCCTCGTCCCTCTTAGACGGATGCCTGAGGAACCAGCCAGCACTCACCAAGGAAGAGCCTGGACCCCAGCTTTTCTGAACCCCTCACCCCCCCGGGGGCCCTGGACCTTGTGAGTTTATTCAGCAGGTCCGACACCCCCTTCCTCGCCTGCTCTGGCAAACCCCCACCCCCACCCCTGCGGTCCCTATCTCTGAACTCTGCGGTCGTGAGTGCAGGAATCAGCCCTTGGCCTCAGACAGAGCTGAGTGGTGTTCTGGCTTCAGCCTTCACCGCTCTGGGCCTCTCACTCACTGTCCCCTGCACAGTTTGTAAACTGAGGCACAGAGCACACCATCCGCCACCCCAGACACCTGCTAGGCTCAGACCTCGCACGGAGCAAAGGCTCAGGCTGGGAGCTTGTCCCTCCCTGGGCCGCCCCCAGGCACAGCGGGGACAGCCTGGCTCCAATGTGGGGGCCTCTTGCTCTAGTTTGACTGAGAAGAGCAATAAGTTTACTCAACTTTGGTTGTTTCATATTAACAGTGTTCGTAAGAATAATGTTCATGGTAAAGAGAGAGAGATTCTTGGCCTGACGTTTACTGAGCACTAAGTACCTGGAGCTTTGAAGCCGCTTCCTGTCCCTTTGCTCCAAGAATCTGCCCTGGCAGTGGTCCAAGTCTTACCCGCATTTACAGAGAAAATGGAAGCCCAGAGAGGTTAAGCCGCTTGCCCAAAGACACGCAGCCAGTGAGTGGCAGGGCTAGGACAGGTGCCTCCGCTTGTACGACTTCAGGATGTGCAACTGCTTCCTGGGAACTGCACACAGAAATCCCTGACAGGCAGAAAAAGAAGGGAATTCTACCAGCAGGAGCCCTTTTCATTTTTGTATATAACCTTCAAAACTTTCATGCATCTTTATAAATATATAGGCGTATCTCACGTAGATGCGTGCTATTTTAAGCAGATTTTCTATTGAAGCATAAATAACACACTATTTTTAACCTGATTCCTTTCACTGAACCTCAGATTGTGAACATCTTCCCAGAAGGTCAAACACTCCTCTCAAGATCATTTTTAATGGTTACAAAGTATTTCCTTTGGGTAAGTGTCTAATAATGGACTTGCCCGACCCTCCCTGTTTTGTTTCCATTTTTTTTCATGAACGCTGCTGTTAGGAACATCTTCAGATCCATAGCATTTCAGCACTTACGCATTTCAGTTCAGTAGTTTCCTGGGGATCCTTCCCACAAGTGGGATTGCTGGCTCCAAGGTGAGGGTGTCTGTAAAGACTCTGGGCGCTCACCACTGCGCCCCCTCCCTGTGGCTGCCTCTGATCTTCCCACCTGCCAAGGCCACAGACCCGGCCTGAGCCTGGCTTGACTCACGGCTCCGCTTCATTGCGAGCGGCTGCTCGTGGGCTGCAAACCCAGCGCAGCCTCTGCCGCGCCCAGTCCTGTGTCCGGTGGGCCCGTCCCCACCCCACCCCCATCGTGGTCTGCAGCAGCGCCAGCCGACCCCAGGGGTTCCTAATTCCACCGCTAGGCTGACCACATTCTCTCCCTCACGCAGCAACGTGAGAAAATCAAGTCAGGGAGGTGGTGGGCTGTCATAAGTCCAATGTACCCCACCCGGCAGGGATGCTTGATGCTATGCCATGTGCTTCCTACTTGGGGCATGGGGGGCGCTGGGGTGGGAGGGCAGTAACAGTGAGAGGAAGTCGATTCTGGTCAAGGTTCTGCTTGGCAGGACTGGTCGGTCACCCGTGGCCACTCCCTCTGTTTTCCATTTCCTTTCCTTCCTTTCTTCTAGCAGTCGTTTTCTGATTCTTTTTTCTTAAGATGTATTTATTCATGCATACAAGAATGGGGTTCAGACCAGAGGAGCGGGAGGGTGAGAGGACTCACCAGAGACAGAGTGGGGAGCAGAGCAGTTAGACTGATGAAATCCACTGCTGAGGGGAGCAGCAGGTGAGTCAGGAGGGGTCTGCTGCGCCCTGGGGGCAGCTCCCTGGCTGGGGATCAAACGCGTGCTGCAGAGGCTGCGGACAGCTTCACAGCGCTGCACTCAACTGCCTGCGCCACCAGGAAAGGCCCCATTTTCTGTTTCTTCACATTCTACTGGATGCAGGAACCCTGCATGGGTGGCCCTGTGCTGGAGGCAGGAGGATGCCAGATTCCCTCTCGGGTCTGGCCTCCTGTGGCCAGTGTTGTTCTGGGAGCTCGCACTCTCTGGGAAAGCCAACAATTCCTCTAGAACATCTCGCAATCCTGCCCGCCCCCCTCAGCCAGGCTCCCCAGCCGTGACCTCCTCATCCAGCCTCTTCGTGTCCCAAGCACTCAGCCACCCCACGCCGGGTCCAGGGGGCATGTGGCTAACACAGCACCCAGGACCTTCAGGAGCCGGGGGGAACCCCAGGGCGGGTGATCCCTGCAGGGGCGGTCGAGGCTGACCACTGGGTCAGTTTGCCGCGGATTCCTACAAACCAAGAACGGGGCGCTCATCTCTGAAGGGCACAAGACCTGAAACCAAGGCTATGTTCCTGCTGAAGGCCAGAGAGGAGAATCCTTTCCTGGCCCTGTTCTGCTTCTAGAGACGCCTGCGTTCCTTGGCCCCTTCCTCCAACTTCAAAGCTGGCAACGTGGCACCTTCACCACCCCCACCACACCCCGCCCCGCCCACCTGACTTCTGCGATCACAGCCCCTTTGCCCCGGTTCTCCTGCCCCCTCATGTGGGACCCTTGTCCCAGTGGCCCGGGGACGATCCCTGCTGTCCACCTCAAGACCCCTGTCTTAATCTCATCTGCAAAGTCCCTTTTGACACATCAGGTGAAGTACTTATGTGCATCAGGGTGTGGCCATCTTGAGGTGTGGTGGTGATGGTGGTTGTGATGGTGGTGAGGATGGTGGTGGTGAAGACGGTGATGTTTGTGGAGCTGGTGCTCATGATGCTGACCAACAGCCTCTCTGCACTGAGCGTGGATTCTTTTACCTGCTTGAGCTCAGTCCTGTTAAATCTCCTGTTACAACTGAGGATGCTGAGACCTGAGGAAGGTCTTGGCGAAGGCCACACAGCTAGTAAGTGGCACTAAGGTCTGTGCCCATTTCCTGGGGCCACCAGAGCAAAATATCACAAACTGGATGACTTTCGACAACAGAAATTTATTCTCTCACAATTCTGAAGGCCAGAAGTTCAAGATCAAGGTGCCAGCGGGCCGCGCTCCATCTCAAACG